CGAGAGTTGATTGCGTCGTCACTCGTTTTTTTTTTATTTATTTGAGTTATTAGGCGTGCTCCGAATTACTGGCGTCTTATAGTTTTTTGTGCATTAAAAAATATTATTAACAAAAAAATACTCGTTATCCGCCCACAAGGCAGCCACATGGTCAAGTATCCGCGTAATGATAATACTGTTTTTAAAAAAATATTATCGTTCGAAAAACGGCCGCGTATATATATATGGTAATTTTTCAGCAAAGTCACTTGTAAATCACTGACCGTCATACTCATTAAAAACTAAAATTAGCTATTATATATGCACATATTTATTTACTTGCAAAAAAACCATTCGGTTACAAATAATTATATTTTATACGAGTAAACGGTAAATAGTAGCAATCCTTTTAAGTATCAAGTTACTTTTTTCCCCCGTACAAGTCGCCGCTATTACTTAAATACTTGTTGTGGTTGGGTAAAAACTCGGTTATTGTGTTTCATAGTGATACATTTTTTTTGTCGAACTTTGTTTATTTGTAATATTTTGTATAAAAAGGTTAAAATCGTTATGACGTATGAAAATATGATAACCTTATTCGTGGCCTTAATAAATAATCATAAAGTTACAATATTAATGTAGGTCATTTGTGTGTTATACACTCCGCTGGAGTGTCCGCAGCCTAATGATGGTTCGTCATTTTTTAACGGATGAACCACAGCGTCGCACTGAGTCGTTCGGCGTTAGGCATAATGTTAACAAAAACGAAAATGTCCAATGAGGCTTGTACGCTTGATTAGTTTCTGAGCTTGAATGAGTTTTGGAAGGCTACCGCAAGTTTTTTTACCTATTGGATGTTTGTCGTTTTGTTTGTTATGTGTATTATATATTATAATAATGTATAATTTCTCAATGTTTATTTTGTGTTACAAAGTTAAACTAACTCATAATATATCGTAGTGTGTATTAGGTTTTCATTTGTATCGAACTAAAACGTGTCGTTGAACAAGGTTTAAAAATAATTAAAGAAAAATCATTATGGATAGCTTGGCTAATGTTTTTTTTTTTATTTATTAATGTTGAACATAATATATTTTCAAAACTCAGCATAAACTTGTGATATTATTCAATATAATATGTTGTTTGCCAGTCACGATTACTGATGTTGTGCGTTCGTCAACGACCAACAGCTGTAATTTTTGGTGTTTTGTTTTCGTACTTAAAATAAAAAATAAAAAAGCAGCAATTATAGCGGCGACGGCCGACGGTGCATCGATATTTATTATTGCCTTCGAGAACTCTTCCAGTTGTACACAATGACATTCGACGTCGGACAAAAACTTTTTTAGTGTCGGGTAACGCGTCCGGACCGTTTGATGCAACCACAACTGGGGAAATGTTTTTTGTTATTGTTATTTGCTCTTATTGTGACGTCACCGGCACGCGCTCGCCTGCCAAGTGTTTATGTTTTCATCCGTTTGCCGACGGGTCGAGCTAGGTCGTATCTACGCAATTATGTGTACGCCACACCAGCAGCCCTCCCCACTCCCCTTCCAATCCTACTTAGTGTTATTTTTTTTTGTACACCGCAAAGTGGGCTAGGAAGTCGGTTTTATTTTATTTTTTTATCTAACTTTGAATACCAAATAAAATATGTTTGTACGAATTTGATAAAAATGTAGTATAACAATTACCTTAATTAAATAAACAAAACCATTTAAAAAAATGATACGTTATTTTTTAGTTATTGTTTATACAATTGTAGCAACATTTTGTAACATACTTAAAATAATAATATGACTAAAAACATGTCGATATGGTTTTTTTTATAGATAATTGTATAAATAATAATAATACAGTTTTTAGGAATATTTTCGTTTTTCTTCGATTTGTATTAGTTCATATATTTACAGAATGCACTAAAAACCAACCCCGAATAGAACAATTCTTTACAATATAATAATTAATAATAATATAATAATTAATAATTGGACGATAGTCCAAAAAGAAAGTTTTTAAATAATATTTTCTCCACTATTGAGCGTGCATAGCTAAGGGAAGAAATAAAAGGGGCAAACATCTACTTCATTAAGTTGTTTTTATTACAACTGTATTGTGCACAAGGGTGGACACGTAAAATGTCGACTGTTGTAAAATATATGCTAGTGAAGTAAGTAATAAAATAATAAAATATATAAAAAAATAATACAGTAACGTCACATTAAGTTTACCAATTGAGCGGCCACAACTATGCAGATTCGGCAATATACTGTTGTTCGTGACACATACACAATCATATTTATAATTATATCTAATAATTAGGATTTATAAAATTCTCGAACGACATGTAATGTTTAAATGAGAACTTTTGCAAAATAAACTTTATATTTACTATTAAGTGTATGCATTTTTGTGATATAGCTATGATTATATTGGATAATATATTATTATTTAGAGTGAAAGGAAAATCGTATAAAACTATAAGGCCAACGTAATGATGATGCTGTTACCTGTATTACATAAGTCAGTGTAAAGCAGATATATTAAAGATTAACAAGATTTATAAAGAAAGAAATTCATTTTATTAACAAATAGGTGGATTTAGCTTCGATGCGGTATTGTTTTTACAACGATGTCTTTTTATTTTGTTTACTTTTTTGCCAAAATAACGATATCTCCTTAATCGCTGAGAGTTCTTTATTAGGCTAAACAATTAAGAAGCTTACTCTTTTCTCTTTGTTTGGAAAGTATTTTCATTATATTTTTAATTACGATACATGGATAATAACGTCAAAAAATTGCCATAGACAAACGACCAACACTAATCGTATTCATCCTCTAATATTAAAAATAAAGCATAAAAAGCACAATTTTACAATAGTTTTTATCGATATTTAATATTTCTACTATTTACACATTCAAATCGTTTTATTTTAGTGTGATTCATCAATCTCGGTTAAAATTAATGATTCCTTCAGTCCTGTGACTACACCGACCTCAATATACTCGTTGTCCTTATCCGCCCCATCCTCACTGGACGTTTTTTTTTTAAATATTTCAAATACATAGATCCTTTATACGAAATAGAGTCCGGGTAAATGGCTAACTTGGTTCGTACTTGGTGACCAAGTATATGAAGGGCTGCGGGGGAAAACGATCATAATCACTCGCCAATTATTTTTCACTCGATTTTTTTCCTCTAAAATTTAGATTACTTTAAATTTGTATTAAAGACTAAGTTGGACAAGTCAGTTTGCCTCCGCGACTCCTAAACGTTCTTTGACTCGGATTACCCAATAAGGTAACGTGTTTGTGTAAAACTCGACAGTTAATTTTATCATATGATAACCAACGGCGGCAAACGGAATTTTATTTAACTGCTAACCATCTAAGTACCTCTAACGTAATAACATGCGCTACAAAATTATTTCTAATCATAGTAATTCAAACAAATGATACTGGATAAATTTCTTTAAAACTTTAAAAACACAGGTTTTTTACCTGATTAATTTTCAAAAACATTAATTCATTAAAATTAACTCAAATTTTTTTTTTTACATTTGTATTGTATTGTATTGGGGTTGTTTGTAACTACTTATATTGATAATAGTGTTTGGTACGTAGGTGAATAATTACTAATTAAAACGTAATATTTTATTTCACAATTCACACGTTTTGGGTTGACAATTTTGATTTTATGTTGTATTAAATACACAAAAGAACCCGTTTCAAAAGCTGTTCATTAATTACAATTTTTTTTATGATAGATATGAATTTTTTGCATTATTGTTTTTTTGTCTTCTGATTTAATTTTTAGTCAATTAAATTAATATTATGTAGTTGATTTTCAACTACATTTTTTTTTGTATTATACCGTTTATCGTTTTTATAGGTTATTATGGTGTTGTTTTCGCTTTCTGATTGTATTATTACTATAACAACGATAATAATTATTACTACTAGATTAACAATTTCTCTTGTTTAACCATTCAAGCTCTAGTGTTATCAGCGCATGTTATTACGTTAGAGGTACTTTGATGGTTAGCAGTTAAATAAAATTCTGTTTGCCGCCGTTGGTTATCATTTGATAAAATTAATTGTCGAGTTTTACACAAACACGTTACCTTATTGGGTAATCCGAGTCAAAGAACGTTTAGGAGTCGCGGAGGCATACTGACTTGTCCAACTTAGTCTCTAATACAAATTTAAAGTAATATTATACAAGATCGTGCAAGGCCTCACGTGTAAGTACACAACCTCGTCAATAGAAGCTACTTATGTTTAATTAAATGTAAAAAGTATACACACAATTAAGTTTATTATTGAGTTGAGCTCATTTTTTTTCGCCAACGCAACGTTTGAATTTCTTCCTTTTGGCTGGAGTCCTTTTTTATCTTATACCCATCAACGTTTTTAGCTGAATTATGGATACTCGCACCGATGGTCGTCTTCGGTTCGGTTTATTTTGCTTTGCCTTTTCTACCAATTACCACGTGGTGCTATTGGAAACCTTATGGGGAGGAATGGTTAACGAATATTCTCAATGGACAGGAGAATTAATGTCCAGTACTATTACTATTATTGACCTTACGGCGTTTCAGTATTGGTCGTCACACAAAGTCTCTGCGGGAAAAACGGCGATGTTTCATTAACATTTTGTGAAGATTATTTATGAAAGAAAATCAATTACAACGTCTTATGAGCTTTGTAAAATGTTTTTTACTGTTTTTGTAATCGAAAAATATTTGTAAATACAAAATGTTAACGATATTTCTTAAAATTTTTATTTTGCTGTCTTAGATTTATATTTTGGTCAAATAACAGTAGTATATTAACCAAATATAAAATACGATTTGTGTAAACCTCAATCGTGTATAGCTAACATTATATTTTAGCGTCGGCATTAGCCCATAACGTTATGTACGCATTAGCCATAGAGATTATTTTATCATTAGTATAACGTAAATTAATTGTTTCACCACTATTATTTAATCGTTAATCGTTAATTTTTTTTTTTACAGTCATTTCAAGGCAGCCAAGGTAGAGCGTATCTTTTCAATTCTGTGTAAGTTATTATATAACAGTTTCTTTTCTTTTCTTTTTTTTTTTTACTAGTAATCATTTATATTATTATTATTTAACAAAAGCTCGACGCACGTCGACCTTGTGTAAAGATTTATTTCCCATTGCCGTTTGTTTAATGGCATTCGTTTGCATATTTCTGTTCTATTAGTGTAAATGTCGGATGCGGACCCGCCGAAGAAAGGATTCTGTTGACCGGGTTGCATGCAGTCGCAGACATCTATTGCGAATGCTGCAAGACCACCCTGGGTTGGAAATACGTAAGTGTAATGGTATACTATTAATAAGATATAGTCTCGAGGCCACCTCGTGTACATTAATTACTTCCGAGATCACTCAATTATATGTCTAATAATTGTAATAGTCTATAACACGGCGATAAGTCAAATTAAATATCCACTACCTCTTTGCGTCGATACTTGATGCGAAACCCGTGAGTGTTTGCCGTAAAATTATTATTTATTATTGAAAAACCTCTATGTTATCCGTATACCATTAAAAAATTTAATTGGTAAAACGAATATCTGACAATTTTGATTCAAATATTGCATTTACATTTACCAAACCCGTGTCTTCGAGGATCGGAACTAGTAAAATTTCATAAGGTCTATTTGTATAAGGTTTATTAAGTACGCCCATCAAAAAACGGTTAATTTTGTAGTAAAACTTTTATTGCCTTTTCAAAATTAATTTTTTAATTCTAAATAAAAAACAACCGTCCTTTTAGCGTCACTTTCAAAAGATGTGCCACAAACTTTTCGTCAAACGTTGTGCCTATCGTTTACCTTTTAATAAAAAAACCCGTTTCCTTGCTGTAATTTATCGTTGCTCTATTTAATGATACGCGTTTGTCGTTTGCAGGAACACGCTTTCGAGTCCAGTCAAAAGTATAAGGAAGGCAAATACATAATAGAACTAGCCCACATGATCAAGGAAAACGGATGGGAGAGTCCGCCCAAAAAATGAGCTGCTGCCACATTGCGACGCACCTGTACAAGTCTTTTGGCGGTTTTCGTTGTCTCTCTATCTCTCTCGTAGTACTTGACCCTTTTGGGGATATTGTTCTTTCTTTATAGCGGACAGCGGTGTTTTGTCTTAACAAAACTCCGTCGTAAACTTTAATAATAACTGTAATAATGAATTATTGTACCGGTTGGCTTACGCTTTTTATTGACGGTTTGTTGTCTGAACCCTGTGTAAAACTACCGCCTTCCGACGATGACCTGTTGCCATGTAAAGGCAGATTAAGTACCATTCAATTGCTGGTTAGCTGACAAATGGTTTACGCGGAATGCTGGCTCGTTTAATTTTATTATTATAAACAATAAGTACCTTTATAAACAATTAACTACTATGTGATAATAATATTATGTACATAATTAAATATACATACAGGGTGACTCATTTAACGTAAGACCCTAATAATAATTGGTAATTGTGTTTTTTTTTTTTTTTGGAGAAATTTTAATTAATGTTAATTTACAATATTGAACAAAATTCAAATTTGTATATTTTTTTGGTATATTCTAAAATTTTAATTATTTTTAAAGTTATTCAAGTTGAAAATATATGATAGAAGGACCGGTGGAGTGTAACGTTAGTTCTATCTGCGTGCAATACTCAACCACACTTTACCCCCTTTTCTAAATTTTAAACTTCAATAACTTCAAAGTAATTATTTAAACCTGGTTATCGACCTAACAAAATGTTCTCCAAATTATTTTCAACTTGAACAGTTAATAAATATTTATGTTACTATATGAGTTTTAAAAGTCGATAGAGCTCTAGAAAATATTAAAAAAAGGTAAATATTTAGTATTTTTTATAGTATTATAAATAAACATTAACTATCTTTTTTCAAAAAGAAAAACTAAAAAGTTGCAATTATTTTAAGAAATAATGAGTGTCTTATGTTAAATAGGTCACCTCTTTATATATTATATAATTATAGTAGTAAAAGTTAAGCTGGCTACTCTTTTCCATTTAAAAATAATATTTATATAATTATATGGTAAAAAAATATATTAGAGACCAAACATCTTCCGAATCTTCTTTTTTTTACTAACACATTTGTGATGAGTTCCAGAAATTTTAAAAACTTGTTGTCATAGTTTAAAAAATAATTAATATATTTATATTTTATGTTGTAATTTATATACATTTATATTATATATTATACAACAAACCGAAAGTAAAATTTAAATTAGTTTTAAGCGCAAATATTTTATTTTGCCATACTATTATTATACTAACTATGTAATATAGTTTATAACGACTTTGAACTTTCATTGCGTTAACACAGGGTTTTGTTAAAAAAAAAAAATAATAACTTTATTAACTTTGGAACTATTGTTAAACCATTATTTGAAACCAAATTTCTAAAGATTTAATACTAATAATATTATATGCATAATTACAATTGGCGCTCTATTTTTCTTGTGTAAATGCTATGGAATGAAATCTGTAGCATACATATTGTTTATGTACTTTGTTCAAGTTTCAACCGATTAAAGAAGTTTTTCAAATTATTGATTTAAGTGATAATGTGAACGATTGAAAATGTTGAGTATGAATTTTTTATAGGCCTTTTTCTTTTTGTAATTTTGTACAGTAATGATTAAGTAAACGTGTAATTCTGCTAATATAATAATAGTATTTGTACACGTATTATATAGACGTAGTTTAATATTTTCATACAAGTCTTACACACTTAGACGTTACACAAAAAAACATTGGAATGTAATATTTGTAAAATTTTATTTGAATACAATATTATTGTAATAGGTCGTTTTATAATCTGCATAGTCTGTGAACAATGTGTAGCAATATGATTAATAATTAAATTATTGTACCACAACAAACATTATGTCATAATATATAGACACAGTGGCTACGTTTAAGGAGCCGTCAATAAAAATAATAACTAGCAACTGTTTTAATACCTATAATAACACTGAATTTTAGTGATATCGAATTGTATTTTATAAAAGCTAATCTATATATATATATTATTATTGTATAAATATGTAACGTAACAGTTGGTATAATGATTGTCTTTATATATTTATATCTCCATGTGCTATTCACCTTTTTTTTTTTTTTTTAATTTTATGTACTTAAAAATCTATGGTCTCAAACAAAAAAAACCCAATAATAATGAAAAAGTTGTTAAGAACCCGTTTTAAATCCATCAATGGTAATATTGTTGAAACTTTTATTTTATTATTTGCCATTGGCGTACTCTTTACCATGTTAATTTTTTTTTTTATATAGATATATATTATATAAAGTTCCTGTTAAAACATACTTTTTTTCCACTTGTCTCTGACACAAACTGATCTCAAATGAATACATTTTTTTTTTTTATCACATCGATCGAACTATCTTAGATAATTTGTGCAAAGATTTTCCCAATTTATTATGGACAAAATGTGTGCTACGACCAAGTCGTATTTCAAAAAAACTGTCTGTTAAATCCTTTTGTCATTTGTATGTTTCTTTCTTTTTATTGGTCAGTTTAACGGTTTAAAATACGTGCAGATTGTTTTTCAAGTAATTAAGTAAAGAATTATAAGAAGGCAATTATCATAACCTTACTGTAGTATTCTGAGCAAGAGCTCGTGCTTTATTCTTATAGACACAATTATTAATTTGATCATTCAAACGACTATAGTTCTTTCTCTTTTAATAACATATTTCGGGTTTTTCCACCTTCAACTATCGATTAAAATTAAACTTTGTATAGGATCCCTAATAATATTTTCAAATTTATTGCTGTTTGATACACATTTTTATTCTAGTCTTAAATTTTGATAATTGTAACAAATATTGTAGTAATTAAAAAGCACATTTATACAAGTCGAAGCCAACGTTTAATACTAATATGAATTAATAATAAAAAATATTTTACAATGATGAGCTGTTTTTTATTTCGACTACTTTCATTTTTAATTATATAAACCAATTGTGTATCTATAAAATCGTATATTATTTAAAATACCCATTTTTGTTTATTCTTATGTTGGAATGTATTAAACGTTTACCAAACTGCCTTTTTTATTTAATTTATACTCCTAAAAATAATCCTTTACACATCCTAACAGTTACTATATTGACTTCATAATGGATTATCTATTAAATTAATAATAAAAAAAATGTTTTGTAGTTTTTGTTTTCTGTTTATAACAAACATAATACGTCACATGTTTTTTTTATATAATTCATTTTTACATGTTTAAAAATAATTTTAAGTTAGTAAGTTATTTTAACATTGTTTTTTTAATTTTATACTTAACATTCATATAATTATATTAAGTTTTGATTTAGGCGCGTTTGGCTTAATATTTTGAGTTGTGATGATTTTTTTCAAAATATGTAAAATAAGTCAATAAATATTTACTTTGTGATACTGTAGTCGTGTCGTTATTTATTTACATGTTTATAATTTTATAATTATTCCTATAGTAAAGGGGTTTTCAAACACTAGTATCTGTATTCGAATTCTGAAACGAACTTAGTTTGGGAGTTATAGACATTTGAAGATCGCTGATATCGACATACGCGGGCGCCCGGTGGTGCACATTTATTACCTGCGTCCTGTGCTGCAAAAGCACTGTGGTTCAAAATCAAAAATAGTTGGCTAAAACTATTTTTTTCGCTTAACTCATTTTAAACCCTCTAATATATAATACCATTGATGAGTATATATTGTAATTATAATACTTAAATAATATTTAATTAAAAAAAAACAATTTTGTTGACACATACAATTCCACATGCAATTTTTAATATTTTAAATAATGCCTATTTAAATAAAAATTACTCTTGAATAGGTTACTCTTAAAACAATTGCGATTTTGTAGTTTTTGTTTTGAAAACATTTTTAGTTATAGTGCGATATAGACAATATTCATTGTCTATATGATAATGTACTATTTCAATCATTATTAAATGAAATATTATTCTAATTAATTTTTTTTAAATAGTTAACACGTGGATTAATCTGAGCGCACGGCAGTGCGCCAGGCCATGTTCTAGCAATGCCAGTGTATCTTTTCACGAACCAATTCACCCAGTTTTTCTAACCCACATATCTCTGTTTCCTCTTATGTTAATTTGAAATTTGAAACATAGACTAAGCTCAAGTATTTTAGGATACTGTAAAAAATTGAGCCCTTAATAGTAAGCCTTTTTAAAAAGGGAGAATTTCAATGTTTTCATTTTTGTTACTGACTCACTCACTTACTCATCATCAAAATTTTAAATCACTTCCCATGTTTAATATTAAATCGTGAGCCGTAAAATAAACGTATTTTGGGCACTTAAATGAATAGTTATTATTTTTATGTATTAAAACTAAGTACTGATTCGAAGCAACCTTTCTTCTAAGTCAATTAAATCATAGGCAACGAGCTTCTTTTTTTTTTGACAAAATTGTCAAAAGTGGTTGTGGACACCTATTTTTGCAGTAATCGCAGTTTTAAGTATAATATACTTTTCATACTAAAAGCTGGTTATGTTTCACGTCTTAGAGCTTTAAATATGATAGTTTGGAAATTAAACCAACTGTACCTACTTGCTCGACAAACGAATGTATTTTCCAATTTTTGACAAAAAACCGCTTATTTTTATAGATAACTAAAGGTTATTGAGGTTATTTCTTAGAGATTTAATAAACTTTCCATTAAGCTACGTGCAGACATAGTCACTGGCTCGCCTAAGATTCTAACTAAAAATAGTCACTAACTCGTTTCTTAACGATTAGACGTGCTGGTTAGATATAAGCTTAGCTCTAGGTCAGGAGTGCTGGCTGTACGAAAGTTCCCTACGAGTTTAGGTGCAGCTGGCCCGATAAACTGCGAATCGTAATTAGAGCAATACTCATTGTACGTCTAATCAAAACAAACTTATAGTTTTTTGTGCGTAGTAGGTAATACCTTACACGAAACCTCTGAGGCAATATAATTATTATCCAGTAGTTAGCTTCGTTTTTGTTCACGACGAACTGCCACTATAACAATCACTTATTCAAATTATTGTGTGTTTGATGATAACCGAGTTTTTCCTGTAATTCAATGTCAGACAACTAATATCACTTTGATGGTCATGACGAGAATCTTGTCAAATTATTTAAGTTTTCAGCGGTTTTTTTATTAATTCAATTTTTTAATAACTTGATAGGCCAGTCAACAGTTGATCCAAATCACTAAAACGAATCATCAAGACGGTTAGGTTAGGTACGAAAATGTACTAAATGTTTAATTCATTAGTATACAACAAGTATCTTGTAAACGACGCAAATGTAGCAAGTAATACATTTTCACCACGTGGCGCGCTGTTTCTTATATCGATCATACTATAATACTACAATCACCAGTACAGCTCAATCTACTGAAATACTTGGCAGTTGGCATAGGTAATTTCCTGTTTTGATACTATTGCCGAATAGTTAACATGTATAGTTGAATCTGTGCCGGCGTCTTTATAACAATTTTGTTTTATTTTATTTATCATTTGCGAAGGATCCAATAAATCATGGGAATAAAAGGTAAACGATCGACGTCCTTATTAGTGAAGGTAAGGTACCGCCTACATTTTAACGTTATATATGCTACATGGGTTAGTTGAGCTATACAATCATTATTCGGTCAAATTAATAGCAATTCGACGTACGTTTGTGTGTTAATATATTAATAATGATATTTTGAAAATGTAACCATATGGAATTTTAAACTCGGGGTAAAGAAAATGATTGAGTCTATTACAGTTAGTAGACATAGTGTCTAGTAAAATTAATTTTATGCCGATATTAAAATATACCGTCAATGATAGGCAATTATTATTAATATAAAACAATTATTACTTTTGAAATAATGATATCACAGAATTTTGTTTTGTAAAATTTTATAATTTAGTCCGTTTATTCCATAAGGGCGTAATGCATACACAATTTTCTGATACGATCTTATCGACGAACGGCCGCACTAATATTGTAAGTACAAATCACGGTTTGTTATTTGGAAATTAGTCGTTTTAAATGACATAGCACATCCCAAACAAATGAATAGTTACACTTTTTTGATCAAATACAAATGACTATTTGTCATTTACTATTTGAATAATATAAACTTAACCGTTTACTAGATAACATGCATACTGCTCTTGGCGCTGGTATTTCTGAAAACCGCAGAAACCGCGGAGGAAATTAGTGATGAACTCAAGCAGGCGTTTTGCGAAATATTTCCCAATACGGAAAACTGTGTACCCGATAGTTCACCGAGTGCCGGCTCCCCTGTGAAGAACAACGAGCAGAGGTGCAAGTGTGTGCCGCAGCATCTGTGCGAGGACGATCAAGTAATCGTTACGAATAAAAAAAGGATAATCGATATCAGGTGAGTGTTGTAACCCCTCATCTCGAAAAAATCAATGTCTGTTATGTGTTCAAGCCCCCCCTCTTTGGAATATGTTTTTTAACACAGAATTAGCCAGTGTTCCGACTACTTGGAAACGTGTTGCTACAACCAGACGGAAACCCAAGCCGACCACGATTACAATGAACTGAACGCCGGCTGTGGGGTTTGGAATCCGTACGGGGTAGGGTTCACCATCACTGGCAATGATAACAACGAAGCGCAATTCGGCGAATTTCCCTGGATGGTGTCGATACGCGAAGAAGACGATTATACGTTGTCCAGAAACAGCGTATGCGGTGGGTCGTTGGTTCATCCCAAAGTCGTGCTGACCGCAGCTCATTGCGTTTACGGGTAATGAATTAAACTTGAAAAGTACCAGCGTGTAGCAATTACTAGCAATGAGAAACATTAGTTGAACTGTTGGATAGCTAAAAACCTGAAAGTTATGAAAAAAAAATGATATAAAAGCAATTTTTTTTAAACCATTTTTTTATTGATCAAGAGAAAATATTTGAACAATGGTTTGAAACGTTAGTTTTTCATTATACCGTTTCCCGCCAAGTGAATGTAGAAATATCTTCGAAATAGTTACACCGAGACCAAGTGAAATATATTGTAGTTCCTCATTTTTCGGACGGTTCGGAAATATATCGTCTAAAAATGTCATTAAATTTAAAATACTGAAAAAATATTTATAGTTTGTCTTGAAACAATAATGACCAAGAACATATATGAAACTAAAAGTATTGAAATTATTCGACATTTTCTAATTTTACAGATAATTTTTTTTCATTGACGCGTTATTAAAACTAGTAGCCGGTGAAAAAGCCGAATAATCATGTTTGTAATGTTTTTTTTTTATATAATAGAAAAAACCCCAAGAGTCTAGTAGTTCGTGCTGGCGAATGGGATACAATGACAACGAACGAACCGATTCCTCATCAAAACATTAAAGTAGACAAGATCGTGATGCACGAAAAATACGACGATATAATGGCCTATAACGACATCGCACTGATACTTGTAAGCAAACCGTTTAAGTTGACGGAAAACATTCGAACGATTTGTTTGCCAAACACAGGATTCGAGAACGGCTTAGAGAGATGTTTTGCAAGCGGTTGGGGCAAAGATTCGAAGTGTAAGTATCAGTATACGTTAACGCAAATAAAAATATTAAACAAAACGAAAACTTAACGTTTCCATTACAGCCATGATCTGTGACAAACCTAATTAGTTTTCAATAACAAACAAAAACTGCTTCAACTTCTTATTAGTAATGCAGGCTTAGTAGCAACTAACTTGTTTTCTTATTTATTATCCCATTAAAAAAAAAACACATTTGAACTATTAATAAAAATATATTGATATTGATTCTAGCAACTAGAATATAACTAATGGTTATTTTTAAATTGTTGGACCTTTTTTTACTACCTGACGTGTTACATTTTCCGTTTGTACAGTTGAAAAACAAAAACAAAATCATCAACTTTAAAGAACACGTAAACAATTACTATCGACTTAAGTTTGTACAATGAATTTCCAAAAATGTATCATTATTTATTATTATACCTATAACAAAAGATAAACAACATTCGTAAATAGTTATAGTTTCAATATTGTTTTTGTTTGGCTTAGTAATACTAGTAGAGAATCTCATTTCCAAAAAATCTGTAATAAAATTGATTGAAAATCTAGGCAGGAAAAAATGCCTTGATTTGTTTAAAATTACACAACCAAAAAACTTTACAGCAATGCCAATAGCCAAACTTTCCGAGGCTTAAAAAAAATCTTTATATATATACAAATGACTTATTTGATTTATGTGACTTATTTAATGTTTTATGTTTAGCTGTAATAAGGTCTAATCAAGCCATTCTAAAAAAAATCGAGTTACCCATCGTACCCCGTTCAGCATGTTTAGATGAGTTGCGAAAAACCCGACTTGGGGAAAGCTTTGAACTTCATGAAAGTTTTATTTGCGCCGGTGGAGAAGATGGAAAAGACACTTGTGACGTAAGTGCTTAAGATGCGTAATAATTACTAGGAAAATAACTATTTAAAAACAGCTATTAAACAGTTAATTAAGAATAATTGTTTTGGTATACGTGTTCTTTGGAACACATGAAGAATTTGTTTATTTGTAAACCTTATTTAGAATCTCAATTACTACTTTTATACCATACTACGAAGATCCAAACCAGTTTTCTTCATACACGCCGTCATAAAAGTCTCAATTTGGCCAAATATTCGAACTTATTTTATTTCTTCAGGGCGATGGCGGTAGTCCGTTGATGTGTCCCATACCAGAATATCCCGATAAGTTCCATCAGTCTGGTATAGTTTCATGGGGAATAGGTTGCGGACAAAATAACATACCTGGAGTCTACACGAACGTCGCCAAGTTTAGAAATTGGATTGACAAACAAATGAACAAACATAATTTAGATAAACAACACTACAATCCGAGCGCATAAAATTTGTAATAATTATGTATTTAAATATTGTATTTGTTATTAGTTAGTATTATAACATGTTCACTATACTAGTTATGTTATGTTCAAAAAACGAAAAGAATCTTTGAAATTTAAGTATCAGAAATACTCAAAAAAACCATAGTACAATGAATCAAATTATATTTAAAAAAATTACTTAATTATTCATTAAATGAGTGTTTTTTAAAATTGTTTTATCTCTTTTGTATGTCTACGTCGTTTCTAAACTTTTTTTGGATTAAGTAAATTTAATTATATTTCACTAAATACTTAAACACAATTTGTAAACTCATTTTTGATTTATAAAACTGTTAAAATTCATACTTATAATCATGATGTATTTTTTTAAATTTTTATATCGAAATGTATTTGCATGTTCTCATTATTAGTATTGAAATATTGCGAAATAAACAAAATATATAACACATTAGAACATAATATTACACATACAATACACATATACACATAATATACAATATTCTTTTATTTATTTTGGAATTAACCATGCTCTTTATCCTTACTAACTCATCAGGTTTATCAGGAAAATAAACTTTTTTTTTAACTCGGTTGGTTTTGTTCTTGTCAATAAAACGTACATATTTTATTAGTTATATTATCACAAGTTGGTCTAATTTAAAATTGACAATAGAACGTATACTGTGGTTTGTCGAACAGTAAACACTAGTGGTTGCACCCCACCTAGAAGTGTACATTTGACAGCTATATACCTGGCGTTAACAGTTTCGTCTGGACACAAGGTGTTCCAATGCCCACCAATAAAGTACAAGTCTAGCCTGAGGCCATGTAACGTTGGTTGAAGTATATTTCAATATTTTAGAAATTTGTTTTCAGAAAGGAGTAAATATGCGAAGGTTAAACACCATTCACAGGCATTAAAATTAATTAATTTTGTTTACTTTGTTTTATAAATACCTTAGTGCTCATCGATGCAAATTTTACACACCATGTCAAGAAAACTCGTTTTTGCTTGTTTCGCATTCATACTGACCGTCGGAACTAAGACTGAAGACGTAAACGGTGAGTTATTTTGTGTACCTCTGCATAACAAATCTTAAGTATTTTTAAACTGTACTAGTCCGTCTAGATTTTTAGCTTATACACTAAAAACTTGACACGTACTGCTTATAATTAGGTTTTTTTTAAATATTCGCCATAGTTTTTCTATTTTACGACCAACATAAACACAACAGTTGAAAAAGGTGTAACTTTGTCAAATTATCTATTAAGTATATCTAAATTAAATTATCACACTATCATCTAAGTTAATAATGTACGCCTGATAATACAATTGCGTATTTTTTTACAACAAATTATTATAAGTTATTTTAAAAATGTGTTTACTTATGTGACTTCGGCATAACGAGGGTTCAATCCATCTAGAATCGAATTTTTACATATCAATTTAAAACAAGCCCTTTTTAAGGGTTTAATGATCAGGATACTTCTAGTCAAGGTAACACGGTGGTAGGAAACAAAAAAGCTAGTCAGTATTGTCACGACATGGGTACATCCAAATGTGATCCATTTAAAAATATATAAAATATATTTAAATATTTTTTTTTAACATGTTCAGCTTAATTACAGATTATAAATACAATTATTCTGACAAATTTTGCATAATTCTTCTTGAGTACTTTATAAATATAAGTATTATTATTACATTCAGAAGTTTTATATACTAACGGTATATATATTTAGGATATTGTGTATAATATATTACATAAGACGCCTCGATATGGTTAAATAAGAACATGCATAAATTAATTTTATTAATGAAGTATACATAACACCAACCGACGAACGAGGAGTTTGTATTAATATTATGCAATGTCCGTTTCTTCTTAATTTATTACCAAAAAACGCAAAAAATGCATTCGTTGTGAGTTATCTACGCAGTTCCTCTTGTGGGCATGGCCTAAACGTTCCTAAGGTTTGTTGTCCTCTCGAAAATCAAAGTGATGGGGCCATTGCTTACAACTTTGACGGCGATACAAATGAGCACGCCAGTGCAGGTAATGTAAACAATTATAACCCCTATTCGTTATTTAATTTGGAATCAGATATTTATACTTAAATGCTGTATACCTACAGCATCCGAGAAATATTACACATAAGAAAAAATGATTAACCATTTAAAGTTTATTTCGTTATTATAATATGTTTATCAGTTCTTCAAAATAAGTGATTACTGTGTATAAAAAAAAATATGCGCATATGAATTAAAATATAGAATTAAATTTAACAAGCACACTCACAAATATAATTATTATAGTATACATAAATAGATTGCCTGGTATACGATTGTGTTGACCTTCCACTATACAAACTTGTATTACTCATGTATTATTAAGCATTAGATAGCTAAAAAATCGTCTTCAAAACACGATTATAGGTTTGTTATTTCATAAAATAGCAATACTGGAGGAGTAAATAAACAATCTACAGTGTCTCTGTTTCTATGTAAAAGTAACTCTATATGCAACAAACGTGGTAGGCTCTATATTAATAAATAATATTGCAATTAAACTTGGTGATTTATCGAATACATTTTGAGTGATAAATAGATAATTATTAAGTATTTAAACATTATGAATAAAATTAATAGTTTGATTGGTTTAATACTCGTATTCGAAGCAGTTCTGGCACAACAAGCTGACGACGGTAAGCCTGAGTCTTTTTGTCTATTATTATTTTAGTTCAATAGCATTTTCTATATACAAAAATACTCATGCTCAAAATAAAAAATACAACATTTTTTCATATGGGTTTGTATGATATTAAAAATCGATAAATACATATTTTCATGCAGTGCGTATTTTAAGAATTTTTTTTTACTTAATTATAAGCTAAAATAATTGGCGCTTCCGATTAGGGGGCATACATTTGACATAAATATAATACTTTTATGTCAAAAGTTATTATCTTTTGGCTGGGGGCCCATCAAATGTTTTTGATATACTGTTATGTTAAATGTTATATTTTAGCAATATTTTTAAATGAATAAAAATGAAAAAATTCAAACCTCTTGATTTGAATTGATTTGATGAAAATATAAATTCCATTTTATGCAAATTAGTTGATTCTAGTTTAAATCTTGCACATTATATGCTATGGTTTTTCGACATTTTTTTATAACATATTATATTAATCAAATTTTACATCGCCCGAGAGAAAATATTATCTGAAAGTCTTAAATATATCTCAACAGACAACATAATAAAGTTTTTAATCAAAATGAATTGCCAAAATTTAATTGTGTTCGCAGATTGTATTACGCCAACAAGCGAAAAAGGTAATTGTATTGCCATTACACGTTGTACGTTCCTGGAAGATTTACTTTTATACCATAGAAAAAATACATTTGTCGTAGTCTACCTTCGTAGTTCAGCATGTGGATTCGAAATGAACATTCCAAAAGTCTGCTGTCCGGTAGAAAATGAAATCACAAACGGTAACTTAATTTACAGTCACTTAAACACCAACATTACGTTAGCTGGGCTATTTTAGCAACTGTTTTCGAATAACATTCTAGAATTTAAATTTTATTCATAGAGGCGGTTCCAGAAAACACGACTAAAAAAAATATTGGATTAATAGACAAACGTTTCGGTGAAGACGATTCAAGTAGTGTCGATACAATGACGAGCACTAGCACCCCTAAGCCAAATATTGTCACTGTTGGTATCACGACAAGCCCCAGCAAGACTAGCACTTCTAAACCAAAAATTAATACTGCCCAAACAACGAAGAGAACTAACATATCTAAAACGAAAAGTCCTACGAAGTCGACGTTGTCGGCGCAAAACGCTTGCGGGAGGAGTAAAATGCCCAAAGACTTGATTACCGGCAAAGGACACGTTAACCTATGTCAGCGGTATTTTTATACTTTAGCTCCACGCCGGGTTGTCAAATAATTAAAAAAAAAATTAAATGAATGTTTATGATAAACCCGGCACTAGAGTTAATACATAATACCTATAAAAATCTGTGCTTAAGGCTCTTTGTGATTTCTAGACGATTGGCCATGGATGGTCAGACTGGGGTACCGATTACTGAATAAAAAAAACTCCCCCATACAATGGTCGTGCCATGGCGTATTGATAGCAGAGAGTTTTGTACTGACAACCGCCAACTGTGCTAACGATACTCATCATAATAAGCATTTGTAAACGCTCTGTAGAGTAGAGTTAGGTACTTGAAGACTTATCCAACGGTGTTGTTGTTTTTCAGGTACATGACACGGCTAGGAGAGTTGGAACCAGACGCTGATGTCGACGCTCTGCCAGTGGATATTCTGATTGAAAAAGTCTTACTACACGAATCGTACAACAAACCCAAGTTCTTGCAAAACGACATTGCTTTGTTAAAACTCAAATTTCCCGTACAATTCGATCGTATGCACATATTATAATATCTTATGCTTTGTGTATTTTCATATTCGATATGAATTTGATTTTATGTCGGTTACACTTACAGAGCACATTCAACCCATTTGCTTACCACTTTCGTCAAATTTGAGATCTCACAATTTGGAAAATTCTACGTTGATTTTCGCTGGTTGGAATTCTGCGTCTCCTTGTCAGCAGATGAATAATTTACTAATTAAATATATTATATATTTATATAACAACATTTATTTTTACTAAATGGTTTTACATCGTACAACAGCCTTTTTTCTCATATTTAGGCGCACAACAGAATCGTAAAGACGGATTGGCAAATCTTAGATTTTCGGTAATGAAAAATTCCGAATGTCAGCATAAATATTCCAACCTCATTATAATCGATGGAGGGATGCTGTGTACAAAAATCAAACCTAACGAAAATAACCCTTCCATGGTACGGAAAAAGAGAAAAACAATCAAATATTTTTTTTTATCGTTAAAATATAACAGTTGATTTTAATATTAGTTCTAATTAATGGTCTTAGGACGACGCCGGAATTCCATTGATGCAACTAGTCGGTAATCAATACTATCTGGCTGGTATAGTATCGTTTAGCGACCGCAAGTGTAACGAGACCAATTTTCCTCGCGGATATACAAGAGCAACGCATTACATGACTTGGATTACGGAAAATTTAAAAAAATTATAATCCTCAGTTTAGTTGTTTATGTCTTAGAAACATTGTTAAAAATTGTTAATCAGGCCACTAGGCATCTGAATCACGATCATAATTTATGATATGATTTAATAGTAATAATAATAATTTATGAATATCAGGTAATAATTTATTATTTAAAAAAGTACAAAAGTATTTGTTCACAATTCTCTAATTCATGCAAAAAATAAATAATAATATAACATATATTACGTTATATATATATATACTAAAATACATTATTTTTTTTAGTTACAACATTTTCTAAGGCCAAACTATTTGTTCAATCCATTTAATGTAGTTCGATATCCTGGTGTGTACACTAGGTGTTTCTGATTCTGTGCAATATTTTCCAAATGATGTAATTCCTATTTGCGTGTACATGTTTCCATATAATGTATTCTTTATTTGCAAAGGACCACCAGTATCGCCCTAAATGAGAGGATAAGTTTAATTTTGCCACTCTTGCAAAAAAATTGTAATTACCATTGACAAAACCAATTCGGTAATTTTTATAAAAATATCATAACTGGAATGTGTTTTTGTATAACAATAAGATATAGTTTTAGTAATATATTTTTTATCAATTTTCTCCTTTTTTTCTCCTCTTTTTATATAACTGCAAAATTAAGTTCTCATTTCTAACTATTAGAGAAAGTATAAAATGTACAAAACATAATGTATGGAGATAACATTAAATCAATTAAGTATCCTTTGTAGTGGTGTGCTCTGTTTTTTTTCAATTGGAGGGTAGTAGCCTAATATTTAAGGAGTACCCTACGAAATTTTACTCCCTCCCCAAATTATTTTTAGGTATACAATATACTTTTAGTGAAACAAAAGCCATAGAGAGAATATTTCCCTTTCACCCCCCTCCCTTTGAGCACGCCCCTGATTCTTTGTTCTATTGGCAGTCAACTTTTTTTCTATTATAACATGTGAGTCATGAAAGACAGACTTATAATTTATTTCTATGTTAGAGTCTGCCAAAACATCAGTTGTTTAAGTGAAGTAAAAATAAAACCATCTTACCAGACATGTGTTCACCTCGTTCTCGTCGTAGTTATAACATATTTGTTTGTCACTTAAAATCCCACGAGATAAAGTTTCACTAACGCCGTAACTTTGATTGCAATCCGCTTCTGGTACGAGAGTTAGATTGATTTTGATTAAATGGGGATTTATCGTATTGCCTGTTTATACAAGATATTTTATGGAATAAAATCAGATTAGGACCGAAAAAAAATGCATAAATAACCAGCTTTTTATAAATATAATTAATTTATAAGCATTGCATCTACGTAATGGTTACAAGCTCAGTTATTTGTGGATTTTTGCTCAACTCTGAAGTAAACTATCCGTCGCATAAAACCAGCTCTCTAACTTACCCCTGTCGATTTGTGCCCAACCAGTCGCTATTTGTGTTTGGGGATTTAACGATTGGTTGAAATTGAGACAAGCGGGTCGTATGTACTCTGAAAATTCTACTATCCTATCTAATCGGAATAAGGCTATGTCGTCGTAATCAGAAGGTGGTCGGTAATCCGGATGGAGTACACGTTGCACGATTTCGAAGTCGGCGGGCTTGGCATCGTCGGTGTTAGATTCGACGTTGAGGTCGCCCAAAAGAACCCAACGAGCGAATTCCCTGTAGACATGTGTACGCTTAACGTTATCTTTCAAACTTACAAGACAACTTTGATCCCACTCACGAATCGCCCAGGTGATCGCAATGCGCCGCAGTCAGGATCCACTTGTTGCTAATCAGCGAACCACTGCAACTCCATTTTCGGGTTTCTATCGACGGGCCATAACCTATCAATGCCTAAAAATAATATACCACCTGGTCTCAAAACCGACTAGTAATATATTAGAAAATGTATGAAGTAAATGCGTTATACCATATGAGGGAATTCCTTAGGTTCGGCCGCTGTACCTCCAACAACGTTTGGGATGGTAAATGATCTTTTCCTTGGATTGTTAAGTTTTCTTTTTAAACTTCGCGTCAGTTCAGAGTATTGGCGACACACTGGAAATCATGTTGCAAATGAGAGTTTGGAAATGTTTATGTTTTACCGGTCGCAGCGTTTACTCGTTGCTGATATATGTAGTTTTAGTGCGAATGAGTTGGTCGACTGTTTGATTTGTATAGTGTTGCTTTTTGGGCCAGCAGGACAACATACTATTGGCTGTCTCTCGACGAACGTACACAACTGAAGAAATATCACCGTAACGACCTGAGCTGACTCCATGACAGATACACAGTCCCTAAAAGTTCGACAAACGTAGTGGCCTTTCTCACTTTCTTGACATACATCACCTAATAAAAAGCGTTATAATACATATTTTGTTGCGTTCCAAAATATGTCTAAGACTATTGATCGAGTCAGCTGTGTCTAATTAATAACTATAGCCATCAGATAACAAATTTAGGGTAATCGTTAAAATTCATACAGACGATGAATGGTTTACAGTCTCTACGCTTATGTGACATTTTTATAAAACTGTACTTTATTGTTACTATTTTGTTCAGACAATATGTATGGTAAGTTTGATTAAAAAAATATATATATATATATTATCTTTTACCTTCTTGTAAGTATTGAGTACTATTGGCACAACATTCTGAAACGGTGAACAATTGAACGAAATAGTATAATAACGAAACGCCAGTAATATAGTAACAGTTAAACATTGAACACAAATTACAAAGGCTTGAGAATAATTTTGAATACTTTTGAACAGAATACTCATGCACGAATGTCAAGTATTCAGTTTTTAATTTTTAACGATATGAACACAATATTAAAAAACTACTAATGAATTTTCCGTACGCTATCCTTGCATTAATGATGCAAATCTCTACTACGTTTTCACACTGACATACCATGATTACAGGTTTAGTCGTCTATATACACATGTATTTAATTTGTTGAAGGACACTGGTTAGTGGTCACAGCGTGTCTTACCTACGGGAGAAACGCAATGAAAAATAATCTAATAATAATTCACAAAACAAGATTTTTTTATTGTACTAAATTATTTAATTTTTATTGCAATTTAGTGTGAATATTTTTCAATTTTAAAATAATTTCATTAAATCGCAGTTTAGCTTTCTTTAACTAAATTATTCGCAAATTTAATAATATTATGGCTTAAAAAGTTATAACATATATTTTACATATTATTTACAATCGGTTTGCTGTTTATTATCATTTTAAATACATATTTAAAAGGTATTAAAAATTATGTTAATATTGAGGCATACGATTTAATGTAAATTCAGCAAGAGTGATTTTTTTTGTCTAAACTGAAATACCAATTTTGACAAGAAAAAAAGTCACAAAACAATTTAGGTATAAGTTTTTATCGTGAATAAAAGTAAAGCCTTAATCTAAATAGATAATGATGTTTAATAAATTTGTAGACTATTATTAGGACCACACGATTTTTTCAATCCATGGTATGAATTTTGAAACTTTAGTGTAGATTCCAGGCGCATTGTGATCTCCGCATGCCTGCCCCTGTGCTGTTACTCCTAGCTGCAAATACATTCCATAATCTAAGAATGGATTACTTATTTGTAACGGACCGCCCGAATCGCCCTAAATATGGAAAATGTTGAATTGTGAAAATAAAATAATCATGTAATTGAATTATTTGTAAAACAATATTTATGTTATTATCTGTTTTATTTTCATGTTATTACTTGGCATGTGTCCTTTCCGTCTTCGTCGTTAACTGCACACATCTGACTTTCATCTAATATTCCGAATTGCAATTTTGACACAATAGAGTAGTACGTTTTATTGCAAACATTCGTACATATAGTGTGCAAATTTACTTTTAATAAATCTTCACTTAACGGACCTCCTAATAATTAAATTTAAAAAAAACCCGTTTGATTAATTGTTTAAAATATCTTATTGTATCGACTTGTACTCGTAAAACAAATAAAATATTAACCATCTGATTTTAGTCCCCAGCCAGTCGCCACTACTTCATAGACTACAATGGATGGGTCCGTGTTCAGACATATCGGTAGTATGTTTTCTGAAAATGTTACATCTCTGTCTAAACCGAACAGTGCGATGTCATTGTAATACGATTTTTGTCTTTTAAATTCTGGGTGTAGAATGCGTTGTGCTATATTGTAAGTATTGGGCGAAGCGGCATCGGTCGTAAGAGCGTAACTTAGATCACCGAGCAACACCCAACGAGCAACACCTCTGGGAAAAAAAAAATTCTGTAAGAAATGCGAACTTAATTTAAACAAAGTTTAAGTTGATTTTTTTGTCAGGTCGCACAAAAACATGGATACATTTAACGGATCATATGGGCGTGACACATAAATAGTAAGCAGTGTAGATAGGTTGAAAAAATTAGAAGTGTTATGTTACACTATTAAATGGTCAATGGAGAGAATAGCGAATAAAGTGTTGCTGGGTAGTTTATCATCAAATTAAAATTAACTTATTGCAAGTGGGAGACAAGAGTACAATTATATTAAAACGAGGTAAACGGATAAGTGGGATGCGGGAATGGTGAATAAGGTAGTATGGGCTATACATTTCAATAAAATATGCGAAAGTAAAAGATGTATACCAGAAAATTAAGAAACTATGACTCCAATTGTTAGCGAGAAGTGAAATGGTGGAATCGATGGAATTGATCGACAACCCCAAAAGAGAGATAAAGTCAATGTTTGTGTGATCCCGACATTATTGTCGCCGAATTATCATTACAGTGGTGTAAAATGATCGCAGTGAGCCGCGGTGAGGATCCATCTATTGCTGATGAGCGAACCGCCGCACATCCAATATACCATTTTAAACGAAATCCCAAACCCTATGGCAGCCTAAAAATGTTTTAACGCGGTTAGGTTGAGTTAAGTTTTTTTTTTTTTACAATTCAGCCATGACAATAAATTTGCATAGTGACAAAATAGTTTTATTACCATGTGTGGAAACTCTTTAGGTTTGGCCTTGGTCCCTCCAACAATGTTTGCCCCGTCGCCGTTGTCCGCGTCGTCGTCGAAATTCAGTTGTTTTCTATCGTAGTTCCGGAAAAGTTGCGAATACTCATGACACACTGAAAATTAGAAGTTACCATTCATATTAGTCCGTCCTTAACTTAGCATATGGTTCAACGGCAAATACTTTTAGAAGCCGTGTGCGACTGTGTAGTTTTTATGGGTGTCGTTAATATCGAATCTGTGTTGTCAACGGGGTTTTCGTTTGGGGGACAGCACACGATCGGTTCTAATCCGACGAACGAACACAAACGCAGAGCATTTCTCTGATCGATAGACTTTTGCGCTGCCCAACAGTTTTCATGGTGTCGACAAACATGTCTGGAGTGACTCTCTTGGTGCTTTACACATATTTCACCTATTTAACAATCAATGTTGTGAAAATAACAAAATACTTTATAGTAAATATACCGAAATGCATACAATTTGTTATTTTTAATCACATTTTATCGTTTAAACTTTGCTAACCGACATACCTTCATTCAACTGTAACAACGTATCGACACACGATCCCAAATCGAGGTTGCTCGCAATGGCACACAATAGTAATGGGATACGCATTTCTTACGTGTAGAAGAGATTAGTTTAGTACAAACGCTATACTATGATCAAAACGTGTATCATCGTCGTATTGAAACTACTGGCCAATTCGAAGGAATACACTGAATTACGTACACAGCATAAATCATTCAACACACACACACACACAATTTATACTAGTTTTCGGTTGATGTTATGATAATTTATTAAAATACTATAAGTAAAAACAATATCTTATTCTTGTCGGCGACAAGCAACATATACATAATACGCAGCTTAATTGATACCTGTGTCGTTTCAATATGAGGACTACAATTTATACATAAATATACTAAAAAAAAACATGTTTCTGTACTGGCCGTTGTGACATCGACGGATATTGATCAATTTTATAAGTTATGTATAACTTATGCACACCTTCTCCACGTATTTATATCTAATACTGGTTTTTACATATATTAATTAGAGCCCATTCAAGGTTCTAATTAATTACATACGTTCTAATTAAAAATAAAAATCCACTGCAGTCAATATAATAAAATCTGTGTTTGATTTTAAGTTACTCTTAAAAGGTTTCTAATACTAGGTGGTTTACACTTTTAATTAATTGTATTTTTTTTTAGTTGCTATGTGGAGCTGAAAAGGTATTGGTTTTAGGAATATGCATTATTGTTTGTGTGTCTGGACCGATGATACTTTTTTAACTGTTGAATTGACTTTGGCATGTAGTAAGTCTATAGATCAGAAACTGTACTTAATGGTCAAAAGTCGGAAACGTTCATCCCTTGTCCGGCATAATAAAATAGTAAAATTTTATTCTTATTATTTTACTTTAATTAATCTGTTTTAAAAAAAAAATGTCTTATTTCATTTTTATAAATTATTTTTAAACCGTTTTTATATTGTAAAACGGAAGTTTTTTAAAAAGTTCTATAACCATGTCGCGTTTTAGATACACCAACACAAATGCAGTTAAATAACAAAAAAATATATCTATAACGATAAACTCTTTTTCCTAGAAGGAGATGAAACTTTTTATTTATTTAGATTTTTCGGAGATAGTTTTATTACTTTGGGCTTAAGAATTAGAACAGTAGATCTGGGTAGTGTATGCCTTTAAAAATTATATTACATAATATTTATTGCCTATATTTTAGTTATTAGTATTTGTCATGTATGTTTAAAAATGTTTTTTTCATGAACTATAGTTTTACAATGAAGCGTATTTTTAAAAAATGATTCCATTACGTTCAGGCATGTAAAGCCTTGTGACCTTTTCGAATTAATATCGGTATTTACTATTTAAAATGAATTAAGTGCATAATTTTCAGTTGAAACAACAATGCTAATTGGAAACTAGTTCTTTTTTTTTACAATTTCCATGCAGTCAGGAAAAAAAAATTGATCATAATGTACGAGTAGGAATAAAAAGAAAATAATATATTGTAGTCAATAAACGCTGTGTCGATAGAGTCGACATATTATATTTTGGCCTAGGTCATGCTGTTGACGAAATAAAGAACTCTACTCAAGCAGTGGTCAGTATACAGTAGTAAATTTGTATACACATAAGTCATAACATTGTTTTTGATACATTTATTAAAACTTGAAAGTTAATATTACAAATAAAATCAATGCTTAACCTTAAAATAAATGTATAACTATATTTATAAATTAACAAAATTGTATTTATAAAAGCCGTTTGGTGTAAATTATAGAAATAATAATAATTAAACACATAGCGTACAAACATTATTGTATGGTTAATATGTTCTTAACTGAAGTAGTTTCATAATCAAAAGAATGCGTGTACGTAAATAGTTGAGAAAAATATTTTAATATATAAAAATAACCATAATATTTGAATGTACTAATAACAAAGCTTGTACTACTCGGTTAGGCCTTGATCTATAGCCTTAATAACTATTGGTCCTCGTTATATTGTGATTGTGAAAAAGCAATTGAAAGAAAACATTTGCTGTATGATATTATTTTTAAGACTAGTTGGATGTTGTTAAATTTAATAAGACGGATAGTACTATAGCGTTGGAGGTAACCTTGACTGCTTCAATATGAGCCCGAAATTGGTAAATAATGAAGTGTTCACTGAGAAATTCATAAACAATGTATCACTGAATAAAACTTTTCAATGTGATTTTTAACAGCAAAATATATGCCTACGCATTTTTAAACTAATATCAATGATCAAATTGATATTAGTTCACCAATACAAATAACGACAAGTGCCAAAAAAAAATTTGAATGCTTAAAAAAGGAAAGATTATTTTTTAGATCAGAATATGTAAATGTTTGTTAATAAAAAATGACCAAAAACTTACCAGTTTTACCAGTATGTCGTGTGCTCTTAAATAGTACTACAGTCTACAAAATTAATATTAAAGAACTTGTATCATACTTTGTATGATGAACAAATTACAAATGGTTTTTGTATATTATAAATTAATACACATATTTTTAATTTTATATTTGTTTTTGTTCTCTCAATACAATTATTTTGTTATCTTTATTATATATTATGATAATATATAATATATTGTATATTTGTATTTATCAATAACGGTCAACCACCGAAATAACCTGGTCGAATCTACAATATTGCAAAATACTTTAAATTTACTCAGATCATTGAATCACTATTAAGCAGTCGGAGGTTCTTCGTGACATTAGCAGGCAAACAGAGCAGGCGGAGAAGTACAAAAAATGGCTTACCACAGGGCAGTGTCCTCGCCCCAACACTGTTCAATATATTATATACAAATTACCAACCTATTCCTACAGATAACAATGCTAAACATTTTATATAAGCCGACAGTTCAGCAATTGCTGTTCAAGGAAATCAATTTGAAATAATAGAAGAAAAACTCACCAAAACACTGGAAACAATGAGTAATTACTACTAGTAGTAATTACACTGCAAAACACCAACATATCTAGGAGTAACTCTTGGTAGGACACTAACATTTAAATCTCACTGTGAGAAAACTTCCAAAAAGATGAACACCCGAAACTGATAAAAATACACCCGAAAAAATATATTAATTTTTTGAATTTAGGCTTAAGTAATAAATTATACCCATAGAAATGAGTTAAAATTTTTGTTTGACAGGCTCAAATAATTGTAATGTTTGGATTATATAATCACGGCGATTATGTTTTGTTCGACGGAAAATTGGGAAAGTTTGCTCACACTCTTACCCCTAGTCGAGGTAACACCCATTTCGACGATTCAGAAACCTGGACAGCTAATTCTACATTAGGTAAAAATTATTAAACTATGAAACTTCAAAACACCGAAACTATACATTAAAACTGAAGAATTATATTTTTTATCAATTTTAAATTTATTAAATACCTGTCTACCGCTTTTATGAGGTTCAGCTGTACAGCTTTATGCTGACGATTCCGCCTAGATTGTAAATGTGCTATGCAATAAGTCTAAAACGTTAGCAAGACCTGAAATTGTATGTTTTATCTCTAGAAATTAAACAGGTTTTAAGCAATTGGGAAAAACAAAATTGTATTATTCCTATTCTGAAATAGTTCATTTCTATTACCTTAATGTCTAGAAAAAGTCTGACAGGCCATCCTTTTAAACAGCTTATTGCGATTTTATTTTTATTTATAATTATCTGAAATATAAAAACTTTTAAAACTTATGTTAACTATGAAATTTCATTTTAAATACGTTTATTGTCCTGTTAGTGTTATAAATTCAACCAACTAACATTTATGTTAAATATTTTTCAAAGTCTGACTGAATATCAAAAATTCTATATAAATGTACCAAACGTTTAATTGTTTAATAAAAAACCAACGTTGGCAAACGTGTTCTTTAATTATCTACATTAAAAATTTCAACAATATGTAAACATATTATTTACGTATAAGATTTAGCTGGATGTAAACAATAATTATCATTTTAAAAATGGTAATAACGATTAACCTTGGACCATGAATCATGACGGAGGTCTTGAGAACTTCCAGTCAATATACTGAAGAGACATAGTATAATATATGCTTAAATTAATTCTGCGTCTTAACCATTTGCAAATGAAACTACTCCCGTCGCGACGTTTCCCACTTATTATTCATCCGAAAAAAATAAGAATAAAAATGTTGTCATATAAAGTAAAATGAATTATGATTTTCTTACTTTGCATCGAAGCTAAAAATAATATGTCTATTTGCATGAAAAATATTATAGTAATAATAATGAAACGCTAATTTATTCACAGCATTTACAGCTATAATATATTTTCTTAATATTTCAATATTATTATATACTTGAAAATTTAAATATTTTTAATATTAACGCATTATGTTTAAATCGAGTATTTGGTAGGAAAGCGTACATAATATTAATACTAGAAATATTTTAATAATATTTCCTAAATATAGATTTTAAAAAATGAACTAAAATTTTAGGAAAATTATCTGCTAAATTACACATGAACCTATTAAAAAGTTCGGACGATGAGAAGACCCTAACGTTCAGATAAACAAATCCAACGTGGAAAACCCTTATGTATTCTTGTAAATAAAATTATTTCAATTATTTTTTTTCAAATATTTATAATGTTGCTTAATAATTCAAAATATAATTTAACCAGTGTTATTACGAGTATCAATACTTTTTAAAATATTATTTATATTAAAATACAGTAACATTATTTGGTAACATAGCAATGCTCCCTCCATCAGTATCACAAGCTTGTGTATGGAATATTAGCAGCATAGTGTCTTGTACGCTGACCACGTCACGCAAGAAAACATTGGTCGACTAGAAGTTATACCAACGCCATAATTTTCTTGTCGATAAAACAAAAACATGTGCAGGTTATTTTACTAGCAAGAACATCAATAATTGGTTAATTTTATATTATTATTAAAATTATTAATATTACTTTTATATAAATTAATAATACTAAAGCTCACAAGTAAGAACAATAAAAGTTTTTTTTCAACATGGCTGTTAGTAAATATTCGATTTGTTTGATCTTTTTGGTTGGATCAATAGCTACGCAGCATTTTAATAGTAAGTATTGTATTTCTAATTTCTTATTTATATACCATTAACAGTAGCAACTTTTCTTATGGTTTCATGATTGGTTTTTAAAATTTAAAACGATTTTTATTAATTAGTCAAAATAATAACGAATAGTTAATTTAACGTCTTACATACTTTTTTGCCATAAAATAAATTCTAATTTTACCTTTTATGGATTTTTCCCTAAAAAAAAGTTAAGATTGCAGATTTTTGAGAAATGTACAGGTTATGTAGCCCACTCAAGATCTACCTTCAATCTAATTCTCAAAACTATACTTTTATACCTCTTATAAGGAAAAGAGTTTATGCTATTTGTTTGGTTTGTCAATGTTTATCGATAGTACTTTATTTTAAGAATATCCAAAACATGTTAGAAAATAATTCGAATTTTTTCAAATAGTTACAGTTTTAAGTTAGAAAGTATGTTAACTATAAATAATGTATTTTTAGGTGATTCTAGATTTGTTGGTGTTTTTTAGATTTTGAACAGGAAGGAGTGAAATTTTTTTATTTTTTTGCCCAATTAAGGATCTCTAAGGTACGAATTCTGATTCATAGACTTGCTGTATGAATGTATCAATCTAACGGTATAAGAGATATCGGGGGTCAAGTCACGTAAAAAATGTAAAATATATAAAAACACTCCATTGTAAAAACATAGCAGCTCCGCATCGAAGTTAAAACATGCACTAATTGTATCATATTATTTTATGTTATATTTTTTACAAGTTACAAAAATAATGATTAATACATTTGATTTTTACTTATAATAGATTGTTTAACAAATGTTGAGGACAGTATAGAATGTATTAATATTATGCAGTGTTCGCCTCTCCTGGACCTACTAGAACATAAAAGAAACAATGCATCCGTTGTGGCATATCTTCGAAACTCGACGTGTGGTTTTGACGGTAAATATCCTAAAGTTTGCTGCCCTTTGAATCTTTCTAGCAATTCGTTTATTTCGGGCAATATCCATACAAATAAAAGCAGCCCGGCTACGAATGAAAATAATAATGACAACACGGAATCGGTCACTGTAATTAATGATGAATTCGATCAGGACAATAGCAATGCAGATAATAACGGTACGGACGATGGCTTGCGTTTCGGCCAGCCTGGGTATTATAGCAACATAAGAAGAAGACCAAACCGATTCAAAGTGACTCGAAAACCAGCTATCGCCTCAATTAGAGTTACAAGTGAAAGACCCTCAACGCTACCTCACGACACCACGTGTGGCAAAACCTCTACTATACGAGATAAGATTGTGGGTGGATCGCCACCTAAACTAGGTATGAAACGTTTACCTTTTTTTTTTTAACTTCGTTTAATATGATCACAAATCAATGTATGTAGAAACTAGTAACCATGTCGTTGTTTTTAGACGATTGGCCGTGGATGGTAGCTTTAGGCTTTCGGGACGCTTACAAACCGGAAATTCCTCTCCAATGGTTGTGCGGTGGAACGTTGATATCCAATAGATACGTAGTAACAGCGGCTCATTGCACCACTGGTGTGGGCGGACGTCAAATGTGCGTTATCCATCCTTATGAATTTTATGTAGTTTGTACTTAAGTTCATAACGTCCCAACCCTTAATCAGTTCAATAACTACACTGTAGTTACTACAAGATTAGAAATATTGTTATAACGTAGGAGATCAAATACAACGAGACTACATCTTTTGAGAGTAAAAATATTATAGTCTCGTCGTATTTGATCTTCTCATTGACATTTTCCCTATATCGAATCGTATATATTATTCTAAATTTAAAACCTTAATCATTCGCCTTCTCCTAAAGAATTCCGCTTGCTTCTTGATTTTTAAAGAATGCATAAATACAGTTAAATAATCAATAAGTTTTTGTTATGTGTATTGTTTTACCCTAAATTTGTATGGTACCATCAGAAAAATATCAAGTTTTTATATATTTTTTTTTTTTTGTAAAAAACTCATAACCAAAAAAGTTATAGCACTAAATAAATTTTGTGTTTTTCACATTTTTTTAATACAACAAAAAGTAGTAAATACATGATGATGGTGTCACTGGATTCAGCGCAAAATAAGACACTCCTTCAAAAAAAATATCACGTAGATACCTACTAATAATTATTGTAAGCTGCACTTCTTACAAAAATGTAGAACAAATTTAATTTTTATTCTACATTCAAAGAATAGGTATTATTGCTGATGTGTAATAACATATTATTCGACTGTACATATAAATATTAAGTTTAATAAATATAAAGTACGTGTAAATATAAGTATCATTTGTAAGCTATTTAAAATAAAATTAAAAAACAATTACATTCATTTAATTATCTTTTTAATTGTTACTTAGAACTATAGCACGGGTTGGTGAATTAGATTTGAATCCAAACGTAAAAGATGGTGCCTCACCCCAAGATATTCCGGTGTCTAAAATTATAGCACATGAGCTGTATAACGGAGAACGGGTCGTGAACGACATTGCGCTATTGAAGTTAGAAAGCCCGGTTACATTTAATGGTAAATGGTACTATACAATATCATTTTATAGCTTATTATTATAAAATTAATTTGAAAATGCGTAAATATATATATAGCACATGTTCAACCAATTTGTTTGCCGAGTATAACTAAAATGAAATTCAAGAATTTTGTAAAATTTTCACCGACCGTTATCGGTTATGGATCGACGAATTTCCGTAAGTCTAGTCCTGATGATATTTTGGGTATATTCTGTTTTGTTTGGAATACATATTGTTGTAACTTGTAGGTCAACCTACTAGTTCAGCATTGTTGGAAGTCGTTGTCCCAGTGTTGGACAACGCGGAATGCGAACGAGCATATAAAAAGACATCAGCTACGATTGATGAAAGAGTAATATGTGCAGGGTACTTACAAGGAGGAAAAGATGCATGCCAGGTAAAACCTATAGATAATGGTGGAATTATTAATTATTACTGGGGAATGCAGCCTCGAAGCTGAAATATATCAATAGTGTTATAAAAAAAAATAATGTATTTTACTTAAAGCTATTTTATTTAAATGTTTGCTTATTTATAGAAAAACAAAATAGTTAGACTGAAATGTATTAATTTTAAACACAGCCCTTACAATTATTCTTCTACGTTGCGACACAAAATATTGTTTTTTTGTTGTGTGTGCCACTCCATGTCAATAAAAAACCATATTATTTCCCTTTAATAATTTTGGAAATTAATGCTTATTTACTATGTTTACTTATAAATTTGTTTTATCCAAAACAAAAAAAAGGTAATAAGACTTTAAGAAGAAATGTCTGAACGTTCTTTCCCAAAAACATGGTAATATCAATCATATTAATTATTTCTAATTGTTTTCCAGGGCGATTCCGGAGGTCCATTGATGTTGCCAAATGGAAAACAGTATTATTTAATTGGAGTTGTATCCTTCGGGTACAAATGCGCAGAACCTGGTTATCCAGGAATTTACACTAGAGTGACTTACTTCGTTGACTGGATTATTGAAACTATAAACAAAAACTGAGTAAAATACATTAACTTAACTAACGCAATTATTAAAACAAATTTTCTTAAATGTATTTTATAAATTTTAAAATTTGATATGCTAATATTATGTTTTAAACATTATCAATATCAATTGTATAGGGATGAGCATGAATCATTATGAGATATGTAACTTATTATGAGAAATGTACTTGCAAATAAAACCGATTAAAGTGTATTTACATTTATTTTATTTTAATAATTTTTTTAATTTGTATAACGCAGTAACGTCAAAGTAATAATAATTTAAATATTATTACTAAACTTATTGAAAACGTAAAATATTATCCAATATCCGTACTTGCGATGAATAGTGGAAAGCAAAGATTATTTTTCATAATATTTCTTACTGCACAGTTCTTACTTTACCATGTAATTTTGTAGAGAACTTCGCGTTCAAAGTTGTAAAAACACAGTTTTGTGATATTTTAAGCTTCTTTTGTACATTAAATAAATAACTTTCTAAAATATATTCCAAAACAATTTTTCTATTTTAATTACTGTTTTTTAGAATATGTAATTTTATTTTTTAATACAAAAGTAAACGAGTTCAATAATTTAAATAGATCTTTAAGCACAGATCAATTAGTACAATAAATATAATATTGCATAACTCTTTCTTCCAAGTAAAAATCAAATTAAAATATAAATTAATATCCTAGCTTGTGAAGGGCACAAATTGTATTATGTATTAGCCAATTTTACTGAAAATATTGATAATACACAAAATGAAAATTGGAAAAAATAATTTGTTATTATGATTATTTTTGTAAAATTTAAAGTATCTTTTAAAGCTAGATTTACTTATGTTGGATGCGAAGCTGAAAATTAAAATGTTTAAAATGTATTTATACTAATTTTAGACTACTTTTTTAATGCTAGGTAATGCACATTATATGTCGTACTGCACACAAAAATGTTGTGTTGGTGAACTTAGGAGCAGGTGAGTATATTATGTAGGTAGTTGAACTTGATACTAAAGAAGAGTTGATATTTTGTCCTTCAATTTTTAGAAAACTTGCATAAGGGGCTGCAGTCAAAGCCCAGTTGTAACTATTTACTACTTAGCGAACCTTCGCAATCACAACAAACAAGTTTCAATGACTCTCCATATCCTATTATTATTTAAACAAAGACAAATGTATTAATTTAGCGCTAGTCAAACAGTGTTTTATTTTTACTGACATCAACCTAAAGTTTGTTTGGGTAAAATTAAAATAATTATCGAGTAAAATCACTAAAATATACGTAACGAAATTGAAACATTCGATAAAGACGATAAAATATTGTTAAATATTATTTTGGCCAGACAATCTGCTCAATCCATGGAATATAATTCGAGACTTTAGTATAGACGCCGGGTTTTTCGAAACCGCATTCATGCCCAAGAGAAATAATTCCGACTTGCAAGTGCATTCCATACTCGAAGTTCGGATGTTTCACTAGTAGCGGTCCACCAGAATCGCCCTATATAAAATTAAATGTCAAGATTTTATATATATATATATATATCAAAGCAATTTGACAGTACTTGACAAGTATCTCTAATTTCTACGTCTGAGATTGCACACATTTGGCTTTTTTCCAATATCCCTAAAGGTAGTTTCGCTTTAGACGACTGAGACGTGTAACTCCCATTGCACCTGGCTGCCGATACAGTGATCAAAGTTATTTTTAGCAAATCGTCACTCGAAGGCCCACCTAAGTATTATGGATTTATGTATTTACTTTTTCAGTAATATTAATAAATTTATTTATTCTCATTAATAATCACCGGAATCAGTATGTCCCCATCCGGCTGCCATCACTTCATTTGTCATAAGTTTTGTGTCAGTGTTCAAACATATCGGTAGTATGAACTCCGAAAAAACTACTTCGTTGCCCAATTTGAATAATGCTAGATCGTTGTAACGTGCTTCTGCTGTTTGATAGTCAGGATGTAAAATACGTTTCTCAATGCTGTAAGTTACGGGCCTTGCATCATCGGTTTCCAAGGCGCTATTGAGTTCTCCAAGACGAATCCAACGAGAGATTCCACTATAAAAAAATGAATTATAAAATAGAGGATAATATATATTTAAGCTATCTTCAAAAGTTATTACAACCGACTGTATTCAATTTTTTTTTCAAAAAAATATATGTACTACTTATAATTATAGTTAGGTAATTTAACAAATAATGCAGATCTTGTACTTCATGTACCTGATTTAGACATTGGAAGTATATTATTTATTGTAATACATAAGTTTCTTTTCTTATAAATTTAATATTGAACGTCATCCTACTTTCTAGTTATGAAGGAATTCTATCGTACATAGATATAAAAAGTTAAAATGACAGAAGAATTTATTTTGGTGTTTCGTGTAAATCATTATAAAATGATATACCTACATTGTTCTTTTTTAATGGAACTATTAGATGTTTGTATAATTCAATAACATATAGAATTCAAAATACGTTATTTATAAAAAAAATGTGTCCATTAGTACATTTGTGTCTATTAGTAACTACTTGGGATAGATTTAGTTTACATTATACCTATTTCGTCAAATTTATGTGAAAATATTTTGTTACCTAATAAACAAACAAACTTCGAAAATGCTGTTGGTTTTAAAAGAAAAATGTAGACTTAAATTTAAAATAAGTAATTCAAATGTAATTGCTTACAGTGCATTGTGCCGTTCACAGTGGGCTGCAGTTAAGACCCATTTGTTACTAATTAGCGAACCTCCGCAGTTCCAATCAACATTTTCCAATAGTTCTCCATAACCTATCATTGCCTAAAAAAAACAATAATTAATGTAAACTCATGTCCATTAAAAAGACTTGATGAGATAATGGTTTAAAAATAGTAATTTAGACATAATATGAAAAAACCTTTACTGCAATATACGAATTACAAACAACCCGAGTAAAACTTATGGAGTAGGTACAAAGTTATGTACCTAATAAAATATTAAAAGATACCCTTCACTACAAAACATGATACACATAAAGAGGTTTAATAAATGTTTTTAAAAATTACGGTATAGTTCTAGTCGCATCCAAAAGTAATAATTTAAAATCTTTATTAGGTATCACAAAAGATAAAATAGGGAAAGTGGACAAATCTGAAATCTATAAAATACAACGTAAAGAATATGATTAATGCTATGTAGGTGACTATTTTTCAGCAAGTAACAGGGTACCGTATTATTAAGTTCGAAAATATATTGTTTATTTTTTAGGTGTTTTTCTTTATTTGATAAGAAAGATGTGAATCTTTTTATATTTTTATCCTTAAAATTTATTTTTGAATACAAATTCTAATCTATACAATTGCTACATAAAAAAATTCGGTCTGATGGTTAATAAGTGTTTGTGGGTTTAGACTTAAGACACAAAACATTTTTAAAAACTTTAATTTAAATTCAACTCCTTCGCAGCTCCGCATCAAAGCTAACATATTATATAAATAAATATGTCTAATTAATGTAGTACCATATATGGGAATTCCTTAGGATCGGCCTTAGTTCCGCCCAATATGTCTACTCTGTCTCCAGGATTGTCTGTTGTGTCCTTTTTCTGCACTCGTTCCAGTTCGTATCTGCGATATACGTCTAAGTATTGGACGCACACTAAAACATATTTCCTATAAATTTGTATTTTGTTTTATTGTGTTGAACAATGTTCAATACTTTCAACAGCTGTATGCGATTTCGTAAGTTTTTGAGTAGTGGACAATTTTGTGTTGAAGTCATTTTTTTTTTCACTAGGGGGGCAACATACGATCGGTTCCAATCCAATAAATGAACACAAACGGAGTTTTTTGCGTTGATGAATATTATTTTGTGCTAATGCACAATTTTCATGACGCCGACAAACATAGTTAGATTGATTGTCATCACATATTTCACCTGTTTAATTAATTAAGAATAGAATGTATCACTGCATACAATTATTAATGTTTAAACGGCTCCACGGTACAAGACGTATGGAAATATAAATTTCTCTAAATATTTTATTGAATTTGTATCGTGTACGCACAGCATCATGATAGTAAAAAAATGTCACCAGCTATAAAAGTAGGAATCTAAAAAAAATGTGCTTTATGAAAGCATAATATTTGTAAATATTTTACTTGGTAATGTGAAAACACAACTCAGGTAAAAACATATTTTTTGAAGGGGTTAATAATTTTAATGTAGCAGGTGTCTCTTAAATGACCAATATAAATAAGATGGACATTATTTTGTTAGAAAATACATTTTAAAAAGGTTGATGTTTTTTTATAATATAGTATTTTTGCTCTAATAGTGACGCCTGAAAGTTAGATAGTTAAGATCCTGCTATCTTCTCACCAGCTTCCAAATTTCTCTACGCTATTAGGGATTAATACTGATTCAATGTATTATTGCAATACAATATATAATAATATAATATAATTTATAATTTATTTAATATAAAAAATGTTCTTAATTAATAGTATAAAACTTAATACAATAGCACGTGTTTGAAAAATATATTAGCATTATTTTCAAAAATATTTCTTTGAGTAGTAAGTTCTAAAAGTAAAAATGCGGAACAAAAATTTTGAGTATAAAAGCTTACTTGATTAATAAGAGAATTTATGGTTAATAAAAGTACTATGAATAATACTTTTTTTTATACTAAGTATTTTCATTATTTTATTTAACAAATTATTCTCTTGATAGCGTTATGATATTCGTCATACCAACCTTCGTTCAGCTGTAACAACTTATCGAAACAAGATCCCAAGTCGAAAGAGCACAATATGGCACACGAAATCAACGTAATATGCATTTTAAAGTAGATATTCATTTAGCATAGATAAGAAATAACCTTTAATGTTTTACTTGTGCCCAATATGAAAACATAATAACATGATACATAGTTTTGGTCGTCTAATGAGCACGTTAAACAACTACTGGCCAATACGATCCGACAGACTTGAGTAAACACCGCACACATATTTTGTCTTCATACACTCTCTATACAGGTTTTCTGCGAGGTGATATCTTTATCTTTCAAGGTTCTATCATATAATGACTTATTGGTTTTTTTTTGCAAACAACAATATGTACAAATATACACTTTAGCGTATAAAGCTAATATGCACATTTTCGGAAAATTGTATACTTTACTAGTGTATAATTACAATTTAAGGTTATTTGTTTAATTACCAAGAAGAATTTGGTAGTAAACTATATAATGCGTAGCAGGCAAAACACCAATTTTACTATAATTATACATTAAATACATCTACTACACTCTACAGTATAATGTTTACACCTGTTTCACCAAATCCTGATAACTTGGAATAAACAGTTAAAAAAGAAAGAAACATTTTCATGCTCGTTCTGGAGGCAAAAATAAATAATCTTACCCTGTGGTTTTTTTCGAAAAATGTATGAGGAATGAGAATAAACCTAGGGATATGTTTGTTAATAATAGTTAGATTATAGATAAGTATATATTGTATAATACACTATTTAAATTCAAAAATATAAATTGGATTTAATTTTAAAAATTTGTTGGTATTCAATAAGTAATAAACTTAAAATTAATAAATTCAATAATTAGTAATTTATCATAATTGTTGTTTCTTGAATACTACGCTATGGTATGAACGCAGCGATGGAAAAAAATAATTTATGTTTTGTCTATATACGTAGTGTAATAGATAGATGGTTCCTGTAATTTAGAAGTTACAATCAAAACTTCTCCCACCTGTGATTCTGTTCACGCGCAGTTATTTCCACGGTCATGAATTTATTATTTTAAAAAATGAAAAAACCACAACCTCAAACTATAACATAGTAAACAGCATACCAATGAAGTGTGTATTGTAAAACATAACGTTTGAACAAAGTATTTTAAACTATAAACTTTAATTTACTGTTTTTATAATTTCAATTATTATTATAATCATGACAAACAAACATGTGTTAAACCATGTTTGTTTATTATTATGTTTTTTAAGTATCGCCACAGGCCAGGTTATTAAGCGTGAGTTAATTTTTATATTTATGTATTAAGTGTGAATTAATTGTAGTTTTTTGTTTAATGATGTATTTATATTGATTGATATTCACAAACCTGTTAAATTTTATTTTACAATATATTTTATTCAGTTAATCAAAAAATATTTTTTTCTAAAAACAGAAATTTTTAATTTATGAAAAAATAATTTTAAAGTTCAACAATTCAAACATTTTTACAAGATGATCAAATTAATATAAGATATGTTATTTCTCTGAAAATACCAGTGATTTTGTAGTTTTTTCTTTTAAAAAATATTTTTGTTGTTATTATTTTACAATATTATAAAGTTAACAAATCGACTATGCAAAATTCTTAATTTTTAAATTTAATGAAACACTTACATGTTACCAATTAAGACTTAGAAGTTGATAAGGCTTTATAAAATATATCAAACTAGTATATATTTAAATATTGCCTACGGTTGGAAAATAACATAGGCAAACAAACATTTTTACAGAAAGGAAAACTATACAATTGCTATTGGTTTTCGAAAAAATCTTACGAAAATCCATACCCCCTACATATAACACCAATAAAACAGTAAACACATTTATTGTCTGTTTAATTAATAAAATATATGACATTATCATTGTCGTATTAATTTATCATCTTTTGATTTGAACTGGAGCGTTTTTTTAACCCTTTCGTTACTGACATCCTCGTACGAGGATTTAACTTTAAAAATCGAATAAAATATTAATAACGTACTATCATTATCAAAAATGTCTTTAAACACAAGCTCTAGTATAGATTGATGTTAAAAAAATCGACACAGCTATATTGATAACCAATACCAGTCCGATACGTAAAAATATTGTTGATTTTTTTTCGAAAAAAGAAATCCCAGGAACGAAAGGGTTAAGGGTGATTTTACCGTTCTAGTTTTAATTATAATTATAATAATTCTTAAAGACTTGTGCGCCCCGATTTCATTATGCTCCGTCTTAATTATGCTGGCTGTATTTTTTTTTTTATAACATTTGATTCGAATTTATAGAATAAAAATAATTGTTTAGTATTTCTTTGTGGTAAAAAGATAGAAGTCCACGTCTAAACTACCACAAAGCGAAAAGAAGTTTTTATTTCATTAACGAAAATGGCGATGAAATCGAAACTGTACAAAACTCCAGTTCAGAATTTACGACTTCTACCAACCCGGTTATAACTATTTCTTCCGTAAAATTATCATTGCAAAACACGTGTGGACAGACTAATGTCATCCGCGATCGGATAGTTGGAGGAGAGCCTCCTAAGCTTGGTAACTTACTGATTACTTAAAATCTATTGTTAAATAATACATGTATAATAATAATAATGACTTGCATGATAACTTTAGGCGATTGGCCATGGGTGGTTGTTTTGGGCTACAATAATCAATATAAACCGAACAGCCCAGTACAATGGAAGTGCGGTGGATCTTTGATAGCTGAGAGCTACGTGTTGACATCTGCATATTGCACACTCAACAATAGTCAGAGCAAATTGTACGTCTATAAATTCCTCGACTAACATAAAAAAAGTCTCATTTGAATCTGTCGGCTTATAGACTCAACCCCATCGTATTCCAACGATACGTGGTTCCATGAACTTGATTTATCCGATTCATTATATAGGTACTAGGTAGTTGCTTTCCCTCTCCTCCCTTCTGGTCATATCTAAAATATTTAAAACCTTCTAGTTGTAATATTATTAATTATACGAAGAAAAAAAATATCGAGTGAATGTTGAATTAAATAAAACAACTTTATTATTTTTTGTTTAGAATGATGGTGCGTTTAGGTGATTTAAACTTAAATCCTAAAATACAAGACGGTGCTTCGCCCTTGGACATACCAATCGATAAGATTATACCCCACGAATCGTATGACAGTAAAAAATTCACAAACGATATTTCGTTATTAAAGTTAAAAAACTCAGTGAAATTTACCCGTAAGTACAAAACATACTTATTCAAATGGTATAATTATTATTGAAACTTTGATTGTGTGTAGAATATATTCAAGCGATTTGCCTTCCTCTGTCGCAAAGAATACGGACCAAACTGTTTGTGAGATACGTACCGACCGTTGCCAGTTGGGGTTCGACAAGTTCAAGTAAATCAATCAACATGTTTTTACTGAAGTTTTTGCCTTCATCAAAAACCACATTTAATATTTTTTGCCCGTCACAATTATTATTCAGATGGGCCTTTAAGTACTGCACTAATGGAAATTGGCATACCGGTTATAGAAAACCATAGATGCAATGATACATATGCAAAGTTCCCCGTTACCATCGACAACAGAACATTGTGTGCAGGTCACATAAATGGAAAAGGTCCTTGTCAAGTAAGAAAAAATCATCTTTCTACAAATATTACACCATATTTATTACAATATTTTATTTTATATTTATACTTTAGGGTGATTCTGGAAGTCCTTTGATGTTGCCACAAAGTAGACAGTGGTACTTGATAGGTATCGCATCGTTTGGATATAAATGTGGAGAAACCGGTTACCCTGTAGTGTACACTAGAGTAACACATTTTGCCGATTGGATTGTTAAAAAAATGAACAGCGCCTAATTTTTTCGGAAAATTTAAAGTATTTTAACAGATAAAGAACCTATGACAACTTATTCAAATTATTTTTCATGAGATAAATTGCCTTAATTATAAAATATGGCTCGACTGAGATTAGTTTAACAATTTATATCACAACCGCCAGCCCAACTATTATCTACCTATTGTTAAATATCGAATTAAATTAAGTTTATATTTCATTTCTAAATTCTATTTATTCCCAGTTTGACAGTAATCAAAATTTCAAACTTTCTACAAATAAACAAGTTTGACAATAGTGATATTGTTAAGGGGAGTATAAATTTGTGTAAACACTCTTCAAAGAAAACCTAATAGTTTTGTGTTCAGTGTGAATATGAATTTAAAAAACTGATGGAATGCCAAAGATTTAAAGAATATTAATTATAACAATTTTAAATATTAGACACATTTTTTTTTCAACTGGCATTATGGCAAACACATTTCAATTGTTTTGTAACAAGTATTAATATACTGCACATATTATATCTACATTACAAATGTATAGCTTAAATTTTTTTATATAAGTTTAAAAATAAATATTGTAAATATGTGAACGTAAAAAAAAAATACTTTGAAGTTGACATTACAATTATTAATTTATTTAGTATTATACTAAATAAAAAAATATTAGATATTGTTATTCTCAATAAAACTCTATAAAACATGATCTAAAATCAATTGTTGGCGAATTATAGTACTTTATAGTGTTTGTACTGCGACCGTAGATCGCTGAGACTAGATCGTAAGCCATTTAGTTAAAACAAAAAAACATTATCATAATGGATATGCCCGTAAGACTCCTACACTTAAAGTTATAAATCAAAGTCTTAGCACTCTTGATCGTCGTTACTAAGCTAACGATTTTTTCTTAAAACGTTAAAAAAAATGGATGAAATAGTATTTTAGTTTATGACAAGGATCCTGCGATTTTCTTATTATATTATTTGTGCTGTAGGTATATTATACTGCACAATGAAAACGATATGTTTATGTTTAACTAAATAATATCTGTAACGTTTTTCTCCCCGCCATTATTAACGTGATATTTATATTATATGTATTCAATGCGACGTCATAAAGTGAATGAGAAATTCGCAATGACCATGAAAATGTTCTCTACATCAGTTGCCATACGCTGTTATAGACACTTATCGTGTAAGATACAACAAAAAGGAAAATCCTCACCTACAAGTGTATTACCCACTGATCACTGTACACAATTAACTACGACCGGTATTCCGTGCAAATCATAAATAGCCGGCTGGATGTATTTCATCAGTTTAAATATGGTGAAAAGTTTGTGTTTCGTGTGTTTAACATTAATCATGATTAGTGCAGTGTCGAATCAGACTGTCAACAGTGAGTATCACACAATATGATAACTATTATTATTAAACATATTTCGAAACATATTAGGCAATAACAAGTTTCATAGCTACGGTGTATAATTATCTATAATTTTGACAGTGTGATTTTCTGTTATAACCATTCCAATAATATAATATATTATATTTTTATTACTTAGTTTATAACGTGCTGTTAAAAATTAGAATTTTATTTTAAATTCGTTCCCCTCTGTGTACGAAAATGTTGAACAATTAAATGGTTATTTCCCAATAGTGACCTGAGTCATACATCACCTAGGTATATGTTACTATTTAATTATTATACGTTGTGTAGGTTTATAAATAAATTATTTTGTCACAACTTTTCATTATTTAAATTTCAAATATGAATGTTAAAAATACTTCCTCGGCTTCGTACCAAACTAAAAAATATATGCTTGCAATGATCATAATAAATATGTTAAAATGGTAATTATGATGAACCACACCATAATGGTATTATGATTTAGATGCTTTGTAATGATCATAAACAGCATTTAAGTGTACATAAATGATTAAAGCATTATATAATACTGATTTATAAAATCTAGGCTGACAATGTAAATATTATTATAAATAATTTTTAAGTTATTTAAACAGTTTTATTTTTATGAAACTAAAATATTTATTATTAGTGTAATAATTATTATAAATAACGACATTTATTCGTATAAAGAGGATAAGTAAACAAATCTAATGTTTACTTTCACAATATTACATAATATAATTATTTGATTGATAAGAGAAAAACATAATTAATAATCGTAACTAATGCGTAGACTATACAAATTGACTTCCCTTTCAAATAATAATACAATAATTATCATAGGTACTATATTATTTTTGTTTTATTGATGAATATAAATGAATTTGGCGAAGTTAATAAAAAACATAACTAACACGTGGTTTTTCAATTGTACGTTCAAATTTATTAAACGTAGCACATAATTTAATCATAATTCTCATTGATAATTATTAAATTTTATAATTGCATATTTAATATATTTTATAAAATATAACTTCTTTCAAACTTGATTAATTATCAAACATAAATAATATGATAGGCTGGAAGGTCTTATAAAATCATTGTATTTGATTTCTTAGACTGCCGTTTGAACACTGGAAAAACTGGGGAATGCAAAAACATAAAAAACTGTCCTTCGTTACGAACCGTTTTAGTTAATGAAAGGTATAGACCGTCGGTGATTGCTTATCTTCAAAGTTCTATTTGTGGTTATGACGGCATCGATCCAAAAGTGTGTTGTCCGATAGTTTCTGATATTTATACTTACAAGAAAAATTATATCGGTCTTAGAAATATCGACATCCAAAATGTTTCAGTTGTAACGTCAACGCTTAAGGAGCCACCATTTTTATGGAGTTCTGCAACAGTTACTTCCCCTTTGTCAACGACACCGACATTTTGCAGTTGCGTTTTAATTCAGTTATGTCCGGCCATTCGAGGACTACTGAAAAAATACAGAGGCAGCACTTCGGTTAAATCTTACATAGAAAACTTGATATGCGGATACGAAGGTAGATACGCAAAAGTTTACTGTCCCCAATACACCAACGAAGGAAACTTGTTGGAAAATTCCGACCCCGACCATATTATCACTTACAGACTGAGTAATTGTAATGCCAGAAACAAAAACGGCATCAACAATAACATTGGATACACCTCGGCTTCAAAAAATATAATCACATCCACAAAGCCTAGTGTAACGGTCACGCTAAACGACGGAATCGAGCAGAATAAAATCAATAAACCCAGTGTCCTATCATTGGCAGCATCTAATGAAGTACCTCTAGCCAACGTCTGCGGCCAGACCACAATTATCCGAGATCGACTTGTCGGAGGAGAGAGACCCAGTCTAGGTTAAGTAACATAATAATAATTTAAAGTGATTACAACGGAGTATCGAGAAATCTACTTGGATTTATGTCATGAAAGTCTATAGTATGGAGGCAATATTTTGTGCGTGAACATTGGGTAATTTTAGTAATAAAACGGATATGAAAAATTTGTGTAGAAGGATTTACAGATAGAAATAGAGTTAGTAGACCGAGGAGAAGTGGGTAGATTTAAATAAAGATAACAAGAAGCGTGCCGCGTGGAGTAATTAAAGAAATACTAATGAATAAAAATGTATGTACAGAGAGAATTGGCTGACCGACATCATTTGTATGAGATTAAGTGAAGATAATTTCATAATTCAAACTTATAAAAGATCGGCTTACCTTATCGATCACCATTCTTATCACTAGTATATATCTTATTAGCTCATATTTCCTCCTCTTATATTCCTTGTAATGTCGATTTTTTTTATATTTCAACTGATATAGCAGACAAATATTTTATGTTAAAAATATAAACACTAAAAAACGGTTTTAAGACGGTCCTAGTCGTTTTTTTTTATAGACGATTGGCCGTGGATAGTCGCCTTGGGATACAAAACTAATTCTAAGCCAAACAATCCACTTCGTTGGTCATGCACTGGTGCATTGATAACTGAAAGCTATGTGATAACAACTGCACATTGTACTACAGCGTCTGCACTCGGCACACAAGAATTGTAGGTTGATTCGCATGTTCGGCTTATTTATTAACTTTATAATACAATGAATATTTTTTCACACGACAATGTGCACCATTAGGCATTTTTTTTCTGGCCATGTAGGCCAAACGTTGCCATAATAATAAGATGGTTTATTGACGAATTCGCTAGTCCGTCGCATTAAATTATTAAAGAAATTTAAATTGTTTTTTATTTACAGGTCGGCGGTGCGTTTGGGTGATCTGAATTTAAATCCCATCGTAAACGATGGCGCTTTGTCACAAGACGCTCTGATTGAGAAGATAATTGTCCACGAATCGTACAACGTAGATAAGTATTCCAATGACATAGCGTTGTTGAAATTAAAAACTCCTGTCAAATTTAACCGTGAGTTTCAGTATAAAAAAATGAGAGCTATCAAACAAGCTCAAATGTATTGCAATTAAATTATTTTGGTTTTTTTTTCGTCTTATCAGACAAATGTGACCAAATCCTCTTTCTCCATTTTTCTACTAAACACACCATCGTATTGTCTTTATTTATAATGTGTACTCGTCTACCTATACTACTTAGTTCTCTAAGCTAATAATTATTTTTAATTGATTTCTTAATATGTTCCCCTCCCTTCTCTCAATACGGCAAAAATATTATCTCAGCATATATTTTTTATTTAACCTGCTATTGTCACAGCTTCTAAATGAACATTTATATATGTTTTACTAGTTCTATTTAACTTAAGTATCTCACACATCATCCAACTCAACATTCGCAGCTACTTTTATTTTATTTTTATCTCTTCTAAACTCAACTGCCACACCCTAGTATTCTGTTAAAATAATATCTAAATTATATTTTTTAACCAAAAACTCCTATTCTACCTCTGCCTCTTTCTACCTCATGCAACTATACTTTATTCGATTCACCACATCATTTTTTATTCCTCCATTTCCTTGCATAATAATTAGTGATCATAGTAATATTATCTTTATTTCAGAACACATAAAACCCATTTGTTTACCCGTTTCGTCTAATATGAGATCTAAAACATATGTGAAGTATTCGCCTACTGTTGCTGGCTGGGACTCAACGCCTTCGCGTAAATCAATTATAAATATCTTTTCAATCCAAACTAATCATACCAATATTGACTTGTAGATTTATTACTATTATTTATGTAGGTCAGATCAGGAATACAGCTATGTCAGAAGTGTACACTCCAATTATAGATTTAACGGTTTGTAAAAGTATATTTGCAAACGAGTCAGTTGTGATTGATAACAGTGTATTTTGTGCCGGATATTTGATTGGAGGAAATAATTCATGCCTGGTAATCAAATAAGGCCTATTATGTTGAAACAGTGATCAAGAAAAAATGCTAAAAAAATAAAAAAGCCTTATTTTACTTTAGGCCTCTATTTGCATTGACTTGTCAGTTGCCTTACGATAAAGAACATAATTTTTTGTCATTACTCGTCTGCATTGTAATTTAATAACTTTTGATTTTATATCTACCGTTTTATGCAGTTTATATAATTACTGCTCTTGATGTTTTAAAAATTAGTTAAAATCTTCATTATCTTGACCACTGTTCAATGTGATAATAATCAAATTATAATTAATAAATGTATGTTTGTACATTCAACTGCGTTTTACAAATTATGTTTTAGAACGGATCTGGAAATCCTATGATGTTGCTGAAAAATAAACAATGGTATGTACTTGGAATTACGTCTTATGATTTGAAATGTGCTGAACGTGGATTTCCTACCGTTTTCACGAGAGTATCGCATTTCGTGAATTGGATTAATAACAAAATTAAAAACGAATGAACAAAACAAGAATATCACTTTTTCGTAGTTATAAAGAAACAATAACTACATTAAAGCAACATTCATAGTTTTATTATTTCATATGTATAATAAAAGTTTTATTCACTCGATTTCTTATACTCATCATTTAATAATAAGTACCTCTTAAGTGTTATTGTATCCTTAGTAGATTTAAGTAACGGACAATAAAACGTTATTATTAGTATTAGCTCATATATTTATTATGTAGACATTAAAATAGAAACGAACTATTGTTCGTACATGCAATGTATTGCATTACATACATTGTAATATCCCATACATGCAAACAAATATACATACAAGCCCAATAATATTTTACTCACGTCAATTAAATATTTATTATTCAGTATAGTTTTTACATTATTATTATTTACTATAACACTGTCTAAATAACAAATATATTGAACTCAAAAGATACTTTGCATCAGTGACCGTTTACCATTAACAGTCTAGTGTTTAAATTAACAAAATAAAGAACAACAAAATTTAAGCTCGAACAATTGGTGTTATTGAAGCGCTTATGACAGCTCCAATGTGTTGCTCTTGTTTTACAACAGTTAGTACTCGTTTTTTCATGCACCACAAATACATTAAAATTAGCAGTACAAGAAGTCAGTATACTAATAATAAATATCTTTAGTTTAATTAAGTCTGATTTTAACAATAGACGACGGTTTCAAATTATTGGATCAGACTTTTTTCTGACCTAAAACGTTAAACGTTGTTACTTAGCTTAGCCTTCATAATTATGACCACCCACCATATCAATTTGGTATAAATTGAACAAAATATAAATGGAACCATGATAATATTTTATTAGTAATCACTAAACTATTTAAAAAAAATACAATTAAAGTAGCCATTTATAATTATTTGTACTAAAGAGTTATTATACATAACATAATAATACACTGTTTACAAAGTAGGCAATTTAGAATATTAGTATTATTTAAAACGCTTATCTATTTTTAATTTTACAAATATTTAAATTAAAACAATTGATGAGCTAAGGACTGTTTTTTTAATACCAATGATAAAATATGTAATAGGTAATAATATATTTATGAAACACGTTTTAAAAAAAAAAATTGTAAATTATGATAAACAGACATTATAAAAGTTAGTCATCTTGTAGTTTTCCTAAAATCCAGTCAACAAAATATGTGACTCTCGTATACACACCGGGATAACCCGATTCGCCGCATTTATATCCAAACGACACGATGCCAATTGAATACCACTGTCCACTTTGTGGAATCATTAGTGTATTTCCAGAATCTCCCTTTAAACAGAAGACCAATTATAATTCATGATAATTCAAACTAATACAGCTAAAATAATATTTAAAAATAACTATACCTGACAAGAACCTTTCCCGCCCTTCAGAGATCCTGCACATAACACTCTGTTATCAATTGTAACGGGAAACTTTGAGTATGAACGATTGCAGTCCATGTTATCCACAACTGGAAGTCCAACTTCCATCAAAATGTTACTTAAAGGTCCATCTGAAAATTGATGAACGAACAATGTATTTTTTGTACTTCAATTAACATCAGCTAATTACTTTTTCAATAATTGAAAAATAATGTAATATTCATTTTTTTTAAATTAGACTAACGCAAAGTGAACTCTATTTTTTCACAATTTTTTATATGATATACATATATATACATATATAAGTTTAAAAAAGCTTTAATTTAAGCGGCATTTATATTTGCATAAAGCCAATATGTAACTGAAAACCTTGTAAATATGTTGAGCAATACGACCTTTACAAACCTAAATCAATGTTTAACTATTATTGATAGAGTCATAGATTATCAAACTTCCGACATTCTAGTTTTAACTTTGAAAAAACATGTTTTAATAACTGTCTTGATTATAGAATTTCTTCATGTGCATTTTTATATGAAATAGTAATAACTAATAAATAATCATAAATTGTTCAAAGCTTTTATTATTTTTTGCTAAGGCAATAAAGTAACTTTTTCAATATGAGTGTATTTTCAAATTTTGTAAATAATGAGATAATACTAAATAAACATCGTGGTTAAACATTTTACGTTAATATGTCGATAGTTAAAAGCGCACATATTATATTAAGCGAAATGTAAATTAAAATGTAGTCATTTATAAAGTAAACGTTTTAGATTAAGTACATTTTTGATTTTTAATAATCAGAATTAAAAACAATAGAATATCAATCATATTATCATCAAAGTCGTAGGCTAAAAACGGACTTAATCTAAACATTTAATTTGCGAATGAAGCCATTATTATATAATCTGCACTTAACACATGTGTGCAATGTGCATTTAACCATCAAATTACACATTGGGTCTAAAAATTCTACTTAAAATGTTTACCCAAAGCAAGACAAGTAACATTTATATTTATAACGCCAATGTGATTCATTTGGATTATTGATTAAACAGTAATTATATACTCACTTATTCTTGTGGTACCCCATCCTACAACAGTCGGTGTGTATTTAACGAATAGCTTAGATCGCAATTTTTGAGAAGTCGGTAAACAAATGGGTTGGACGTGTTCTAAAGAGTAGGTACATATTATAATGTTTCAGTTATTAAGGGAGATTTTTTTCATAAATAAAAACATACTGTTGAATACAGCAGCAGACTCTAGTTTCAACAGAGCAATGTCGTTAACACGTTTTCTTCTGTCGTACGACTCGTGTGCTATTATCTTTTCAATTGGAATATCTTGAGGCGATGCACCGTCGTCGACGTCAGGATCTAAACTCAAATCTCCCAAACGTGCTACAGACCTAGAAAACGTTATTGATCACATAAAGGTAAAATAACATACCAATTATTATTATTGTCTCCGAAACAAGAACCGTTTACACTTACAGTTTTGTCTGTCCTGTTTCGATAGTACAGTAAGCCGATGTCAATACATATCTATCAGATATTAAGCTACCACCGCAAGACCACTGAAGAGGATCGTACGGTTTGTATTTATTTCGGTACCCTAATGTCACTGCCCACGACCATTCGCCTAAAAAGTTCAATAATGTTACTTACACTTGATCGACTTTTTCGTGATAATAAGAAGTATTTATCCAAACCTAATTTTGGAATCTCTCCGCCAGCTATCCGATCTCGTATAACAATCGTTCTTCCACAAGAATTTTCATTTGGAATTTTTGATGTCGATATCGTTTGGTAATAATCGTTATTTGGGTTTCTGGTTTTAATAGAAAGTCCACTGTCAGAAGATCCATCAGTGCAATCACTCGAAGATGGACAACAGACTTTAGGAAACTTTCCTTCGTAACCGCACTGAGAGTTTCGAAGGTAAGACATAACAGAAGAGTTCGCCCTGTGATTCACCAGTTGACTTCGGAGAGAAGCGCATTTTAGAATGTTAATACAATTGCCAACTCGATTTGATGGCGTAGTGCAATCTATTACCAAAAACAAACATTAGAAATGTTACTTATGTTTTTTTTAACGTTAAGTAAACTTAATAATATATTGTTTAAAGCAAAAATATCAAATAGTTATTTTGGAATAAGATATAAAGCACGTTTTAAAATTTGTATTTCTTATGTTCTTTATGTATTTATTTGCCTATTGGAATTTAGGACCTTCATATGAGGTTCCTTAGTAAGAACAATAGAAATAATGTCGTCTATTGAGGAAACATAACAAGTAATTATTTCTGATATGCTCTGCTACACATTAAATACCGTGTGATTCTTTTAACGCCCTCCACTAGTTTACTCTTAAAATAATTGTAATTTTTGTAGTGTTCCTTTTGGAAACATTTTTATTTATGTTACAGTAAAATATTAAACAATATCAACATTTTTACCTTTTTTATTATTTTCCATAACCCTATCAACTATTGAAACCTAAATGGTAACATACTACATATTTAATTGAATTTTTAAATTAATAATAATTTACTGAAAATATTGACTGGGTGATAACCAGTTTTTGATAATTACTTTTAAAGTTATTTAAGTTTAAACGGATAAAAAGGACGGGGGTGAAGTGCGGCAGAGTAATGCGCATAAATACAAATCTCTATTCTCCCTTCCTCTCGTCCTAAATTTTAAACGTCTAATAAATTTAAAACTAATTATTCAAAACTGGTTATCGACCAGTCAAAGTAGTCAGCAAATTATTATTAATTTAAAAATGTAATAATATTTATGTTACCATTTAGGTTTTATAAGTTGTATGGATTATGGAAAATACTAAAAAAGATAAACAATTTAAAATTATCTAATATTGTAATAAAGCATAAACAATTAATATGTTTTCAAAAAGAAACACTACAAAATATCAATCATTTAAATAGAAACTGTTGTAGGACGTTTAAAAAATCACCCGGTATAACATAATACATGTCATGGATAAAAGCGCATGCAAAGTGTCAGGCATATAATAAAATAAAACAAAAATTAAATTAATCTTACGAGATATGGATTGAGCAGCTACCACACTGAGTCCAAACATTAAGTTCAAATAACCATGACTAGTAATTGCCATAATGTTTGTTTTCAACAAGCACTAAACGGTACACAGGTAATTAACTATTGCAAAATATTATTAATTATTCATTAGAATTGAACTACAGAACTACAATAAGTATAATTTGGCGTTTATATGCTTCCAATTCGCAACTAATTTTAACTTCCATCATATTATAGCGCGTGCGACTTCTCGTCTGGCGAATATTTTCATGGTCATACAGTATATTCTTCAGCTTTATAAATAATCAACAAAACTACGTTTTACTGTGGAAGGGGCATACAACACTGAAATTGTTAAAAATATTTTATTTTATAAACCCTTACGTTTATTCAATTCATAAAGTAATTATGTCGAAAAATATAATTTATGTTATAAATAGTTTGCAATGGTATAATTTAATTATATTGACCACGTTTTTCCACGGAAAGGGAATCGTGTAATTATTCTGATCATTAATATCATCGCTATGCTAATCAGATAAAACGACGTCTCAATATACAGAGATGCTAGAATAACATTTGTATGGCCTATCCATCCAACTGTATACCACACCAATTGAACAACCTGTATAAAATATTATAATTTTACATGAATTATACTTGTATGAATTCGGGTTAAATGTCTTAAATCGTTGGAGCCGACCGAATAATAGTTAATAATATAACACGTTCATTGTCTATAATATTATTTTCTCAAATTCCCATTGTTACTAAATACATACCTAAATCAAATGATTTATAATAACTCAACGATATAGCATGATAGTCAGCAATCAAATTATAGTAAATTCCGGTGGCTAAAACAGAACAGTATCATTGTGGTTATTGTAAAACGAAAGTACAAACATAATATTTCGTAAAATTTAAATAGTTAACAAAAATACATTTTTATTTATTATGGTATTGTACAATATTATAAAATTACCAAATATTTATCTTTTTAGTTATTTCCAGAGCGCATTTTCGCTTAAAATCAAATAATTCTTTTCAAATAAATTAAACTAATAAACTGAAACAAACCATTTACATTGATCAACAAACATAAAACTTGTTAATGTTGAACATCGACAAACTTAAAACATATCACTAGTTGGTAGATTAAGTCGTATAAGGACACAGTATTATTATAATGTTACAAGTTTTGACGAATTATGGTATTCGTAATGGGTTTTTCAGCCATAGATCAATTATATTTTAGTATTTTTTTTCCTTTTGGGTATTTATACATTATGATATTTAAATAAATAATATAAAGAACCGACAAAACCAATTTAATATTGTTGTAACCTTGAATATTGGAAAACAAATAGTGGATAACCTGAATCCCAGTACGGAGACAGTGAAATAATACGGCAAAAACAACAACGAGCTCAGTATTCATAAACGGAGACCAACGTTAGTTTATATTTGCATTTGTATTTTTAATATTATTTAAATTCTAGTTTATTGAACTCATTTGGCAGCTCTTTAGTTTTATTGCAATGATGATTTACTACAAATTTGGCGTCTTATTAATTTGCTTTGTCCTGTATTTTGCTATATCGAAAACAAAAGCGCAAGTATTAGAATTAGATGAAGGCGAGTTTCTAACTATCTTTAAATCGTTTTGTTAAATTCGTTCGAAACTTTTAAGCCCGGTTTCACCAACGATTAACGGCTAACCGTGTGTAAAATCATTATCGCTTTATACAGGAGATATATGTAAACGAAGTCGTGAACCTACGCAGCCTCACTCCGTTTGCCGGCGACTTAAAGATTGTGGTGTCGTGCACGAACAACTCAAGAAGAATATTTATCCTCGGATTTGCTCGTATTCCGTACTCGACCTAGTGGTATGTTGTCCGTATCCGTTAAAAAAAGTCAACACTACAAAAGTAACACAACCGCCAGTTAAAAGTAGCCCAGGAAAGTCGAATTCCGCCATTAGAAGTATTATACACGAAGTCGACTTACGTCGTCGCAAGTGTCGTATAACGTGTCATTTTGTTTGCAGAGTGTAGTGAATACAAAAACCTGCCTTTTGATTTACTGTCATTGGGTTATCACGAGGAAAACACGGATAAGGACAAAAACTTGAACGAAGTGTACTTCAAGGAGTTTCCACACATGGTAAATACACTACATTACGACTATACACGTTTTTCCATTTTCCTTTTTTTGCTTAACTCAAAATTGCACTAGTCGACGGTGACTATTAAACTGTTAATTTTAAAATGTTAGTTGCACTTGATCACATACCATGTTTGTTGCCTCCTATATTTAGTGAGCGGATCGTTGCTCTGGTCCATTTAGTACGAGCCAATGCCCGCTGAATGACTAAACGGCATGTGTTATTCCTTTGCAGGCTTTGATAGGTTACGGAGAAACGAAAAGTGCAATCACTTGGGATTGCGGTGGTTCCCTGATCAGCAACAGATGGATACTGTCTTCGGCGCTTTGCGAGAAAATAGGCCGATCGTAAGTCGTTGCGTGTTGTAAAACAAAATCGTGCATTATAATTTTCAATGAAATTATTAAATTGACAGTGTCTGAAACATATTGTGCAATGTTTGTTATTACAGAAACAATTTTGCGCGGTGGGTTTTGCTGGGTTTGATAAACACCGATTGGATCGACGGCGAAGACCTGAAGACCAATTTGTATGAAATCGAAAAGCGTGTTGTGCACAAAAACTATCGATCGACATCCATATACAACGACATTGCTCTGTTTCGTTTGAACCGAGACGTGGAATTTTCAGAGACTATACGACCAGTATGTCTCAATGTCGATCCTCTGTTCAAACCCTCGACGGTGACGGCCACGGGATGGAGTCCAAACACAACAGTAGACGGTTCGTTTGGCTATCACGAATGCATTATATTATTATATTGTGTGTTCGTACCTGACCTGATATCTGGGCGATATTTTAAGTGCGGTATTTTTTGTTGTTTGTTTGTGTAGGACGCGGAACGAAGAGAGTTAAAATTTTGCAAAAAACCACTTTAAACACTATATCGGACAGCGAGTGTAATAGTATTTACGCAAATGACGAAAACCAACAGTTAGTGTTGAAGATATCAGATGAAAGTCAGATTTGTACAAAATACGTCGAAGACACTTGTATAGTAAGATAAACGGCTAACAGCGCAGAAACGTGCAGTTCAATGTAGTAATAAATTATGACATTTGTTTTTTTTTTTTAGTCCGATACTGGAGGACCACTGCAAGTGAAAAATGCTGGTGGCGATTACACCACATACACGCAAGTGGGCGTGACTTCGTTCGGAAAAACGTGTGGTTACAAGGACGTACCCAGTGTATATACTAGAGTGTCAGCATATATTTCCTGGATCGAAGAAAACGTTTGGAAATAATTAAAGTACTTAAAAGTTCGTTTTGTCACAAGAATTAGTGTACTTATTTTTTTTTAAACCGTTAAAATGAATTAAAAGTAAATTTATACTGTATATTGCTGTTTTTTTTTTTTTTGAGCGAAGTTCCTTATTTTTAATATTTTGTTTTTTTACGGTTTACCACTTAAATCGACAATAGCCTATTTAAATAAAAAATGCCTAAAATTTGAGGTCCCTAGCTCAATTTCAAGTACTTATAGTCATGATATTTTTGCATTTGATTAACATTGGATATTTTAATTTTTCATTCAAAAAATTCTTAAAAACAAAATATGCCACTTAAAAATACCTCTTTTGATATTTCGTTATAAAGGTAATTATTGTGTTTTTAGCAAGTTTTTAAGTTATCATTTTTATCACTTTCAATGGTCTGTTAATAGATAATAAAAACCATTTTAATCGTGAAATATCAAGAAAGTTATACTTCAGCTTTAAGAATCTTTTTGTAAATTGTAAAAATATTGATTAGGTTTCAATTTACAATTTTTTTAAATAAAATTCTCCATGTTAATAAAACGCAAAAAAAAATCACGAGGAAGAGTTTTTTATAAAGTTTTTTTTAATTGTTTTATATTTACAATTTTTTTTACATACCTCGTTTGTAAATTAGTTATTTATTAAGTGTACATGGAGTTAAAAGCAAAAATGTTGATATCATATATAAATCCTCGTCATTTACAACACAAGCTTTATTACGGCTTAGACAATTTACATAGGTCAAAAACACCATAATTATACTGGTGTGTCACTTGTATTAGTATTATCCGTATACACTATACACATAGTACAAGTATTCTTAAATTTAAGCAAATAGTTATTTTTTTTAATATACAGTAGTTCAGGACTATACAAACTTGACCTCGGTGAAAATTTAAATTTCAATGGGTGTTAATGTAATTTATAAATGACACGCAATAAAAACTACGTATACTATGGGCTATGAACAGGTGTTTGTTGTTGTCTAATAACAAAAATTAGAGTCTTATTGTGATTGTACACATTGTGGCCGAGACCTTTCCCCGCCTGCTGGTGTAGGAAACGATGTGCCGGCCGTCTCCAGTGTCGTTTACCGGTCGCGGAGAGTTCACGTGTGTCGCCACACATTTTTCTCCCGGTCGGGCAGGTTTCTAAAATTTAAAAAACTAAAATGATAATGTCTAAGTATCCATTTTTTGTATGCTATTTGATCGCGGCTTGCGTTTTGCTACCCAACACTCACGTTATAGCTATTGCAGCCGACGAGCACGATGTACAGACAAATGACGATCCAGAACAAAAACCGGCCGTTGCCAATAACAGGTACGAACCAACCTGGGATAGCCTGGACGCGAGACCCTTGCCCACGTGGTACGACAAGGCTAAGTTCGGAGTGTTCATCCATTGGGGTGTGTACTCGGTGCCAGGATTCGGTAGTGAGTGGTTTTGGATGAATTGGAGAGGTGAGTACGAGCAAACGTATTGTGTTATATTATTATATATACACATATTATATTATATTATTTCAATTAAATAAAAACATACATTTTTTATTCTAAAAAGCACTAGACGGTCCTCGCCGCAAGAGCTTGGGCACACACAGATAGGGCATAGAACTGCAATATGTGTTCGTGTATTCCTGAGATTTATTTTCATCCCAAATGTTGGTATCGAAGGATAAATACTGAAAACTTTTTTGACAATATTTTTGGTTTGCTGTATAGGAATACTATATGTTATAGGCAAATCATCGATATAAATATGTGTGAGAATGAAAACTATTATTTCAAAACACGTTAATTATTATGAATAAAACGATTTAAAATATCTTAAACAACCAGAAAATATTCAGGCTTGAAGTGTTTTAGCTAACCTAAGTGGTTAAAATTTGAAGGATTAGTTTTTTTTAATAAATATTAAAATGTGCTAATTTTATTTTTAACTTTTTAATTTGACGCTTCGAGCAAAATGTATTACCTTAACACTTATTGCGCACTATACGGATATTAATTTGTTTGCTATTTTATATTACTTAAATAGTTAAATAGTTAATAAATATAGCATGGCCTGCCAAGCTTATCTGATGCGGTGGTTACGTCATCAGTCTTTATTGGCTGATCAATAAATTGTTCTCCAGGCAGAAAAGGTCACTCGTACGTAAACTTCATGACAAAAAATTTCAAGCCCGGATTTTCCTACCAAGATTTTGGTCCGAAGTTTACCACCGAATTTTTTGACCCCATGCATTGGGCTGACCTAATCAGACTCTCCGGAGCAAAGTAAAACATTGTGTCAACGTATATTGCTATATTATATTTAAAACGAATTATAATTTTTGCATTAGATATGTCGTGCTGACATCTAAACATCACGAGGGTTACACAATGTGGCCTTCGAAGAGATCATTTGGATGGAATTCAATGGATGTCGGACCCCATCGTGATATAGTTGGTGAGTTAAACATTATCATTGTTATTCATTATAAAAAATTAGTCACCCTTTTTCAACTATAAAAACACTTAAGTCGTTGTATAATAAAATATCCCAAGAAAATATTATGTTTCATTAAATTCATGTATTATTTTCCAATGAAAATTTAAAAACTAATTGTGTTAACTTACTTAAACTGTTTTAACTTAAATGTTTATGAGAAAGTATTTGAAATGATTTTTTTTTGCCATTAACTTAATATTATGTATCTGCATTACAAACCCGACAAGGCAACTCTTTCAAATGTTCTATTGTACGGTTTAGGCGAACTCAGCAGGGCCATAAGAAGTTTAAACACTACACGATTCGGGCTGTACCATTCTTTGTACGAATGGTTTAACCCGCTGTGGATTGAAGACAAATTTAAAAACCTAACGACCCGGAACTTTGTCACAGATAAAGTGCTCCCAGAACTACACGAACTGGTATAATACAGTGAAGAATTATATTAAATATGTTCAGCTAATAAAAATAAACGGTTTTTCTTAACAAATCAATTTATTACCTACTATTACAGGTTCACGAATACAAACCGGAAATCATCTGGTCGGACGGCGAATGGGAAGCACCTGACACGTACTGGGATTCGTTAAACTTCCTTGCTTGGCTGTACAACGACAGTCCCGTAAAGGATACCGTTGTAGTTAACGACCGATGGGGAGGGGCTACCCTGTGCAAACACGGAGGGTTTTTGACGTGCGCCGACAGGTATCAACCAGGTACGTTACTTAAATGATAATTGATAGTACTACTAACAGTGAGGGTCACTAAAACTAATAGATTTGTAATTACTCGAATACAGGTAAACTCGTGAGCCGAAAATGGGAGAACGCTATGACGGTCGACAAGTTCTCGTGGGGCTACAGGAGAAACGCCCGTTCTCGTGAAATATTCAGTACCCAGGAATTAATTAACCAGCTTGTGGAAACCGTCAGCTTTGGAGGTACGGTACAATTTTTAATTTGAGAATACTCTTGATTTGTTTGCGCCTTTTGAAAATCATAGAAATCTAAATTTATACACTAAAAAAGGTAAATAAGTTTGCCATTCTTAAAATAGTTCTACTTAAGTAATTTCTTTTATGTTACCATCGTGAATAGAATTCTTGTTTTAGCAAACTTTCACTGAAGTTAGCTATTATCATTTATCAGGTTACTAAAGTATAATTTTGCTATTTTAGGGAAATGAAAATTAGAATAACAAAATTAGAATACCAGAAAAAAAGTCGAAAGAAGTAAAAAATCGAAGGTTTTTATTCTTCTAGACTTCAATGGTTTTAATTTAACTAATCACAGTAATCAGTAGATTAAAAACAGGAGTTTAAAACATTGTTAAACATAAGCTTGACATTTTCAATATTCTCAGCATAATATTTAAAAGTCAGTACTAACAATTAGTATACTTTTTTTTTTGTATCATATAGTATGCTATAATCTGTAATTACAAAAGCAATAAATTTTAAAAAACAATTCGTGTGTACTCTAATTTATTTAATATCTACAGAAATTACTTGTTATAAATTATAATGAAATTTCGTTCTCGTGTTCCACTTACTCGTACTTCAAGCTAATTAAAAAACATAAATTGTATTGAGAAATGGGACAGAGTGTTGTGTGATTTAAAATATGACTGCGTAAAAAAACCCTACATTTTAATTCAACATAAGCCACTAATAAATTGTTTTACAGAAAAAAAACAATAAAGTTATTTTAAGAATGTAGGTAATAAATATTGCATAAAATATAGATATTATTGTATTGTTAAAATTACTATTACATACTGTTCTACTGTAGTTGTTGGTTCCAATATTGGTTGGTTTTTCTATTTACTATTGTAGTTAATAATAAAAGAAGTAAAGTAAATTTGTAAAAGGATGCGAAACCAGCTACATATTCGGTATTCTTCTTGGCAAACAATGGTTACTCGTCCTCGTTCCTAATCTTGAGAATTGTTTTTTAGTATTTTTAAGGTTAAGTTAGGGTAATTGTCTATACTGATTTTTTTTTTTTGTAAAGGTTTTTAAAATTAAGCAGATGTATATCATACATCACATAAATTCAATTTTAAACCAGTGCTTTCTTCTATTATACCGTTTGTTCAATGATCAAGTTACTCCGACAAGCTTATTAGGTTAATGGCTCTTTTTACAGGATATTTAAAACATGCCGTGATTTACCTAATTAGCACAGTGCATTGTCCATTTAAACTTAGATAATATACATAATAGACAGCATTCGCCTACTAAATCTGGGTACAGCAGTTTCTTAAATCTGTTATATTTTCGGTATACATTAAAATGTACAATGTGCTACAACAACTACAATACCTTTTAAAAAGCGGTGTATGTTAGGTAAATTACATTTATAACAAAGTCAAACTTTCTTTACTTAACAATTATTTATGCAAATTAATAGTTTGTTAACTTTTTTTTATTATCCTACAAATTACAATGGCATATTTTTATGGAGTTTACTAAATTGTCTGAACTATGAACCATGAGTTATTACACTGATTTAGAACTTTTTAACTAGGTAGTTAAATTATGTGAATTTATGTTATAATTAATTTTTATTTTCAGGTAATTTGTTGTTGAATGTCGGTCCGACCAGTGACGGGATGATTCCACCGATATTCGAAGAACGTTTACTACAAATTGGCCAATGGCTGTCAATAAACGGAGCATCTATATTCGACACTACGCCTTGGCCGAAATGCCAAAACGACACGGTCGACAGTAACTTATGGTGATAAAATAAAACGTAATTTTCGGAATGTGAACTAACCGTTGGTAATTATGCTTGTAAAGGTACACCCAAGGCAATAGCACCACTATTTATTCAATAATCACCGAATGGCCTGAAAACGGTTTGCTAAACTCTGGATGTCTCGACAAACTCGACATTACATCTATAACTATGTTGGAAACGCGAAATCACTTAAAAGTAAATACACATAAATGTACCTATAATAATTGTTATATCTAGGTTATCATAAAATATAATTATAAACCCTTTATCGTTGTTGTAACTTGCAGTGGAGTCCTAGGGCAGAAAATGGCATAGTCATCAAGTTGGACGACAGATCGAAAGTAAAAAATCATTATGCTTGGGTTTTACAGGTTGTTCTACGGCATTAGGTAAAAGGTTTCCGAGAACTGAATCCTTTCATTTGTACTAGTAATATTTCATAAGAAACTATAGTTCCAAAAACCTGAAAAAAATTCAATGTCAAACTACTAAAAATTATTATAAATGCTTAAGTTTAAGTGAATTTTTCATGTTATGAATTTTGTATGTTTTTGCATTGTACTGAATTATGTCAATTTAAATTAAAATACACTCACTGTAAGTAAGAATTTTCTCGACATTAAAAACATGTGACTTCCTGTTAGTCCGATGTTATCCGTTTGTATTTGTAATATAAATAACTCTACCTATATTCGGGCAACCGGTAAAACAAACAACATGTTAATTTCATCAAAACCGGTATTCAACAGTTCCTTACCTAAATTCAACACCCTTGGACATTTCTTTAAAAATAAATCCCACAAAGTTGAAAATTACACAGTAGGTACTTACTTCTTTACAATATGACAATTGTGGTATATCATAGAGAGTGGCCAATGGACCCTTGCTGTTTTCATATATTCTCACTGAACTTAAGCACAACGCGCATGCTCTCAATGTGGACACTAAAAACGACAATATGGCGTGAACGTCGTGGCTCAGATTAGGGGTTTCCTCTGTATTTCTAAAATACAATCGAAAATACACAATATAAAATACTATTATTGGCAAAAATCAGTTGCTTTAAAGCAAATCAAGTGTCGTAGATTCATCTACAAGACTCAAGAGTATAATTAAAGAGAATATCAAACGTATCAGTAAACATACATTACTCCTTGGTGCATTTCCACACATATTATGTACAAGTGGATCAGCAAAGACACGCAGAGCATATGACACAAACAATCATCGAGCGTTCCAGACAAGCTGCACAGTCTCGTGTAATCCACCCTTAAGGTTTTCCACTGTTCTGGTGTAACTATCTGTATTGTATAGATTTTTATCTTAGTGTTAATTAATAATTATACTTAAAATATCAAATTAAAACTCTAACACAAAACCGTTTCTTGGCACATAATTTATGTTCATTACATCCTACTCACTTCTTTTTGGGTCTACCTTTAGGTTATATAGTATATACATCTTCGTACTATTCTTCTCCCCTTCTTTCACATACCTAAACCATCTTATTTATTCACACTAATTGCGAATACCACAAAACTCAACTAATATACTCATTCTTATTGGCAATTTCAATTAAGCTAGTTACGCCACTCATCTCAACTTTTTCATTTCAGCTACCCTAATTGTCCTGCATAAAAAATTAAAATATTTTCAGTTAACATTTTTTTTTGTTTTATAGAACATTTATACAAACCTTTTAGATTGTTAAGATTTTAAACAAGAATGTAACCTAACCTAACCAGATCGCGGCAAATGATGAATAATTATTATCTAATTATAATATAATCTGATCACTTATTTATCTTTACCACCAAATAAAATGGAAAATTTGTAATTAAGCTATGCACTTAACTCAGACTTTGTAAAAAAATGGAAGCCTCAAGTGGAAGTTAGATAAAAGATCTTTTGTGGAAATTGCAAGTATATAAAAGCCAAATCGCGCGATATTTTAATTTAAATTATTTGTGTAAAATGTTTCCTATCCCAGCTTTGACTTCGTCAAAAGCTAATCGTTTAAAACCCATTGACCCAATAAAGCTTAAATTCCCCTCCTAAAAAGCTCTACCATTGTGCTCAATTATAATAATTAATGTTTAATTTCAAATACGGACACAGCAACAGCACAATACTATTTAGAACTTTTAAACATAATAGAAATTAAATGTATAGTCACCTTTCCTCTATATGTAGTCATGCGCTGCTTGAAAGCTTCTAAGTAGTCCCCTAGGGCCATGCTGCCCATAATGATCATTTGGTCAGCGAAACAATAAGAAAGAGTTGATACCGAATTGATTATAAGAGCTAACATAGCCACCCAGACATTATAATCAATGACATTGAATACTTGTGGAAACATTCTCGTCACGTAAATTTCAAAAATTTCGTGGGAATTTTCCGTGTTGGTCATTATCAAACCGGTCAACAAATAGCTCAAGTGTTCGACTGTATCAAACGAACATATTTAATACTAATATCTTACTGTAAAAGTGCTTGATCGTTAGGTCGACTTACCCATTGAAAATATAATGCATAAAATCGATATTACGGTGAACTTTAATGTTAAATATTTTTGGTGACCAAAATATCCTTCGACTTGTTCCCATTTTCTAGATAGATTACACCATTTTGCGGAAAGGTTAATCAGTAACGCCGTAGTGACAGCCGCGCCTCCGAAAAACAAAACTACGCCTGAAAATTGCATTGTAATCCAACGAACTAAAACTTCATTCAAAAATAATACTAGAAACCAGATGGATCGAAACGCAGTTATTACCCACCCCCTTTGAATATGTTTACGCCACTCTTCTTCAACCACTGGAAACTCAATAGAGTCATGGTGATTTGAAACGCAAGTGCGACAAATGAAAATATTGTCCTGATGCTGAGTATCTGAAATCTGTCGTGAGAAATTGGGATCAGACACAAGTACTGGCCGAGTAATATTGGAAACCGAGTGGCCGATCGAAACGAATCTTTCGGTATTTCGGGTACGCCCAAAAAGTAACAACTATTATTTTCGATTTCCGCAACAGTGTTTGGATTGATTTTAGACTTCCATACGAACGCGGGAAAGGGTTTTTTCAAAACTAGTTTCATTTTAAAAGATTTTTGATATGTTCGGAGTCTAATAATTACACATCGTGTCCGTGGCCGAATAATAAAGTACGAACTGAAGCCTTGCACTTTATAAGTTATAAATTATAATACATTGTAAAATAAAAAGAAACTTCTGAAATTGATTTTGATTCGTATCATACGCGTGTCCTTAATATTCCTTTTTTTGATGTTGAATAATTAATTTTAACAATAGTTTTGAGTGTGTAGTACAGTTTTCGTCCAATCAATATATGTATTAATACCGAAAATATGGGGAGTATACCAGCTTGTACAATGTAAAAGCGAAATAATAGTCTACGATATCAGCTGTCATTTAAACGGACAACATAAAGTACACCACTCCTATAACATTTTATAAAAAGTATAAATAGACGGAGAACTATCTAAAAGCATTGATTAAATATACATAGATAGCTCATGTCAATAGAAAATATGGAAACACGTTTTTTTCTAAAAACTATTTTTTCTTTATTATAATAGTTATACTTTAATTATAATAAAGTATAATGTAAATAAAATAAAGGAAAAAGTTACAAAAAAAGTGTATTGGCCGCCCAGTTTTGAACCCGTATGTCGTGTGTCAGAGCACCATTTTCGATCGAATGAGCTACAGATTTAGCGCTCTCTATGGTTCGGCTCCCATACTACTCAATTTCTGGCTCCCATTTATGAACGGCTAGCTTTTAACACAGCTTGGGCTATCTATGTATATTTAATCAATGCTAAAAGGGAGCTATATAAATTCTGTCGCCTATGATTAAAAAGTAGGCTTAAGAAATAAAAATATTTGTTTATTTATAAATGATATTGGATACAATCAAGTAATAATATTATATTATGACCTTGTGTCTTAATTCTGGATCAACCGAAACTGATTTAATCGATACGGCTCGCGACAGTGTTTCCACAAACTTTGATTTATTTTCTTCGGTATAATATTTTTAAATCATTTAAAATTAAAACCATAAATTATGTGTTATCTAATACATATTTGTAGATAGGTATTCAATTAGTAATGACTAAAAAAAATTTCAAACATTCTCATCTAATTTACATACATTTCTTAGAAGAGAATAGGAACCCCACCAAAGAGGTAAATGTAAGATAATATAACTAGGGGTTGTTAACTCCCAAATCTCCAGATAATATAAGATCCTCCCTCCCCCATCATACAAATGGGATCGGACAGCCATATTCTTTTACTCCACAAATGTTTTTACTGCGTTTTTATTTTTCAATTAACGTCAAAATACTTCTTTTGATCGGTCAACTAAAGATGTAATGTTAAAAAGTCAATATATTTTATATATTAGTAAGTAAAAATTACAGAAAAATATAGCCAATGACCTGAACATTGAAATATGATAATAGCTAAGTACTCGTAGTTAAAAGATGTGATTTTTACCTAAAAACATTAGCTATCAATGGTTTGGCAAACATCTCCTTACAATATTTATACATGATTAAGTAAATAAAATCAATATTTATTTTAGTTGTACTAACAATAAGTAAAAACAATTTAATTTTACTTTTAAGCTTATCAAACTTTAAAAAATACATTACCGATGATTTTTTATTTGTACAAAGGAACACTTAATTTATTTTCAGAAAGATTAAATTAAAATAATATACAGTACTTCATCACTATTTCAATATAGATAGGAATTATACTAGATAAAATTTGTTATTACTAATCAAAATTAATTTATCTTAGAACTATTAAACGACTAAAACCTATTTTGTGAGACAAAATATTGACTATTGAAGTCGTGTTAAACTATCTAATACTTTTTTCTGATTAATACTTAAGTTCTTGTGCAAAAGGCAATAAGAGTTATTAACTAACATTTATTAAATAAAAGTTAACCATATTATTCAATGGAATAAGCTATTTATTTTTTGTCAAATCAATTATAACTTTAATAATACAAATTTTTTTTTTTAAATCACATTAAATTAAAGATAGGTATAATATATAATATAAAGATAACATTAATACTATCACAGGCAAAAATTGTTGCCTATTCATATTTAAAAATTAGAAAATAATACATTATCGTTTAAAAATATAATATTTTGAATACTGTAGTAAATATTTCATATAAATTATAAATAATATTAAGACTATTATAATTGGTTGTTACTTTTATAATAATACAATTTTAAATTAACTAATTGTTTTAGTTTTTGATACTTCATAAAAGTAGGCCGCCATCAATTTGGTCTGAAAATATTAATTGTTCATTGTAAATTAATAAATTATTTGAAACTTAAAATAACATTTTTGAGTATAATATAGACATAACTAATTATATGAATAGTAAAAAAAAAAATATTACCTACTAATAAAAGGTTGTCAATGTAATTAATATTTTTAACACCTTTACTGTACTTACTCCTTCGATGTAATTGCGCAAATCAAGTTTTTCATTTTGAGAATGAGCACCATCGTCTCCAGCACCCATGGGCAGCAATAAAACGTTTTTACCAGTCAATTCCTATAGGTAATAGTAAAATGTTGTACAAAAAATACACAGATATTATTTATAAAATACACACTTGTAATGTTAGCGTAACTGGAATTGAACCGCCTCCTCGCGTGTAATCTGGCTCGATATTATACACAGTTTCTGTTGCTTTATGGGCTGCCAAGTAATGAGCATTAAAAGGGTCAGTCATCCAAGGATTTCCACCTTCACCTTCCATTATAATCTAATGGAAATTCAATACATTATTACCGAAATATTTTTAAAGAATATAGAGTTGTGTGTGCGATTATAATACTGAATTTAAATTTTATAGTATTGTAAAATAATTTTATACTTAATTAACAACAATATTTACTTTGAGATTATTTGGACTTTGGCGATCTTGCCAAATCTTATTAATATATGCTTTTACTATATCAGCGATTTTGCAAGGATCTTGATTCGGTACTAATCTAATAGAGAATTTTCCAATCACTTTTCGAGGTATAACCGTTTTGAAACCAGAACCCGAGAAAGCTCCTTCTATCCCGTGAATCGACAAACTCGGATATCTCCAATTGCTCATCAGTAGTTCTTCCTAAAATTATTAAATTTTTTTTTTAATATGTCTGATAAAAGATTTTCTTAACTGACTTTTGATTCTTTTAGTGGTTTACACGCTCCAATTTCTTTACAATATGTGTTAACATCAAACTTAATTTTATTATACAACTCTTTTTCCTTTTCAGACAAAGGTTCTATTCCTTCATTTATGTCAGGTATTAAAATGTTCCCTTTTATATCCACTAACTGATTTAAAACATAAATCAAGTCCGACATTGCCTCGTATCTATATAATAAATAACAAATTTTTTTATAAATTACTTTTGTTAACTACTTTATAGCCGTTATTTTGAATGGTAGAATCACCGTTCATTCACCGTTTAATGAAACAAGAAAGAATTTTAAAACAATTTTTGTAAAATTTATACTTACACAGTGCCTCCATACATTCCACTGTGTAAATCTTTAGTGGAACCTTCTATTTCAATGCCAAAACAGCACATTCCGCGTAGTCCATAAGTCAAACACGGTTTTTCTGTTCCCAACCAGTAACTATCAGATATACATACATAATCAACATCATTGAAAAATGTGTCTTTCTCTTTTGTGAGTAATTCGTCCAAACCTATACTACCCGATTCTTCCATACCTTCAAACACAAACTACAAAAATGATGACTAAGTGTTATTTACATTAACAAAAATACTTTTTTATTTACAACCTTAAGATTGATTGGCAATTCAGTTCCTGTTTGTTGATATGCTTCAATAGCATGTAACCAACCAAGAACTGGACCTTTGTCGTCAGTCGATCCTCTACCGTATAATTTATCATCACGTTCAGTTAATACAAATGGTTCACTAGACCATCCATCAGATTTATCAGCGGGTTGAACATCCAAATGACCATACAGACAAACTGTAAGTTTTTTGGGGTTTTTACCCAAATTGCCTAGTATTACTGGTGGCAATGGTACACTTACTCCATTCAGAACCTAAAAAAAAAAACCTTGTTATTTGAAGTTAAAATAATCATGTAAGGGTTGAACATAGTGTAATCCCAAAATAATATGCTAATATTTGATTTAACGTATATTTACTTGAGATCCAATATCATAAAGCTCAGCAACTGCACCCAGAGCTAATAATTTAGACTTTGCCCATTCCATCATTTTAACAACTTCACTCCTCAATTCTGGATCAGCCGATACGGATTTTATTGCTACAGCTTGCGACAAAGTCTCCACAAACTTGTCTTTATTTTCATCAACATAGCTTCAATGGTAAACAAATATAAATAATTGAATAATCTAACACTTTAAAATCATAGAACTTTACTAAGACAAATGTGGTTAGTGTTTGACATTATATAAAATTAGCCTGTTTAAAAAGAGTCAAGTTATTCTAGCACATATGGCCAACTAACAATACAACTCAAGAGTTGTTTCAATCATAATCAGTTCTTAAAGATCTCATAAATATAACTGTTTTGTTTGTAAATTTGCATTCTCATTTTAAAGTCGCTCAATTTTCCATAAAATATATATTTATAGAAGTGACTTTTAATTAGGTATTTGGAAATAAATATAAATTATAAAAATTTGTCAAGCATTACTACAACATCCGAAAATTTAATGTATTTGTGAATCAAAAACATATAATAATTTATTAATTCTTTGAATTGATAGTGGTTGAAGTAAATAACCACTTTTATTTTTTATTTTTTTTTGGCTTTGGTTAGTAATGATGATCACATAAAATGTCAACTAAACACACCACTAGAGCATGCAGTTGCTTATTATTTTGATTTCTCACATGTATCCTTTTTTTTTGTATGATCTTTTGGTGATATTTTCCTTTCAAAGAGTTAAGTATTTAATACTTAATTTGTATCTTAAAAAAATATATGTATCGTGTATTTAGTTAGAAAATATAACTATGTATATTGCTTTAGAAGTTTTGACATTATTTATAAAACTTAATCAGGATTAAAGAACATGGCCTTACCAAAAAAATTATAATTTACAACCATTTATAAACCAAATTAGTACTAAAAGAAATAGCGAATATGTTATTTAAAAATAATTGGAGTAATTCCTTTGATATTAAATGTAGGGCATACATTAATACCCAAATTATACTATATCATTTAAATATAGAACAATGGACTACATATTTTATTTGAGGTAGCTTTCTGGGTATAAAATATTTACTTTACCAGACACCCTTGTTTTCCAAATTTTTAAAAATAATGGATTCCAGAGTCTGCCGCCACAGGCATGGGGCTGCGGTCGTCTCGCGCAATAATATTATTTAAGATAAAATAGCTGTAACTTTAAAACTAGAAGAGTCCGCTCTTTCCTGACTTTAGATTCGTAATCAGCGTAGAAAAAATACTATGAAATGGCAAAAAATCACAAAGAAAAAAAAAAAGTTTCCGGTAAATTTAATTTGGTCCGTTTTCTGCATTCTATACTTTATTTACTCATTATGGGATGTTTTTTAACACCGTGAAACATCTATTGATTATTATTTACATTAATTTGTTTCATGAAAACAAGAGTGCAATACGTAGGTTTATTATACAAAAGTAACTAAACAAAACTATACAATGCCTCCGTCATGATATTTTTTTATTTAACAATTTTTTTTAAATTTACCTGAAGATTTTAGCTAACGGTGCTCCGACCGAGGTGTGAACTTTTGGTTTAGACATAATGAAAAAATTCCAATTACTATTCGGTATGATTAACGAATAATTTTTAAAAAAATCAGCGAGAGATTAATACCGAATTGTAAGGAAGCCGATCAACGAATGAACGTAGAAACTAGAAATTATAGAAAATGACCAATCATAAATGTAAATACCTAATTGTAATAAATTATTATGTCTGCAGTCTGATAAGATACATACACGATTATAATGTGAAAAAAACAACGTTTTTATAGCAATGCATAGGCCGCTTGACGAATGACAAATAAGAATCGAATAGTTTCGATAAAAAAAAAACCAGGGGTTCAACAAATGTCACGCTTTAATAAGTGAACAACACGAAATAAGACTATACAGCATTCTGATAATTCTAATAATAATATTATACACATTATATATTGCACTACGTTTCAACATAATATATTCTAAAGTCAGCACTCAGCAATACAAAGTCAACATGCTTTTTTAAAAAAAATTAATGATCAATCAATAAACTCACAAGTCACAGACACCATTGTGTATCCCAAAACCTAAGTATAAAGGCGTTAACGCAATATTATTAGCTTCACCAACAGGGTTTACCTACTTAAAAGTTCAAAATGGTTTGTTAACATATGAAATCAAATAAATACACACTAATAGTAATTTTCCCAGCTATAGGTTGGTATTTAGTAAGTATATAACCGTACATTCACCTTTCTTATAGGAGGGGGGGGGATTGAAATGACACATTAATATATTGAAGGGCTATCACCGTTTCATACTTGAAACCTAATCCACAGCCATGTATTTAAAAATAAGTATCTTACAAATGTTAATGTATTTTTTTATTACAATGAAAATTGCAAACGTCTGTTTTTATTAGATAGCTCAATAATAACTTTGTCTGGTGATAAATCGTAATCTAGATTAATAGATACCATAGCCAAACCAATTATTCTAAAAAAAAAAAACACAATCACGTTCAACCGTTGTACACTGTATAAATACCATAAATCCATGTTTTTTTTTTTTTAAGTTTCTTTCTGTTATTCTGCCCCCCCCCCCCCCCCCGTATGTACGCTACTGACCATACGATTGTACATAATATGCAAAAATTATTAATTGAGCGGTTTTCTTGGAATCTTAGTAAAGTATAAATTCTGTACTTGCTTAAATACTTTTTTTCTTAAAAATTAGGTATCAGAGTTGTTACTTTTAGTAAATATATTCAGACTTGTCAATAGATTTATTGAGGTACCCTGATTTTTACGCTAGTCCTAATTACGGCTATGCTAATGACACTATAATTTATTTATAACGTATTATAAGTTATAGTAAGTAGGTACTCAATTACAATTAAAGTAACTATTAGGCCAACTAACGTTAAAAAGGGAAACACTCGAACGTCGTAATATACCAAATTAACATTAATTGTTCAATTACCAGTTAAGTATTATACTAATGTTAGGTACCTACTGAGAAATTATTATAACAATAATGCCTGGTGTATTTAAAAAGATATATTAGGTGTTATATTATGTAGGTTCCTAAATATCATTAAAAAAAAATAAGTTACTATAAGAAATTAGCTACCATTTAGATAAAACTAAAACGTAGTTATCTAAAGAATAGAGCCGGCCGCAAAAAGAAGCATTAAAAAAATTAGTGTTTTTTCAAGTTGTTACACCATATTCATTTTTATCGCTTAACTTATGAGCGGCCACTGTAAGTTGTTTACTAATATAAGGTTTATATCAAAATATGACACAGTTTTTAGAAAGGCATTTATACAAATTACATAATATATTGCCTATTGGTTCTTCACAGATTAAGATTCCAACAATATCGCTCTTAATTTTCACTGGATGAATAACGAAAAAAAAGTTTGGCCTAGTATATAATTAACACCTAACACCTTATTTTAATAAAGTTTAATGATTATTAAAATATATTAAACTTGTTCAAATATTTAAATTGTTTTTAATACCTATACCTATAAGTATTATTTGGTTTTAAACATAAATTACTTTCCAAAATAATAAACTCCAAGTATAATCGTGTAATTAGAGATAATTTCAATTAAGAACATCAGCATTAAGCAAATTTGTGTCACTGGTATTGCCTGCTAATTATCTGTTAATCGTGATCATTTGAAGTTTATTCAATTCGGAAGGGTAATGTAATATATAAGTAATATATACTAGTATTGAGTGTCGAGAATTTGTTATTGAGCATCTGTCCATCCTCAGTGTGCAGATGATCCTGTCCGACTACGAGTTATAATTTCGTCATGTCGTGGAAATTTTACATCTTTATACAAGGTAAGTGTTAACGTAAAGTAACAACTTAGAGGATCTACCAAAATTTGATAGTTTTTAGGCGAGTCTTAACACTAAATGGGAAATAATAATACGTAATAATTTTTAGTTTTACCCCGGTTTTAGTCACAACAATTTACAAACCCCCTCGTGTATAACTGTTCAGTCAATTCGGTTCTCCTAATTTTCCGACTTTTAGTCTTTTAGTGTTAGACTAGTGAACCCAGGGTTCAAAACATATCCTACCTCGTACAGTTTGAGGGTAAAATATACTTGAATAATAAACTCTTAATAGATTTATTTAAAACACAAAAAAAACTGCACATATTAGATTCGGTCCAATAATAAAATATTTTTATTGACAATGATTACACACATAAGATAGCTTCAGTAGTCTAGAACAAATTAAACAATAACATACTATTGTCAAAAGTTTATATTATGTATCCTAATATGTAAATTAGATAAAACATTGCTACCTACGCAGTTCCCTTGATGTTGTTACAAACAAATAGTGATATCAACAGAACAGTGAAAACTTAAGTACTAAATGTTAGTAAGACGGTAAACAAGTTGCGTAAATAATAATATTAGTAATAACAAAATAACCCACACGCGCCACGATCACTACACTGGTCTCTCAGATTTGTCGGAAAACTTCCTAGTTAGTTAAATGTTCCCTTAAACATTTTTCTGTAAAGTCAAGCCTCAAATGTATTTTTCTATACTATCATTGTAGCACTTTCATATAAAATATCCCACACACAGAAGACTTAACTAATATATGAAAAAATGTGTCTTGAAATAATTTATAGGAGCAGTTTTTGCGTGTTTTTGCACTTTCAATTATGTGGAATGTCAAAGTCAAGCATACAACACTGACACTGTTGGATATTCGGCTCCATCCGGATCGTATGGTTCAGATAGTCAAGAATACCAAAATCAATATAATACATACCCTGAAAAATCAAATGAAAACAGTGTACAAAATACCGATTTACAAAACCATCTGTATGGTGGAGGTACACAGATTGACGATGACAAAGTGATCATGGGTGTACCCAATGCTTACAGGACAAACGGCTTAGGGTCTACAGGAGGAGCTTCTCCCGTGCGTTATGGGAACGCTGTTGGAGGATTTTCTGGTTCAATAGGATCGGGTGGATCCGGACCTGGAGGATTTAGTGGAGTTGGTTTGGTAGGGGGTGGTGATGGATCTATAGGTGGAGCCAGCGTGGTAGGTCCAGGACCAGTAGGCGGACTTGGACTTGCTGGCCCCGGTGGTTTTGGAATTGTTCCTGGAGCTTTCAGTGGTCCAGGTTCGTTCGGCGGACCAGGTCCATTTGGTTTCACAGGTTCGTTTGGGGGTCCCGGACTGTTGGGATTAATTTTAGGGCCAACGGGTCCGTTCAATGGGTATTTGTCGTTCGCCAATTGGGCTATATTAGGTATAATGGTTTTAAGAAGGCTCTTGGCGCCTGTAGCTCTCATTACTAGTTTAATACCTTTGTTACGTTTCTTTAAAACGGTCGTTTTACCTAAATTGGCGTATTTTATAACCTCTCACATCAAAGACTACGACGCACGGCTAAGCAATGATTCATTTGATTTACAAAATCTGAACAATCTGTATGGAGTGATTAAGGACGTAATCGACGATGGACCATGTTTAAGAAAAATCATATGCGAAGCTGGAATCGTCACGAGTGCTCATCCAGTGGCACGATCAATTAAACGGTAAGAATGCGTTATTAAATATACTAATAAAACTCAATAAATGACATGTTTCAATCAAAAATTAATTGAAGACATATTTTTCGAAAATTGTCTACTCTTTTAATTAAAAATTGTGATTCTTACTTAAGATTTCAATCAAGCTATAATAACTTTTGGTAAGCGCGACTATCATACTGTTTAGCTATTTGCTACATTAAACAATTGCAGCTGTTTAGATATTACATTTTTTATTAAAAGTAGTAACTATGGTAATAACCGTAGCAGTACTATATATTTTCAGTGAAATTCTGAATTCACACACCCATTTGCGCTGTACAATTATTTATTTAGTTCATCATTTACGTTATTAGATATTTACACCAGATATTTACACTGATCTGAACAAACCAGTTGGCTCGAATAAAATTTGAACGTGCAAGTATCAAAGATCAATAAGCATGTTATTTTTGTATTGTACGGTTATTATTGCCAACTGCTAATGCACGCGTACAATTATGCAAATATATCGAGTGTAGAATAATTATGCAATATTGTAAAAACAAATATCTTAGCACATTTTAGTATTAAACTTTAAACCTAAGGGTTTATATAAAGTTTAATACTACTTACTACTTACTACTTACTGTAAGATTTAATATGAAAATTTTATTAATCATCTCAATTTATATAAACTTTTATATAGTTATCAGTAAGTAACTTATATGATTACTAAATAGTTACTCCTAATATTTACCCAACACCAACTTAATATTTGAATGCTGTTTTTATAGAAAAATTATAATATGAATCCTTTATTCTATTTTACAGATTTGCGAAAAAAGTGAATTTAAGAAATGAGTTGCTACAAGTTTTCAAGGATTCATTAATTGGAACTGTTTCGGAGTGCAATCAGTACATGTGTAAACGACATGCATAATAGTAATTGAAATAAAATATGTAAACAATTTTAATAATACAATTTCTAATTTATTCGCAAAATCATTATTTATTCGATATAGTTGTACGTTTTTTTTAAATTTATTGATAAGTTTATAAACGTTTGAAATTACTATAATTTAGTATTTACTTAAAACTTTTTAAATATAATATATTTTAATATACATTACACTATATATTATTATATTATAATAAGATACTTAAGAATTATTTTTTTATGTATACTTATTATTATTATTGTAATAAAATGAGGCAATCATTTTATATTGTACATATAATATAAAATGCTCAAATTAAAAGGAATCGATTTCGATGTATCCGCCAGTTGTAAAATGTATTCACGTTTGTGATTTTTGTTTTATTAATTTTATTAATCCTCGTATCTGCAGTCATTCTATAAGTATTTTAAGTGTTTAGTATTTACCTTTAACCTTTTTAATTATCATTCTGCAAAAAACTTTGTTACATGTCATATTTTAACACCAACGTTAATCAGCAACATGGTTAGGTAGGTACTGCAGAGTGCAGTAATAGTTCAATTCAAAGCAATGAGTGCGTTGAAATGTTGACAAATTAATGCCAAAAGGCGATAATAAATTGTTAGAGCAGATGTTGTAATCTTATCAATGAAAAATAGTATTTGCATTGCAGTAGTTATGTGAAGGTGGTGTACATATTACGAGCTCTTCAAAGATTATAAATCAATTTTTTTTTAACTTCTAACATAACCGGAACATTTGTCATAGTAATATAAATATTATAACTCGTTAAATACTTCTTAGCACTATAATTATTTATTTATTTCAGAAATATACTGTATAGTTGCAAAACGTTTTCCATTACTCTAGCTTTCAATGGGTTCTGTAAATAATATTAATTAAAAAAACATTATTTGCGTACTATTTGTATTAGAATTTGGGCCAGGCCATCCGCGGTAGGCCATTGGTGGCCAAATCTAAATGGTATGATGTTACAAACGTTTTTGTTATTTTATATAACCGGACATCGTTGGAATGGGAAAACATGCACACCGTGTCTAGAACTGATAGTATTAAAATGTAGGCGGAGTTTTGTTATTTCTTATCACGTTTCCGTCCTCATACCTCAATTTATTAATTTGAATACAAATTTCTATTTACATAATAATATACAGTAGTCAGTATATATTCAATGTAGATCACATGTAAAAAATGATGTAGGTGTACACGTTTTAGGGTGACAATAGAGTCGAAAATTTTTACCAAATTTCCATGGCGGAAGAGGAGGAATCATATCCACTGCACGAATGTGTGTTCTCTGGCGATGTCAAAGAATTTGCCAGAATGTTGAGAATCGAAGATTTAGCAAAAAAAGATAAACACGGTTAATGCTGTTAAATAAATTAATAGGGCTTGGTTATTGGAGAAGATTACTGTTGATATTTTATGTTTATAGGTAATACGGCGCTGCATCTAGCTATCATGCTTGGTCGCAAAGGTAATAAATTGTATTACATTTTACTGTAAATTTCTCTACTAGCAGCTATTTTGTTTGTATAAAAACAACATTATTGCAACTTTCATTATCTGAATTTCAGATATAGTGCAGTTACTGCTTGCTCACAACGCTCCAGTCAAAGTAAAAAATTTAAGTGGTTGGACTCCTTTAGCAGAAGCTGTCAGTTATGGGGACCGTATAACTAGTAAGTTGAATGGCTATTTATTTAAAAGCTATTATAAGTTATGTCCTGATAAATGTATTTGATTGTTAAACATACTAATTTTATTAAATTGACTTATTTTGTTATTAATATAAGATAGACAGCATTTCTTAATTAAAGCAGTGAAATTTTGGTACACTCATCGGATAATAACAACATTTGAATCAATGATTGCAGACCCGACATGAGTCACTTTGTTTTATAAAATTGAGTTTTTGTAGAAATACGTTCTAGTCAATATGTTTCCACACATTGAGTTTAATAAAAATTGACTCGTATCGTTTCTGCATTCATTGATTCAAATAATTTTAACTTCATTTAAAAGATATTGCTTATATTTAATTACAGTTGTAAGTTTTTCAATGACTAAATTGTCATTTTTTTTTACATGATCACTGTAGTTTTGAATAAATTAGCAGTACAAATTTCACTACTTCATATTGCTTAATTTTGTGTTATTGTATATTGTCAATATACAATAATATAATTAAACAAGTTTGAGTAGTTAATAGTCCATTTAAAATTATTATTCTACAAGACAGTTAGTAATTTTCAATTTAAATTATAAACACTGTAAAACATTGTCATTTAAAAATGTCAATGAATATAAGCGGCCAGTAGCTTTGGTGACCAACTCAAGCCTCTTGTAAGGCCTCCAAACCCTCAGATAAAAAATAGCTGACCCAACTTTAAATACTTGGATCTTAATAATGCACTATAAGTGGTTATAGAGTTAACTAATCCCAGCTGACTGAGAAAATGACTGTAGTAAAGTGGAAGCAAATTTCAATAATTTATTCAGTTCGAATTCTTTTGAAATAGTATCATAGGCGCAAATACAGGGAGGGGGCTAGGGTGGGCTTAGCCCGCCCAACAAAATTAGGTTATGCATACAATTTTGAAGTACAAAAATATATTTACTTATATATATATTTTAAAAATATGTCCTGCCCCCCCAAATTAAAAATTGAAATTGCACCTATGAATAGTATTAATTTAATTCAATTATGTTTAATTTAGTTTATAAAAAAATTCTTAATTATTTTAAATAATGAATAATTTATTTAAAGCTAGGTTATTGTAATAAACAGCATTTTTTTCTATTTGGAAATAGATGATAAAAATGAGTAAATAATATCAAATTTCAGCTAAGGAATAAAATATTGTACTTCTAAAATAAGGAGTTATCTATCTTTTGTATGTAATCGTTGTAAAAGTTATAGGTATGAGCCTACAATCCAAAATTGTAAGAGACTGATACTGATAATTATTTGTACTGTTGTTATCAAGACAATTTTCTTTTAGTAAAAAGGTAAATTAAATAGATCTTCTTTAGTTTATTCAATTAATACACTAAAAAAAACCGTAACAAAAACAAATTGTATCAAAATTTAACAAAACATAGTTTGTTTTATCTTAAACAAATATAAAGTAAATCTTATACTTTTTCTAAGTTTTCTTTTTGCGTATTTTCATTTTCAATTGAAGGAGTTGAAACAGATAATCCAGGTATGATGTCTTCTAAAGCAAAACATGCCATTTGAAACTCTATATCTTCATTATTTACAACTAATTGTTTTAATTGAGTTGACTTATGAAGACCACAAATTCCGTTGGCTGTTATTTGTTTACAATTAGTTATATCTAAATATTCCAAATTCGGTATTGTACTTCCAATGTAGTCTAAACCCCAGTCGTCTAGTACCGGGTTGTTTTTGAAACTTAACCATTTCAATTTGTATAAGTTTTTGAAATTTTCTAATCCTTCATAGTAAATAACCATGTCCGAAGCGTCAACAGCTTCAACAAAATAATTTGATTCGTATGTTTGTGGCAAATTAACAAAGTAATCATCTTTTTTATTTTCCCATCGAATAAAGTCATCGTGATCACGAAACTTAACTGCACCACCACGATAAACAATGTAATGAGCTATGGCTATGTCAGAGCCTAGAGCCTTGACACGGTCAGGTATATACCGTTGGCTGTATTTTTGAAATTCAATAGTTTTACGATAATACCATTTAGCTATAGTTTTCATAGTCCAGTCATAATTTAGTAATCTCGGTGGACCATAGTCGTCACCCGGCACAAGCCAAGACCTGAATGAGCTCACTTCGGTTTTTTTCTCATTGTGTCTTGAGCCCATCAATCTTTCATAAAGTTTTGTCTTCTCATTTTCCGTGAGAGCATTTTCGCGGTTCGAGTATCGTTTTATTCCATAGGTTAAAGGACACTTATTTGACAAAAACAATCTACGCAAATTATTCATACTAAAATATGCCAAATTTTGTTGATATAAGTATTAAAAATGATACAGAAAAAATATTAACTTATTACAATATACTATTGCGGTAAACAATTATACTATTATATACGCTCTCCAGTTAAAATTATTTACAAATTTAACAATTTTTGTAGAAAAATGTGTCTTTTTTTTTTTTACTTGATCAGATAGTAGATACCATGGGTTACTCTGTGGTAGATACTAAAAAATCTTATCGGATTCCTTTAAATAATGATAACCAGTATTCAGTGTAGCCAACAGGCGTAACGGTAAGAAAAATATATTGTGTTAAAAAACAAGTTGATTGGTAATATTAATTATTATTTCGTATTTTAAAAACATAATTTTTTTAATTAAAATATTTTTTTATTATTAGTCACATCATTGCTAAAGAAAATGAAACATCAAGCAAGAGAACAGATTGAAGATAGACGACCAAACTTGGTATCTGCACTAAAACAAGTTGGTGATTTTTATATGGAAATCAAATGGGATTTTCAAAGTTGGGGTAAGAATTATTTTGGAATACATTGTGTTCAAAACTATAAACACTAGTCTATATAATATGAAGATTAAACAATTTTGTTGACTTTTTCCTTATAGTATTCTTAATTCAAATGTTCTTATTTATATTAATTTTAGTTAATTAATATTAAAAAAAAAATGATTTGTTGAGATTATGGCTTACAGATGTAATCACCTCGTATAGTATACGATAACATAAGGCATCATATCGTTGCCTGTTACGAAAGCCAGTATGTTCAATTTTTTTCACATAGTGATAATTTTCAGCTATTTGAAACCAGTGTAGAACTAAACGTTTGAGTTTTCATCATTAAAGGCCCTAACTATAGTATACTGTAATGATGTTGAAATATACTAAATTTCGTGACATAGCAAAATGTACTACTTTTAGTAGTGATCCATGGATGTTACATGAACCGATATTTGATATTAGTGATATAATTTTTTTTCAAAACAGATATTTATCCCGATATTGTAAAAAATAAAATCCACCAGCATAATATATTATAATATTAATAAATTTATTGGTTTTATTTTAATATCAGTTTCATGGTTCAAGCAAAAAATGTTAGTTTTTCAATTTATTGGTGTTATTTCTGTAAAATATAATGGAATACCAGATATTAAATTGGTATCAGCCCCCACCCTTACTATTAAACGTATTTTATGAATTTTTAGTAAGTGGCATGAATATGTTATTGGAGTTATCATCGAATACATATCATTTACTTGTTTAATTTTTACAGTGCCATTGGTGTCTCGAGTATTACCATCAGATCTATGTCAGATTCATAAAAAAGGAACATCATTTAGACTAGATACCACACTAGTTGATTTTGCAATGAACGACATGAAATGGGAACGGGGAGAAATAACTTTTTTATTTGATGGTGACGCAAAACCATCACAGTCTCTTACAGTAATGGACAATAAAGCTGGTGTCTATCAAAAAGTTCGATATTTAGTATGTGTTTAATATTATCAGTAAACCTTTTTAATACAAACAATTAAACTAAAATATTTTAATGTTTATTTTTATTTATGCATTATTATTTATTATTAAAGGAAACTGAAATGGAAATTGAAGATGAAGTCGATCTTATGATGAGCAATGATATAATGACAGCTCAAATGTCAACCAAATCCATTACATTTTCCAGAGCGCAATCTGGATGGATTTTCCGACAAGACAAAAAAGTAAGAAATAGAAAATATGTGATAAATGAACACGTAAAAACATGTTTAAAAACTTAACATTAGTCTTAATGTTTATTTAAAATTTTCTTAGGCTATTGTTTTCTACTGCTTTATAATTATTATTTTTTAATTTTTAATGCCCCTTTTAAATAAGTTGAGCTTGTGCGATTTGCTGACCCCCCTTTGTCCCCGGACAATGTCTTTAACTCTAGTACAAAGTTAGAGCATTTTACCATCAATAAATAATTAAAATTTGTTGATTAATTTTTTTAGGAAACCATCGGAGATTTTAGTGCCGATTTTTATCACGTGAATGGCTTAACATTAGAATCAAAAAAACGAAGAGAACATTTGTCAGAAGAAGACTTACAAAAGAACAAAGCGATTCTAGAAAGTCTTACAAAAGGCGGATGTTCTATGAATATTGATTGCAATGGAGAGGTAATGAAAAAAATGTTATACTTTAAATGTGTATTATTTATGCTTTACATTGTAAAAAAAATTGTTTTTTAATGTTAGCCCGTAAGACGAGAATCGTTACCTTCTCCAAAACAGTCTCCTTATACATGGGAAGAATATTTAACGTCTTCAGCTGGGCAGCCTCCTAACTTGGCCAGAGAAATGGTTTGTAAAAATTCATCAAAGGGATTCAAAGCAACAGTCGCAATGGTAAGTAATTTATGAATTTTTTTCCCATTGTACCAGTTATTGTAAAGAACAGCGAGTAAAATATAATAATATTATTTCAGAGCATGGATTTTCCTTTATCCGTAGACATGTTAATGGATGTTCTCGAAGTTATTGCTCCTTTTAAACATTTTGCAAAGCTACGTGATTTTGTCAATTTGAGGTTACCGCCAGGATTTCCAGTCAAACTTGGTATTATTTTTAATTTACTATTATTAAGTTAAAATATAACAAATATTTTATATCAGATATCATACATTGTATAAGTTAAAAACTACAACTTGAAAATATTTAAAAAAAATGTGTTTAACCATCTATTCTGTCAATAAATAAAACTTAAAAATCAAGTTATTGTTAAATGTTAAAATATAGCTAAAGCTGCATCCCAAATTTTGTTTTCTACTTCAAAATTTAATGACAAAATACAGTAACTATATATATGGGGCATTCTGAGTCAAACCATGCGGTCATCGCCCTGACCTCAAATATTTTTTTTAAACTTCCTTTGATCTAATATGACCTTTATTTCTTTGAAATTTTTATCACTAATTTTGTGCCCCAAAATTTTAAAGTTATTTTTCAAAAAAAAAAAAAACAGATTTTGACCTGTTTTAAAATTCTAAAAATTTTAGCATAAAATCAGAGACTTAAATTAAATCTTTTCGTCTAATAACAGGAGTGGGCCTAGATTAATTTCTATTTTTTTTTAATAAAGAAATATTTTTTCTTATTTAAAAAAAAAAAATAAAAAATGTTGTGGTAAATTTTGATTTTATGCATATTTTGGGAGTAAAAAGTGAAAAATGTTCCTTACATCTTAGGTTAAGCTGTGTCTGTTGCTGCTTAATCGAGGATGGGTGACCACCCGAAAACATTTTTCTTTATTAAAAAATAGAAGTAAATCTCGACCCACTCCCGTTATTAGACGAAAAAATTTGCTATAATCCTCTGGTTTTATGATAAAATTTTCAAAAATTTAAAACTGGTCAAAATCTATTTTTTTTTTTTAAATAACTTAAAAAACCTCTATTGTTGGGGCATAATTTAGTGATAAAAATTTCAAAAAAATAAAAGTCATATATTAGACTAAGAGAAGTTAAAAAAAAACTTCAAAAAAATTTGTGGAGGTCAGGCCGATGATAGCGTGGTTTGACTCAGAATATCCCATTTACATTTATTAAATTATTTTAATCATTTTTGGTTTTTTTGCAGTTGTTGCCTTTTTTGGATTGAGCTGAGGCGTTAATAAATTGTTCATGCTTTAATTTTTAGTCATAATCCTACATATTTTTCAAATAAACTAGTTATTCATAAACTAAAATAGCTTTTAAAAATGTGTTAAAATTGTATTATTTTTTTTTGTTAATTATTCGTATTTGGTTTATTACAATATAGATATTCCTATACTGCCTACGGTGTCGGCAAAGATCACATTCCAAGCTTTTGAGTTTCGTAATGATATTGATCCCGAACTCTTTGAAGTGCCATCAAATTATGTTGAGGATCCATCCAGGTTTCCAGATTTATGACGGCCCGGTGACAAATCATTGACTCAACTCACTTGGCATCCTGTGATTGATGTGTGTTGTTACATGCATACCAATAACTAGATGGTGCGCTATTTCTTTGGGTCCTTTGGTCGTCTATTGAAAACGCCTAAAACAGATGCTAGAAATTACCATGTTCTTTTTATTTTTTTCATTTTTACTTCTTACGATTTCTTTCATGCCATTTTGATTGATTTTACTAATTTATTTCTTGCACAAAGTATTTATGAATTTCAATTTTTTATGTTTAAAATATTGAAATTGTTCAATTGATCCATCCTGGAATTCTAAGCTATTTTACACGTATTATATAATTGTTATTGCTAATACTGTATTTTTGTATTACTTGATGCATTTCCCCCAAGTTTGTTAGTATTAATTTCTTCTTTAAAAAGTATTATTTCTGTACACTAAACCAATTTTACAGTATTTCTTTTTTAAATATTATTTAAATTATGATGTAATTTTAAAAATGTGTTACTGCTAACTCTTAAAATTTTATTTTGTTCTCACAATTGTTTTTGGTATCATACACAAAGTTGATTTTATTATTTAGTGATGACATACAGATAGTTACTTGTAATTGTTTCTTCTTGTATAGACAGAAACATATTTCTTTCCTGTTATCTCAACATTGTATACGTTTATGTACTCTCGTACAATAAATTGAACTATTTTTTTTAAACTAATTTATTTTTTAACAATTGTGACATTTTAGGAACATAATAGGCTTGTTATTTATTTTTACATCTAATGTCCATTATTCTTTTTGTTTTTGTAGTAAAAAATAATTGTTTTGTTGAAGTGTTTATGTAAATCCTATCTCGTATTACTTTGAATAATAAACAATGTAATAAAAATTTAACCTTTGTATTTCTTTGTTTTTATCCCTCGTCAATTTTAGTTATATATATGAAACCATATTATCACTAGACGACTCTACTTTATTTCATATTTACTATCATGTTACAGAACGATATCAATATATCATTATTCATATTGATTCATTAATTATGTACACATCATTAAATATTGACATTAGTCTCATGATAACCTAAATGTTATTTATGTATGTATTGTGCTTATGATTTATAAGGTGTTTACTCTTTTATATTCTGAAATGCTAAGTGTAAATTTTAAACTGACGAATTCATGACGTATTTGTTTTACATATCTTGTAAAAAGACTCATCTTAAATGACCTTGCATTATTTAACATTTAATTTTTTAGACTTGCATCATAATTTCACCACTTTGTCAAACATAAGATAAACGCAATTATTTTTTACAAAACATTCTTATTATTGTATTTTATATAAAAACATATCTGGGGTATAATATTTGTTTCTTATTTTGTATGATAAATAATACAATTTGTTAATACTGTTCAATAGGTATCTTAAAGGTCCTATAATTATTTTTGTCATAAAATACCGGTATATAGTGTAGGATAAGAGTGGAATAGTTAATATATATTTAAATGTATTTTTTGATAATTGAGTTTTTCGGTCCCAGGGACAGGATGGAACAGTGGGAGGTCACTTTATGTCCTCTTCCTATCAACAAAACATTTTTTAGGAATACTTTGATAATTATTTTCTAATAAACACTGAAACGAAACTGTAGATGATAAAATCGAATAAACTATGTATCATTTTATAGACAATAAATGTGTTTATAACGGTGTTTTAAGGGGAACGGAAAGCGCTATTTATTAAGGGGCAAATGATAGGTAATATTTGACTAAAATTTATCTAATAGCCATTTTTCATATGCCTACTAATTTCAAGGCGAAATCATGTTACAGTTTACTAATTATAATACTTTTAAAGTTATTTTTCTCCGAGTTATGACGAAAGTTTGATAAAAAATGCCTTTCGTAGAAGTCATTTTCTAGCGTATCTATTAGACAGATTTCAAGTTTTTTTTTTAATGCGTAATTTACTGTTTTTCCGCGCGGGCTAAAAGACCGATTTTTGATTTAGCGATTAAAAAAGTAGTTAGATGTATTAGAAAAAAAACTATAAAAAAGTAAAACTAAAAATGCTTATAAATATTTTTTGAAAACAAAAATAAAAAATCGGCCTTTCAGCCCCCATAGAGAAGATGTTAAACTATAAAACAAAAAAAAAAGTTATTGAAATCGGTTCGGTAGACCCGATTAAATTGATTACCCACCCTGTAACACTTTACTCCCGGCCTATTTCTTTAAGATGGAGCTCAATTCGATACCATACTGTCATTTGCATGAGGAGGAAGCTATCAGTGACTTCTCTCATCTCCTTTTTGAGTGTCCCTCCCTTACTTCCGAAAGAATCTCTCTTTTTAATTTCCTTGCCTCGCATGGCATCTCTAATCCTAACACTGCTCTCATCCCTAATTCCGGCGCTGTTCCTGTAATTAATGCCACCATATCGTTCATCTTGAGCTCTGGTTATACTATATAGATTTTTTTGTTTCTCTTTCCTACCTATTTGTTTTTTGTCTACACTTAACTATAAATTTTGTCTTTTCGTATTACACTGATTTAGATTTCTTTATGTACATCGTATTAACTATTGTAACGTGCTTGTAATTTTGTTAAATAATATTATCAAATAAAGGCTAATAATTTTTTTTTTTTTTAAATACCCATCAACAAAAATTTTAAGATAATATCAACAGTAAATAAAATAAATAGCTATATCAAATTGTATAAGAATTAATATGTTTGTAATTGTGTTTTTACCTTTGCTTGGGATTTCCTTAATTAAATAAGTTTTACTATATATTTAAAAAATAAACTGTATAATTTACGATTTTCTCGATTTTCAATGGGTACGATTTTTGATCTATAGAATTGCTACATAAAAAAAGTGGTTCAAAATATATCGTATTTAAAAAAAATAAAAACTTAATTTTATAGGTAATTATTATCTTCTTAGCTCCGCATCGAAGCTAAAAAGTTGAAAGCTATTTTCGTATTATATTTAAATATAATACACGGCTGCTCCCCCAACCTCCCGTCTTCCCTTGATTTCAGGTCTGCGAGTAGAACTGCTGTCAGTCAGTCATTCATTCGTTCAAGCGACGATAGGTAGTTGACATCGTAGAGTAGGTACTTATTATGTATAGAAATTAAAATATATAACATATTATAAATATATACTATACACATACATATGTATCGATATATTATATAGTATTATCTATTTTATATTATAGAGTTTGTGTAGATGAGTAAGACTTACAAAACTATAATTAGTATTACACAATGAACGTATTTTGGCATACATTTTAAGTCTTGATTGCCTTTTTACATATCATAATATAATATACCTAATCAAACTATGATTCATATAAAGGACCATTTTCCAAGTAATATATATAAAATAAAGAGTGATTTCTTGATCACATCAGTGTTTTTATGCTTTAAAATGACTTCAGGTGCCTCATACGCAACAAGTAAACATTAAATATCGTCATTTGTTTGTATGCCATGGAAATCATAATGAATATTGAGCGGGTGTAATAACAAACCATTTTGAATAAGAAACAAAACCATGACGCAAAGATGTAAAAAAATACCTACACACTAAAAAAACAACCTCAGTGGCGTTAAATTATGCAAATGCTTACCCACCAATAGTTTTGCGTCGTTCGTAATTTGTGCAAATTTATAACTCTAAGTGATTATTTTTATGCAGAAGCATATATTTTAGAACAAAACTTCCCCGTCTAAAATCAATTCGAGATCATGCACAAAGTGGCTTAACATACAATTTGATAATTGGCTCTTGCGTATAGCTATAAATGCATGTGCTGGAGAGGTACAAATGCCATTAGTACATGTTCTTGTAACTCGTACATACCGTGCTATTTTTTACAGTTGTGTTACAGTTTATTAATTATACAAAAAGGCTATAAATATAAAAATCAAACAGGTAAAAATTAATTTTACTTATAAAAACTGCCTAATACAGTTGTACCTACATCTAATAACTTATTCTTTTGCATATTCTGGCCACCGCGAAGTCCAATACTTTAATTTTGTGTCTATGTTGCTTTTATTTTATATTTCTATTTAATATATTTTTTTCTAGTTAAATAAATGTATTAAATATAAATTTACTTTTCATTACAATTTCTCTATTTTAAACTCGAAAAATAGTTTTGAAAATACCATTAAGCGTTATGATTATGAACGTGTTAAGGGTTATTCGAGAGTGAGAAGATTTAAAAGTTCTAAATATCTGAAGTTTCATTGATTTCACCGAATTATAATATGTATAAATAAATGTAAGTAATTTTATATTTGAAGTATGTAAAATATGTATGTAGTACGAAATGACGTATGCATACCCCCCTAACATAATATTATAGGAGCGGCAAATCGCTATAAAGTCATACAAATTAAAAACATGGCTTTACTTTTTATGGAATTTAATACTTTTAATTTGTATTGTACACTTAATGTTTGTTAAAAACTGTACTTAAATTAAATGTAAAAGTAAAGGAATTTTTTCCACTGATTTTATGACTGGTTTAGGAGAGATCATATTATATTCTATTTAGTTTGTTTTTAAAATGTTGAAATGTATAAGAAAATAATAAACTTCTGAGTTCATCTACAAAAGTACATTTGAATAAATATGTTATAATGCAAAAGTTTCAATAGATTCAAATAAACAACGGTTTTAAGTATGGAAACTAATTTTTGAAACTTGAGTATAGAAAATATATGTAATACTTATATATAATTTTAGAAAAATGTATAATTTAGCATATTTACGAATCTAGGTAGGTTTTAGTTTAGACAAATTATATTTATCTTAAATATTTTTCTCTTAAAATAAATGTGTACATAATAGATTTTGTCTTATAGTAGCCGAGTTGGCTACCGGCGGATAACCGTTAAAAGAGATGGTTAAATTAAAAGTTTAATAACAGTCTTGACCTAATGAAACGTTTTAGTAAGAGATGCATATTTTAAAGCGTATGAGCAATTATTACAAGAGGGTGATGGAATATTGAATTTGCGAAGGAAATTCTTCGTAAGGTTCAACACAACATTCAATTTAACCAGTCTACGTTGTCGAAGTCCGTTTTATTGTTGAGCAATTGTGTATTTAAATTAGCCATTTCCTAATGCATGAATCTATTCAAAATCCAATTCTCGTCTTCGAACCATTTTATTTTCATCAACTCTATAATTTTTTTTTTATTGACCTAAAAGGCTCCCTCTTCTTTGTGAGAAGAATGATATCTGGCATATCTGACTGTGCATATTTTAATCTATTTTAATTCGCTTGCTTAATTCGACTGTAAGTCGCTTAAGTCGAGAATCACTATCGAGTAGTCTATTCTAACCGTACCTAGTTACTGTACCTACACGTTTTGTTTTCAGAGAACTTGAACAAAAACATTATTTTCACTGGAAATCCTCTGAGCTCATGCAAACTTACTCCTAAACGCCACGACTAAATAAGTCGTCTGCTTACGTTGAATATTAACCATGCGAACACTAATCCTAACGGCCTGGCTAGCCTTAGCATTGGGGACAACATTAACGTTGAGCCATCAAAGTAAGTTTGATATATTGTAAAAGATAATATTATTAATTAAGGCTCGTGGTGTTTATAATGTAGTTATTAGCATAGTTTATTTATTTATATAAGTAATGTGTGTCATTAAGTTTAAAACATAATCATTTTGGTGTAAATTTTATATTAATTTCTGAAATTATTTACAATGCAATTAAAGGATTATTTATTTATTGTGGACTATTAAAAGCAAAATCAAAGCATTTTTAATATTGCAAACTAATAATATTTTTTTTAGCATCTATTTTGTAAGACTTTATTTTATAAAAAAAAAATATTTTTTACTAGTCTGCTGTTCTTGTATTCTTACGCAGAGGAAATTGATGTCGAATCGCTAATGTTTTTTTTACCAATGTTAATAAATATAACAATATTTTTTGGAGTATGGAAATATACTTGATAATTAAAATTCTAATAATTGTACGTTGTTATAGATTTTTCTGTGGTTTTATGGTCGATGATAATAGCTGTTTTTAATTTTTTTTTTTAATTTTCCAGTTCCGGTTAAAAATGGAGTTAAATGTTCTACGGCTTGTACAGGAGGTATGTTTTGTAACGGAATGTATGTATCAGAACAATTATATGATTTCAAAAACATTTTATTATGGTGATTTAGGGCCTACTTCAAGCACATCTCCGCAATTTGAACCATATACCGCTTATGTCTACGACTTTGGTGGTAAAACGACAATCGTTGCCCCAACTAGTAGCAAAGAAGGAACATCGAAGATTCTGATCAAAGGAAAAGTTCAAATCGTCAGCTTGCCGAACTGCGGGGCACTGCTTTCTTTGCATAGCATCGAAGTTAAAGAAGGAACTAAGGTTAATAATTGCTTGCGCTTGTTTTTATAAAATGCTTGAAAATAAATTTATGCGATTCTGTCGGTTGTAGGTGTACAGTGATACGAATTTGGAAGGATCTCCGGTGTTATTTTCCTATAACAACGGAGTGGTCGGCTCGGAAATTTGTGCTTCAGACGATGAAGCGGTGGCTTCTCTAAACATTAAACGAGGAATAATCTCTTCTCTTCAGGTGTCAACAATGCAAAACTCCGATTCGTCAACGACTATGGAGGTACGGTGTATTGCAGCCACTGGGCATGCATTTGAATTCGTCTGTTCTAACCTAATATTGTTTGCTTAAACGTAGACTGACATCCTCGGGACTTGCGGCACTAGTTACACGATGTCTTCGAAATCTGGAAAACTGGCGGTATTGAAGAAGAAAGATTTCACCAAGTGCACCGAACACGAATTCGTTACGCTTTCTGTTCTGTCGAATGTCCGGTCGAATCAAGTGAGAATTTTTCATCGAAAAATCTAAACCCGTTATTGCATTAAGCTCATTAATTGTTTTGACGGTTTCCGCGAATAGAATTTTCTTCAGAGTTCCCCGTTCTCCAAAGCCGAACTCAAGTCGGAAATCATAATCGATGACCAAACCATCATTACGGTCGCCATCGATGAGATCTATCACTACCAACCACTGAGCTACTCGGATTCGGTCACAACAGTCACGGTCAACACTAGAATGGTGTTTAAAAAGAAATTCCCGGATACCGCGCAGTCCCAAGGTGAGATCCGCACGTCAAAATACAATACATTTGTTTGTATCATTTTAATGATTTTTCAATCGTAATATTTTTAGTAAATCATAATTTGCCAACCATTCCTCGATCAATAATTTTCGAAAAACCTACTCCTAATGCGGGAGCAACCGACGCCGAATCCTTGGTCACAGCCACTAGGATGGCCACGGCTAATATTGAACCAGTGGTCAGCATGGGCGGATCTAAATCGTTTTATGACTTAATAACGCTGTTAAAGGCAGCAGATAAGAACGATATACTCTTAGCGTTTTCCCACATCAAGAGTGGGGCCGGAATCGATAACGCGGAAGTAGCCAAGTATGTGCGAACAAGCACTCAAACCTATAGAAAAAATAAATAATTATGACATGTACAATTTTATTTATAGATCCATTTTTGTCGACGCTTTGATACGTGCCAACAGCGGTAATTGTATCGCAGCCGTAGCTACTTTGGTGAAAAACAAAGAAATTAGCAACCTATTAGCAGCGGCTTGGTTCATGAACCTGGCTAATTCCAAAAGCCCTTCGCTGGACTCTCTGGTCGCTGCTTCGGTAACTAAACCTTAATCATTTTTAGTGTTTAACGTTAGTACTAACTTTTCAAGTTTTTTTTATGATAATGTTTACAAAATCGTGTCGTAGGATTTACTTGACGAACACGTGCCGAAAGAGGCTTATTTAGGAATTGGATTTATGATTGGCAATTACTTGGCAGATAAACCAACGGATTACAAAAAACCCGAAATAGATAAAGCTCTGGAGAACCTGGCCGCTCCTTTGAAGCATCTGTACGGAGGTGCAGACGAGGATATGGTGATTGCTAGTTTGAAAGGTATCGGGAACGTAAATTACTTGAACGACGATTTGGCTGAATTCATAGCTCAAGTCATAATGAATGACCATATTCAACCCAGGATCCGGGTGGCACTGTTAGACATGGTCAAGAAGTACGCTCAAAATCCCAAGGTACTGGCCAAAGTGGCTCTATATTATATTATTATCGTCTAAGGAAACCGTTAACTTATTATAATAACTTTCGGTATACCTGCAACCACATTTCATTCATGCTTTTAGATTCAAGAAGCGTGCAATATTGTGTTCGCGGATAAGTCAGAGGACTCTGAAATAAGAATTAAATCATTTTTGGTATATGCCATGTATCCGACGTCGGAAAAGGCTTCAATCATAAAGCACGTGCTCATCAGTAAAGTCACTAGCAATCAAAGTAGGTGAATTATGTTAAAGATAGATTTTACGTGAACAATGTTTAAACATAATCTCTAATAATTATACTTGTTGTCTTCAAAGTTCTAATAGGTTAGACGGGTATATGATCAATGGTGCTTATAATTGTATGCTTTATTTGTTTTGCAGTAACTACTCTATTAGCATTTTGCTACCAATGTACACATATATACGTTAGTTGATTAATCATAATTATAAATATAGTGAATTGTAGTAAAAGTCCGTTTACAATTTTTCACATTCATTCATTAAAAATACAAAAATAAACCCTACAGTCAATAGCTTTTTAATTGTAATGAATCTAAAAATATGATAATGAATTTTATGATGTACCAACTATTAAAGAACAAAAAAAGGGTCATTCATATTACTATAATAATTATCGAAAACGCGATTTTTTATAGTTCGAGCATATCTATACAGCTATTTGAATAACCTCCAGTCTACTAAGGATATCAATAAGTTGGATCAGAAATCTTTATACGAAGGAATCATCTATGGATTGAAGAAAAACGAATTGAACAATCCCCTACGTTATTCGAAAAATTTCGATTTTTCTCACGAATCTCTTTTATTAAAAAGTGGATTCGTGGCCGGTGGTGATGTCATATACTCATACAAGTACTGCACACGCTTGAAAACTCTCTGAACACCGTGTATTTCAATAGCTATTTTTGTTCAATTTCAGAGAATTTGTCCCTCGCTCTACTTCGATTACACTGAAAACCACTCTGTTTGGACGCAATTATGATCTATTTGAGGTAAATTGATATCAACGAGAGTTAAAAAAATTATAAATAAAAACTTACTATAATTTGTCTTATATGTAGGTAGACTACCGAGCCGAAAACACAGAACAAATTCTAGAATCGTTATTTGGACCCAGAGGGTATATAACCAAGAACAAGGCGTATTTGTTTAATGATGCGGCAAGTTTTACTCGGAATGCTATAGACTATGCTAAATATAGAGCAGCTAATAGAGATTTCGAATCAAAGGTAGTAATAAAATTAAATATTAACGTCATGATTTGTGTTAATTATCCATAATTTCAGTGTATTGTACTAATTCTAAGAAATAATTATTAAAAGTAATGAATATTTTTGTAAGAAAAACGTAAACGGTTCCAAAAATGTAAGTTAACTTGTTATTCTTTATTTCTACAGAGCACTGACATACCAACTGAAATAAATGAAAGTAGAGTCAATATAGATTTGGCATTGAAAATAATGGGAAATGATGCTGGTTGGTTTGCGTTCCATGCACAGGATAGTCAAGTCACCTATCAGGATGTAATTGACGCCTTATACCAAACATTTGACGATTCTGTTGATTCAGTAAAAGACGCAGCACACATTAAAGATGTAAGTTAACTGATCTTATAAAACAAATTATTTTTATTAGTTTATAATTATATTTGGTTATTAATAATACAATTTGTTTTATACAACAAATGTTATTTTTTTTAGTTAAATATTAGAAAATTTATTCCATTGATAGACAACAGAAGGTCATATGCTACAATGACTGGATTTTCAATTAATTTAGAAATTCAAGCGAGTTCGGCAATCAAACTGAGTATGAATAAAGAGTTTGATATAGAAAACTACCTAAGTAATCCACAGAATGCGAATCTTGCTTTTAAATTTATGCCAAGGTAAGCATTATTTTCTTATTACAGTCTTTAAAAGAACTACATATGCTGTTGATATACTAATTTTATAGGTAAATTAATCCATTAAAACTTATTTTAATTCAATACAATATTGATATAGTTTCGGTTTTCGTTTAGTTTAAACACATTTTTCTTATATCTATTATTTATATTATTTATATCTACTATATCTATCAATTTACACAAATATATGATAATTGATGTTTGTCGATCACAGTTATTCTAATTTGAATTGTAGAAAGTGACAATCTTAATACTTTATAAAAACTCTAGTGCATTTATACTAGTGATTGGAATCAGAAAATCCGGATTAAAAAACAAATGCTATTTTAGCCACTTGAAAATCGTATAAATGTTAAATACAATTACAATATAAAGCTGTGTATGTTTTAATGAATTATTTTTGACGTTAAAAACATCAAGATTTGCAATCAACATTATATTCACGATTTGGCCATATGCGAAAATATGTCTATTGTACATTATTCTCATTAGACTGTACTCTTTAAACTAAAAAAAATGGTTTTTCTATTTTTAGTGGATCAGTGGACTTATTATCAAAGTTAACTGTTGATGGTTACATCGTTGAGGTTGGTAATAAAATTATGGCATCAGCGCATACTTCTACCGGATCCAGTTTTTATGTTAAATCGGTCAAAGGACGTGGCTTTGAAATGAGTATCGGTCTTCCTTTAAAAGAGATGGACTTACTATCAGTCAATTCAGAAGCCTTTGCTATACTACAGGAACAAAATAGCTTACCCAAGAATACACTTATTACAACCGATACTGAGCGGTAGTATAAAACTTATAATTGTTTTATTTATTACTAAAAAACAACTTTTTATTTTGTCTTGCTTTTTAGAAATACCTATAGTAGAAGCATAGATGAGTTTGCAGATTTGACAGGATTATCACTAGATTTTAGTTACAGTTTTCCCCGGAACGAAAATTACAAACTATATACACCATATGACGGCCCAGCTGAAATATCAATAAAAATAAAAAAATTCGATGAAAGCATGATGAACTACGTCTTAAGAGGTTCTTATAGTGACATATGTAAGTATTATAATTCTATTGCTTTTTAATTATTTTTAAATCAACGAATAATTGTTTTTTATCGATAGCGTCGAGTAAAAAATCCATTAAACTATTTTTTACTACCCCAAAATCGGAAGTTGATCGCGATGTACTGTTAACACTTCTCTATGACATTCAGACAAACGCAATGTTTGCAGCTCAGCTCATGACTTCGTCAAAAAAAATTAGCTTAGGGGTACAGTTGACAAACAGTGACAGTCAGAAGTCGATTGAGCTAAAATATTCAGGAGATTCTCAACATACGATCACTCTAGGCGTTAAAGGTGTAAAAGACGGTGATACTAAAACGAGATACTTCCCACTTTTAAAAGCCGAATACGTCGACAGCGGGAATACGGAACCTCAAATGTATTTGCCCAACATGACTATCGAAGGAGACTTGCTCGTAGAAGAAAGTCTTAATTCCCAACGAAGAGAATTCACGTTTGAAGACATGGCCATTGTCACTCCAGTAGGTAGACGTTCAATACAAGGTTCAATAATTGTCGACGAAAATAAGTTTGGCACAGACATGCATGTGTCCACTGGTACCTATAATATATCAACACAGGCCATGATCTATGTTGATCATCCCGTTTATGAACTTAAATTCAATTTAGATGTGGTTCAAAAATCACAGTCAAGCTCTCAATTGCGAAGTTATAATCCATCCCCTCTAGTGTTCTTATCGAATTCGATAAAAAAAATAAAAATAAATTCCTTTCAATCACTGAGGTTGGACGAACCGTACGCGTTCAAGAGCAACAACTATATCGAAATAAATGACGATTCCAGCGAATTGAACGCCAATATTTTAATCAAAGACGAGCAGCTCAGCATGGATGGAAATATACAATCTACCAATTTGCTCGACTATCAAGTAGACGGTAAGAACCTGCAACCTATGATGGTTCGAGGATTTTTAACAATAGTTAATTGAGTTTTCTTTGGTTTACAGGACAGATGAAAGTAGTGCCGAGAAGCTTAAATTCAGGAATTATCCTGGAAGGGTCTTTGTCTCATGTAAATAACAATGATGCTACGGATAATGGTCGCGGTAAGATATCATTTGTTGAAAGTCCTGATAAAAGGCATGGACTTTTTGAACTCGATTCACAATGTCCAAACCTCGCTGGAGTGTTTAACATTCTCTCGGAATACAAAGTTAGTTAACAAGAATCTTATTGACAATTGTTTATGCGACTATATATAGTTTTTATACTCGTATTATATTTTATATTACAGATAACAGACGACAGTCTTAATCTTAAATCTAGAGTACATGTTCGCGACGACACAAAATTCAATGCAGAACTGGACCTTCAACTGCGGAGCATTAAAGTGGACATATCTTACAATGCACCGGGTAGTGAAACTGCGGTGTTAGTACGTGGTTTGTCTAAAACACCCAATTCTGTGGAATTTGAAACAAAAGTACGTTTCTTATTTTAGTTTGTATTAGTTTTAATTATAAAAAATGGATTACCATTATTTTTAATTTAGATAATCTGGCCCGCTCCCGAAGATATAAATTACTTTGTGTCGAACGGAGCCATAAAAATAAATGGACTCGACTGTGAAATCAGCGGTTATCTGGATTATCCACTTGCAGACCTGAGAAGAATAACATTCAACTTGCGAAGTATACCCAACGCTGGTTCTAGTACCGATGGAGAGGTTAATTTCGAGTGTATTTCTAACGACATACTAATACTTTCTGGAATGTAAGTTGATAGTGTTCTGTTGGTGTGAGCCGTGCATAAATTATTAATATGTATTAATCAATTCGATTTGTGTTACGATCAAAAGATTCAACTATAAACTTGCTAATGAAAATGGGCAAGTGCACATAAGAGGTGATGGTTTGATTACCGATTCCTTAGATAACAGTTTAGCCGCAGATTTTGGAGTAGATATTGTAAACTATATAGATAAAATGAACAATCAAGGAACAGAGGTGTGTGTGTGTGTGTGTATTATTTTTGTCGGAAGTTCGCTGAAAATAAATATTTCCTCCTATTTTAGATGTCTTACTTCTTTATTGTACCCAACAAAAATAAAAGTGACATGCGATCCTATCGACGACAATTGCGAGTTACTAAACGAGAGTTTAGCTACGAACAATTGTATCAAATAGGCAACCAAAATGAAATCATTACAATTGATTTCGAATACGATTTCGAAGGTGTGAATAAACACATATATTTTCTAAAATGTCAATTGCGTAACTTAAATTTGTAATTACAGATTTGTTGAACATGTCTTATAAGTTAACAGCGAAAATCGATACTCCTAGTATATTCCATACGCTCCTCGATGACAAACACAATAAAGCAGATTTGCTTTCAACTATGACGATCAACAAAAGCTTGTTTGAAAAACAATGTTTGGTTAAGGTTTATTCCATTGACGGTAATGATTTGGTGTATGAATTGAAACTCAGAATGGACTCGACAAAAGCAGGTTAGTTTCGTTTTGAATATAACCCATAATATGTCGGATAAATATTATTATTTTATACTTGTGTAGGTTTAAAATTGATGAGAGGCCAAAGGAGTATTGTGGCCGCTGTACAATATGATCTGAAACCTACAGATGGTGGATATACGGGTTCGATATCGGCAATACTGTGGCTAGATCGTATTAGGTTGCCAAATTCTAAGTCTAGTTTATCTATGGATGGACAATATTCGATGGAAAGAGGATTGTCCGGAAGTGGAACGTTGCGTTTTACTAGTCCGGCCATTGGTCCAAAAGTACGTGGTAGTAAAGTATTTGCGATTTTCCACATAATATTAATGCTGAACTATGAATATCTTATAGGATATGTCAATAAACACTTCTTTTGACGTTCTGAAAAACTGGGAAAAATTATTTGACATATTGTTAGACCTAAATATTTTCCCCACAGTAGAACAAAGAGTAACAGTGACTTCAAGTCTGGTGCGTACACCGGAAGACGGCGGAGTTAGATACACTGCCTTACTAACAGCCCAAAGCCCCGTAAGAATAATAAACTTAAGTTTTCTTTCTGTCTATTACAATGATTTATATCAGGCATTGTTTAACTATGTATTTAGGGAATGAAAATGGACTATGGTTTTAAAGAAAGTATATTAATTACACCTAAGAAATGGGGAAATTACATAGAAAGTTACTTCATCGACTACAATAACGAAAAAAGACCCATTCGCATAGTGTTTGAGATCACACCAGGAACTTTTAACAATGAAGTAAGTTGTACCTATTATAACAAACATTTTTAGAATATTTAACAACGTTGTAGGTATACTGACATTATTATTATTTATTTTTTTAACAGATAAACATTCTTGATATTGCTAGGCTTAGTGCAAAAACATTGTTCGACATTAAAGATGGTGTTTTACGAGCAAAGTCTACTATAAATTATAACGAACACTTGTACAAACTCGGCTTGGAATTTACCACTACTCCTGACATCACTTTAACACTGGAATGGAATGGTTTGTTCTGGAAAATTATTATTTAAAAAGTTTCTAGATGCGTTACGTTTGTAATTACTGATTGTACGTACTATTATTTCTACAAATACGAAAATTTAGATAGAGCGGGAAATCTCGAAAGACTGGTGGTAATAGCTTCCGCTACTTTAGACGATTCGGCTGTTGTTAGTGGTACTCTGTATAAGGCCAATAGCAATGAGCCAACGTCCGTGGGTTATATAAAGAAATCACTATCACAAGATAATTGGCTAGAAACTGAAAATGGATTGGACAGTCAACAAGTCGCATACATAATGGTAAGACAGGTGTCCTATACAACCGCTATAATTTTATACCTCTATATTTTCCCGTCCAACCCACATACATCAAAACATATCACTTAACTTCCATACAGCACCCTGCACCGGTGGTCCTGTATATTTATTTTTTTGTCTAACAATTTACGTTTTTTACACAATTACTTATGCCAATTTCATCTTTTTACTTTTTAGTATCAAAAAAAAAAATTACCCAACATTTAAATTTAAACAATAACTTGCAATGTTATGTGTAAAATGTTTTTTTTTGTTATATTATATTATAGAAAGCGTTGAAAACAGATTGCTTTGGGCGGGTTGTCGATATGCGCAATAACTTGAAAAGTATAGAAAAATTACTCAACAATCAGTTTGAATATCAGATGTCTGATAATAGAAATCTTGATCTCCAGTTTCAACAAGTGGACAAATATATCAATGATCAATACAGTTTGATAAATGGAGAAATAAGCGAAGACGTGTATTTAAATTCGTTGCCTACTTTATGGTAAATACTAATAGTTATTAGTATAACTAATGAAAGACAACATAGTTCGAACGCCTTGTTAATGCTTTCATTTTACAGCAAGAATTTGGCTCGTGCTTTGCTCTTCGATCTGGTTGACCTCATCAAATTCAGTAATATTATCGAAATACTAAGCGAACAACTGGAAAAACTGGAAGACTACTTACATCAAGCGTACGACGAAGCCTTTATTAGTTTAGGGAAATTAGGTCCTAAATTGAGGGACATATACAATACGAAGATTGACGAATTGAAAAATTGTATTAACGCTATAATTTCTGAAATTCATCATCTAATTGATACACCAGGCGAATCGTTGTCATCCGTAAGAGACTACGTCTACGGTAAAGCAACATGTTTGATTAAATCAATTAATAGTCAAATAATTTATTGTTGTCATTATCTATCTGTAATAGATCTTGTAAGTGATACTGAAGACAGCATTAAAACGATCCGCAATGCTTTGGAAAAATTAAAACAAATGGTGGAGGATTACATTAAACAGTTGCCATCGTATGCTGTAATCCGTGACCATATTGAATTGGTAGGAAAACGATAGCTATAGTATTTTTTGAAAAATAATAATCAACCTATTCCCATCGATTAAAAAATAAATTTTAAGACATAACAATACTCGGTGTTAAGGATTAAAACATTCATTAATTCATTCATTGAACAATTGAATCATTTAAATTGGCTTGTGTGTAACATACGAGTACATTGAAATGAAAAAGTTCCTTTTTCCGTTTTAGCTCAAATCGTATCCGTTGAAAGAGAATGTTTGGAATTGGCTACACAATTACTTGCTCCGACTCAGAGCTTCGGCTACCTCCAAAGACGTGGCCGATCTAATTACTGCAGTTGACAGTTATTTAGATAAGGTTTGTTGTGTTTGTGTATTGGTTTTAAGATATTTTTTAATTATAAAATTTAAAATCGATTTGCTTTAGATATTCCACTCGGGACTAGACAATACCGAAACAGACGTAGATATGATCAAAGACAAGAGTCATGCCGTCATGAGAGAGATAGTCAACAATTACCAAAAATACTTAACTTATGACAGAGCAATGGCTGTTACCGATATTTTAAGAAATATCGAAAACTGTATAAAAAAAACGTCGCGTTATATTGGATCGAATTCCGCTGAATTGCCAGGCATCTTGTATGTATGGTTCGACTTCACAAAATTCTTGGAATCTTACAACAATTTGATTAATCCAATTTACTTGATACCGCCGTTCTTAGGTAATAAGCTTTAGTGGGCCGAAACGCGTTCAAAGATCATTTTTAACTTTATTATTAATTAATTTTGTAATTACAGCTAAAGCTTCGATTATCGACTCTAACAACGTGGTCACCATAAACGGCGTTCCATACAGTTTCATACCGAACTCCGGTTCTTATGTACTCGCCAAAGATTTCAAAGACTTAAATTTCTCTATAGTCGGTAATTACGAAAACAGTGAACTTTTGTCGGTCACTGTGTCTATTGATAACAGCCAGACATTGGTTTTACTTGCCGGAGGACAAGTAAGTCGATATCCAACCTAATAGCTAATACCCACTATCCTGCAGTTGTATTAGTATTAGTAATCAGTTATACAATAATAATTTTTTATATCCCGTACTTAAAAATAATTATTATTACAAGTTCATCGTATGCCTCTAGATAACCGTGAACGACGAAGTCGTCGACTTCCCGTCGATGGACAATGAAGTTCGGACTTTTAAGGATTTTGACACTTTCGGCGTTAAACTGTCGGCCGGTGTAGACATTACTTGTGTCCTAGATCTGAGTGTCGTTCTGGTGTCTATCAACGGTTACTACCATAATCATGTCCGCGGTATTTTAGGTTCCATTAATCAAGAACCGACATTGGACTATACTATGACTAATGGCCAGGTAACTTACGTTTGCATGAATACAACTTTAACTCAATAAAATCTATTCTACGGGTGCACTTTTTCTAGGTTGCCAGAGACTTGGAAATGTTTGTGTCAGAGTACCAAATACAGGGCAAGGACTCTCCTGAAGCTGTCGAAACAAATTACGAAGACCAACTCCCGTGTCCAAGTCTGTTTTCCGGGTCATCCTCTTTAAGGTGTGTGTATTTAAGTTGTCAAAAATATTCATATTACTAATTCATATAATTACTAATAACTTGATGTATTCGCAGACCCGCTTTCTGGAGTGTATCGTCGATTGCGTATCGGGCGACTTGTAACCAATTGGTATCTGTCGTTGAATCTCCACAGGACAAAATGAAAATGGCTTGTTTAGTAGCCAAAGCTTATATAATGTTAGCCAGAGATAACTATCAACCAGTTTCTATACCCCAGATATGCCGTAAGTTTTTGAATCACCTTTTATTTCCTAAAATTTAAAATAACCGTATTTTTTGCTAATTGAGATGCGGGAATTAATACTGTATTTATGTTATAGAGACAAGTAAACTCAACAAAAGGACATTGGATTCCAATAATCAGATCGAAATAGATGGACCTTTCAACAGCGTGGACGTCATTGTCTTGTTCGAAAAGGTTATAGAAAATCAAGAAATATTTTTACAATTTTTGATCCCCTTAATACAACGTCTTAAGCAAGATTTCAAAAGCAAAGGAATTACGTAAGTGTGATATCGATGTATAATTATCATTTAAGGTATGACTAATAGTGCAATTATTATAATTAAGCTGATATAATTTTCAAACAAAAATAATCTATGATAAACTAAAACGCTATTTCAAATGTTTACTGATTGCTTGAATGTTTTTAATTACAAAGTTATTTGCGCTAAAGAAAAATCATACATAATTTAAATTAAAAAAAAGTCAAGGACAAGGAGCTTAACAATATTATTATATTTAAATTTAGAAATACCATGTAGTATTGGTAAAAGTGTGGTTAATTTAATTACAGGGACATGAGATTTGTGGGCATTGGATTTTCTGACTACCTTTTAAATCCTGATATGACAGTTTATATGTCAGGCGACGAATACAACAGAGACTTCAGTTATGTGACATTCGATTGGTCTGATTGTTTGTACAATCAACAACTAGATAAAGACAAACAAGAAATAACCCGTGAAATTGTGCACTTTATTCAAAACGCCTTAGGTAAAATATAATGCTTAATAAATAAAAATAGTAGAACACATGCTATTTTTCATGTTATATAATGAATCCAGAAGAAGTGGTATAAAAATTAAATAATAATATTAAAAAAAAAGAAACAGAATAATTTGTTCTTTACAATTCAAAAGGAATACGACTTGCTAGTTGTTTTTTGAGGTTTGGGGGAAAATATTTTAAGTATAATATTTGGTTGTTGTTCTGAAAATAATCCATGTGTGTTTATTATATTTATAATAATTATAAAATATTATTAGAGTATGCTTAAAGTATATTATTACTGTGTGGCTAAGTAATAATGTAACTCGTGTCACTTGCATTTCTATAGGTTTATAAACCGCATCAATGCTTGTAGTATTAAACGAAAATAAAACTCATAATTGCATTTTAAATATGGATTATTTGCCTAGTTTTAATGGAATAAACATTCTTATGTATTATACAAATCTTATTATTTATATTACATATTTTAGGCCGAAACTCAATGGAAAATGCATTTAAGTATGCGGTAAACTATCCAATTCGCCCTACTGCTAATAAAATTATTTTAGCTGCTATGCAATCTCTTCACTTCAATAACGTTTTGAATACTTTGGACGTATGTTGCACAAACATTTTTAGTTTATAAGCAAGTTTTTTATTATTATTAACATGTTTGCCTATAGCTATCATTGTATTCGACCAAATTGATGACGTTGGATTTAGTAGAACAGGGTACCAAAGCTTATTGGATTGGACCAATGTACATACAAGATGCTAACAACGAAGGCATATTTGGTGAGCATAAGGGTGAATATTAATGTAATAAAAGATAACAAAGACATATTAGTTGTGTTAATTATTCGAATACACCGCTTGTTCGTCGTTAAACCAAGTTATATTTTATACTGTTAAATATACTATTTTATTTTATTTCTGTATTGTCATTTAATTTTGTCCTAACAAAATTGTTTTTGTCTTAGGATTAAGCGGCGATACAGTTTACAGCACGAGTGTCCCGACAGGCCAGCAAACGAAAACCCCCATTTCTTACAAAAAATCTTTGGAAACAGGAGTTGCGTCAACGGTCAGTATTATTCAAATTTTTAACAGACAATGACAGAATAGATTTATTTTTGTCAGGTTTGGACTACATTAGCGTTTATGTTATCCCCAAACAAAACTTGTTTGATATGTCATATGGGCATTATTTTTGAGAATTAAACTGAGATGGTATTTTTATTATGATTTTGTTTTTTTTAGACGGGAGGAGCCATGTTTGATTCAGAAGCATTCCGTAACGCTTCAGCAGAAAAAAGAGACATAATTATGCGTTCCCTATCGAAAGTCATAGTAGATAAGGCATCGATAGATTCTAAAACACGAAAAACCTGCACCAACGCCTTGTACAACGGAATGACATCATATCCAAAATGCACTGTCCTTAACTAAAGTATCGCTAAATTTGACTAGATTTCTATAAAGGTGCGTCAAACTGTATTATTACCAACATTTTAGCATCACATAGAGGGATATCAAGCGGGAGCTTCTCCAGACTATTTTTTTTATAATATTCAAATTATCCTAAAAAAGAGCCAGTATTAATGTAAATTTAGCTGCGATACGATTTTTTTTTTTGTGGCTTTTAAATATTTGCGAGGATGAGGATATTTAGTTTCCCTGATCTCCATCAAGGGCTGTACTGTAAAATTAGTCTAATATCCTGTCTAGGTCTGAAGAAAATTATAGAACATATAATGATATGTTCTTTTAATTTTCAATTTTAGATTTCTTTTGGGGTCCTCACGACTGGATATTTTAAATAGTAATTTATACTTCAACTTTCTCCGGTTTTATAGGTATATTTTATTAGCTACGTATCAGTCCAAGGACATAGGTATGCGTAGTTTGATGGGTAATGTTGAGACACTTTCAAGCTCTCATAGAAGTTTGGGGGAGCTCTAATTAAAATAATTGATGGCTGATATTTTATTGGAGGCTGGTGGAGTTTTAAAGGATCTGACCTTTCCAAGTCCCATTAGCTATTCCTATATTCAAAGCACAATATGCATATTTAGCATATTTTCATATTAATCACACAGACGATACCAGGGGATACCTCATCTAAATTATTGGTTGGTTCTAGTGATCCGTTTTAAAATAATCATAATGGTTTTGGTTTTTACAGGTACCACTGTGAACTTTGAAAATCAACTAATACCACTTAAAAAAGTACATATACTATTAGTGTTGAAATGGCCACACTATAAACTATAGAAATTATTGTTTAAAGCTTAATAATAAAATAATGCATTGAAACGCAGTACAAATGTTTTTTGTTATTTCATAATCACTTATTTTAATTAGTTATCCATAATAATACAATATTTTGTACTGGGCCAAACACAAATCATTTTATTTTTAGATGGTGTATTCTCGACGTTTATGGGAAACTTCTACCAATTAAAAGTTAACCATTATTATAAATCGAATCATCGATACCAAACTCATTATAACAATTGACCGCATGTCCAACTTCAAGACTACAATCTTGCACTATAATAAGAACAAACAAAATATGTTTTTGGATTATTATAAGGAAAAACTGCACAAATTTATAGTTTTGATAGGTCTCTAATGACAAAAATAATAAACAAAATTTGTTTTGTATTCAATTTGTGCTCTATACTTGTAATTGGTATAATAAGTAAACTTTCATTTATACTTATTACTAGCAATCATTTTTTAAGTATTTTTAGCCTCCCTTAAGTAAACTGAGTAATATAAACAAATCTAATACTGTTTGGGGCTAATATTAGGACGTTTATATACAAATACAGTTAAATACAAATTAAATTATATCATAGGAATGATCTAATACATTAAATTACATAATACAATTTACTATTAAATAGCAATCTTTCATAATGTATAATGAATAATATGTATTTAAAATATATACGAATAATGTGCTCAAACGAGAATCAACCAATAATTATTATGAGTAAACTTAAAAAACAGTATGTAACATATTTTACATTTTTTTTTTTTTTTTTGAAAAAAAAATAATATAATATATTATTGAATATTACAATATTTTAAATAATAATAATATAATAAACACGTTCATAATTTATTTTAGAAGTAAAAAGAATAGATATTGCTTATATTTTTTAATTTGGAATACTAGTAGAGTTCAGGGGTATTTTACATTATGAAATAAGTACCATAATGTTTTAATAAACGTGTTTTGTTAGTTGTTGATTATGAAAAAATCACATTTAATCTTGGAAAATAATCCTTGCTTTATTTATATATTATATATATAATATATTTTAACAAGTTGTTCATAGAATATCGGCAATTTGATAACACAAAATGTAAAATATTGTAAATTTGGAGAAAATAATAAACAGAAATAATTATTACCTAACATCATAATACAAATTCATAATTATTGCTGGGAGTATTTAATTGGTTTCTGTTATATACCTACCTACCATAATACACTAATGTGAAATTGCTTTATTGTCGGCGTGGGACTTATCAGGGAGTACCTCCTAGTTAAATCTTGAACACAAATAAAAGTTATTATCGAAAAGTAAATGACCATATTTCGTTTTTGTGCATAATATTATATTTGATGTAGCCATATTATTTTTATTAATTTAAAAGGTTGAATTTCAAAGCAGGAATAATGTTAGTTACGTTACATAACTATTCATACTAAATTATTTATTTATGAATACTTTATTTATTTTATACTCTTACAATCAAAGTATAGTAAAAATGATATAAAATATTCAAAAAAAATAAATAAGTACAGAGTACAGACTAATATTAGCAATAGTTTATTACTGGCGTGTTATCTGTCAACAATAATAACAAATAAGATAAGGTTAAGTTGGGTATTAACTCTTAACCTGCAATTCTAATTAAGTTATTTCAATTCAGTAACATAATAAATACAATTTGAACTTAAAATGATCAATTTTTGGTATTGGACATAATTATTCAACAGTATTAATATTTTTAAGGCAAGCGTGCATTTTACAGTTTTTTGCTTATTCGTCTTTAAATTAGATATAAACACGTATAAAGAAGAACTTTTATCAATTAACATTAATTTATTAAAATTTTGCTACACTTGATTATATTATTATATGTCAAAGCTTATCACACCATAAGTCGGCTTATCGCATAACTAGTTAATACAAAATCGTTGATTTGATTTTGCTATATTGTATTAAAGATCATAAAAAAAATATCTTAGAATAATAATAAGTAATTTGTACATTTTTTTAAAAGTAAAATGCTTAAATCAATTAAAAACAAAATATCTGCCAATATAATCGTAAATTCAACCTAACCACACGATTTATAGATTTCAAACCCTTTTTATTATTGGTCACGCCTTACGGTGAATATAATATGATATTGATGAGGGCAATATAAAAAAGACCATAATATGTTAATACATTAAGATTTAAGCAATATCTAAAATGTTGCATTGTCCAATTAACCTATTTAACTATACCTATTTATTAATAAATCTATATTAAAGATATACTTTTGAAGGCACTTGGTAGTGTTTTAATACCTACTGAATTCATAATAACAATTTACGAATTCAATAAAAACCTAATAAATATTTCGAACATTATAACATTACTATAGATTTTAATAAATCAATTTTTGAAATTTTACTCTTTTTCAATTTAACAATTTATTTATGGCTTTATATGCACTCAATAGTTTATCTACCCCGGTTATTTTAAAATAATTTCAGTATTATTCGATTGGGCGACCACAATTGCATATTACAGGTATCTACATAAAATTAGTATTTTTAAATTTGTCAACGATAATGATATTAATATGTACTATGGTGGTAAATTATTACTTACTATATTTAAAACCAAACTACCCAGCGAAGCGTTTCAACAGAACTTAATTAAAGAGTGGAACATAAATTGATTAGATAAAGTATTTCAGAAAAACAAGAACATTATTTTCAATATTTACTATTAAATATTAATGACGAATAAGTGTACATTTATAAACGATTAAATTGATTGCATGCTATTTTTCACAACCTGGGTTCATAGTGATTTAAGCCATCAGTAAACAACACATACATATATAATGGTCAGCCGTAAATAGATCTGGAGTGACTTATAAAAAGGAAGGAGGACAAGTGAAATTGCATAGTCGATTTGTGGTCTTGCTGAAGTCAAGTTTCGCTCTTTCAAACATTTTACAATCTTTACAATCCTTTGTAATAACTACACTCTACATTTTATCAAGTAAGTTTTTTTTTTTTTAAGGTATAATTTTAAAGACGATATTTTATTAATATTATTTTTTTTTCCATTTAATATATCTCTACTTAATAGTTTTATTAAATATAAAATGTTATGAAAAATATATAACAATTTTAAAACTGTTTCAAAATAATTTTATAAAACCTTAAGTAATTTAGTTAATTAAATAAATTAACAATTTATTCATAATAAATACTGTGAGTAAAGACCATTTTTCAAAAGAAACAACTTTAATATTTTATGATTCAACTTCATTTTATAATGTTTTAGTTGTTTACCTAATTTATTTTATACGTCTTATAATCTAAAAGAATCAAACTAAAAGAGTTAAAAAAAAATTATTTTTAATATCGGAAAACAATTTTTTATATGAAAACATGTTTTTTTACTCCTATTGGAAGCGATCAAGCTCTGGAGAAAATAACTAGATAAAATTAAAATTTGATTAAAATTTTTAGCTTAAATTTAAAGCCGAGAAGGTGTTAAATAATGTGTTTGTACCTTAGGTACTTTTTTTAAATTCCGCAAGAAATTAAAAAAACATCATTTTTGTAGAAATGATTTCTATTTTCTTTTAAGTAAAACTATAAAATTTTTCTGAAGCTTTTTCATGGCCTCTGCTAAACATGTATTATTCGAATACAGTACCATAAAGATCAGACATAAGGGATTATAGGTCATGGATAGTTTGTATAATATTACGAAATTAAAATTTTAATATAATTTAAACAATTATTATAATAAATTTATACATTTCTTACTATTTTACATTTCTTAAAAAACCCACGGTTTAAAACAAATTATATTTGTTTATTTACAGCAAATTTAAAAAATAATACTTACTACATTCGTACTCGAATTAACTTGTTTGTGTATGATTTAATTGGTTTAAAGGTATTTAAACTTTTGTATTTAATTTTCAGAATGAATCGTCCAAACACTCAAGAGGCAAACCGCACCAATCAATGCAACCCCACTCACCAACCCAGTGGACCAGGTCGCCAAGCGGCTTATCAAGGCGATAAAGGAAAAGACAACATGGACAACCGCTCACAACAAATGAACCCTAATAACGATAAGTTCATGCCAAAAAAAAACTAATAACTATTTATACAAATGTACATTAAAAATGATAAAAACTGTTTTTTTTTATACTCCACAAAACATAAATTCGTAATAATATTTTTTTTTAAATAATACATTTTCAATTTTGTAATTGAACTCTTATAATAATAAAAGATGAATTTTTAAACTTAGTTCACATTGTTTATTGATATAATTTAATCTGATTCGTATAGCATACTTTCTACTTCGTGTCTCAGCATTTAAATGTTACTTACATATTTTATAATGCTCAAGCAAGTACCTTAATAAGCAGTATAAGTGTAAACATATACGCTGTTCCTACATAGGCCATCTTTAGACTTTTTATATATTTTATAGACAGCACAACTAACTAAATGCCAGTTGAGTATTTTTTATGATATTATAATAGTTAAGTACCTAATCTAGTTATAATAAAATACGACAGCTATCTCGACGTTGGTATTGGTAATAATATTTCGCTATATACCTATTAATTTGTTTTTAAGAAATAAGTAAGAACAGTGACAATATTATTGTTATAATAATGCAAAAAAATGACAAAACATTAATCATCATGGACCTTTATTAAGAATTTTTACAATTATAAGTATAAATTATAATCATAATTTATACAGTGTAATAACTTTTCACAATCAATTTGTTGTAGGTACTAGTGATTTAAAACAATATATAAAATAACAACTTTACCGTCGTGTTGCCCCCTTTGGAATATGTTGTAAGTTTTGCACAAAACACTCTTATGGTGTGTTCTCATAAGCGTTTTGTAAATTGTACCTATTAAGGAATTGTACCTATTAATATAGGAATTATTAGGAATCAACATTTTTGCTTTGTATAGTTTATAAATGATTATAAATAGGTCGCGGCGACCGAAGAGGACCAAGTTAGCTATAGTGCCTCTTTCCTGGTCAATAATGCCATACGAGTATTTTATTATAAATAGGTATAATTAAATGATTTGACGTTATTTTTTATTTTATAGCTTACCTATAGTTCGCTGAGCTGTTAAGCGTATAAGAAAAAAATGTATAATAATACTAGTTACCAAAGAAATGTCTGAATTTTTCATTAATAAACGTCAACTCAACAACATGCTGAAATATCTTAGTCTCATAGCTGCTTTTTTTGTTACCGTGTACTGGCTACACTGATCACTAATAAAACCACAGATAAGATAAAAACATAATATTATTGGCGATATTACATGGAGTAATATTATCACCGCTTTTTATTGATATCAATATTATTCTTGACTTTAAAATTTTAATAAGCATTAACGTTAAACTTACTACTTAGTACTTACTAGTTACTTGTAAATGTCAACTGCCAACACAAAGTTTGAATAGCTTACAATATTTGTGACTTACGTTCCTATATAACTACCGTGTGTTGGGGGCTTTTTTTTTTTTTAAAATGCCAAAAGTAGTATCTCGTAGTATAATCTGTTCAGATTCCAAAGATCAAGAGGAATACAATGAAGAGAGACCATTACACTCATATTATTGTTTATGTGGTCAAATGACACTAATTCTAGGTAATTTTGTTAAGTATGAATTATTGTACATTCAAAGAATATTATTCAACTATCTAATTGATTTTTAATTTTATGTCATTATATTGTTTTCGAATAAATTGGTGTGAAGCACTTTCTTTACTTGCTTAATTATTATTTAATTTATCTTTTTCTCCAGTGTTCATCCTTATGTGCTTATGAAATAAAATGTAGCATGTATACTGATCATAGTAACAGATGCCATATTATATTGACTCTTCCTAGGCAAAGAGCATACCTCTAAGTTTGATCACACATCTATCAAGATCTCAATTCTATATATTTTAATAAAATATTTAGAAAAAATACATGATACAAATTAATTTAGTGTTTATGCACTTATGAATTATAAAGATTGATTGATTTCACTATAACCCAGTAAATGGACAAGATAATTTTTAGCCCTTAAATGTAGCCATACATTTTTGTTAGTATTTCTTAACTAAATCCTTTTTAATAAACTATAGGTTTAATGAAACGTGAAATCTTAACACTTAAATTATATTATATTTTTATTTTATATATTAACATTTTATATTATATAATTTGATGTTACATTTTTAGACTGTGCCATTGAAAAATTACCTCTACGTAAACGTGATGGAGCTAGGGTAATTGATGGATCTAAGCACGCTAATAAGTTAACGTATGATCAAGACGAATTAGTGTATTTGAAAAGGCCCGAAGGGATTGAAAAACAGTATCGATTGAAATGTAAAAAGTTAGTGTCACGTTGATATTGTTTTTCCTTAATATTATTCTTTTTATCTTATGTTGAGTTTTTGTAATGATTTTTGTTTTGTTAATGTTAATGAGTTGAAAATACGAGCTTGGAATTTATTGTGATTATTATTTTTATTATATTTGTGTTAATTATTCAAAATTTGTATTAGTTATTAAATATTATATATGTACTCTTGCCCCGCACAGGCAAGAAAAAAATACAATTTAATAAAAACATAATAATATTAAATAAACTAATTAACTAACCTAAAAGTTTAAACATAAGTATGAAGTTAACTTCTCCTTAACACATTAATGTCCAAACTTGTTAAAAAAAAACTAACAAATTAATTTATTTGCTAATATATAATATATATATATATATATTTTTTTTTAAGATGCGGTTTATTCTTATATTATAAACACCAGCCTAGTGCGAATGTTTATTTTATCGTACGAGGGGCAATAGTCAAGTGTACTGGAGAAATTCCCAAAATGGATATTTACAATCAAGTAGCAGTTGATAAACCTAAAAAAATCATGGTCACCAAGCATACAAAGAATATGGGTAAATTTAGCTCGGTAACAGTATCAACCATTGACGAGGAAGAGGATGAAATAGAAGCTGTAAGTTCTTTTATCATACTAAAATTTATTATTTGGCTTTTAACATGATTATATAATAACCTTTTGCTTGTAGCGAGAAGTTGCCGACTCATATGCAAACAATGCCCGAATTATTGAAAAACAATTAGAAAGAAAAGGCATGAACAAACGTAAAGCGACAGATACAGTCGAACCTGAAATTGATTTGGAAATAAAAAGACATACCCGCGGTACTCTGTTAGAAAAATGAAATACCGATATTAAATTTAATAACATTTTTAAAGCATTTTTAATAACTCACAATAAATAATCTTTTTTCTTTTTTTTATTGTACAGGTATGGTATTTATAAGTTCAGAATTATTATGATTTGAGTTTTCACCATCGACCAATATTTTATGCACTAGTTCGGGTGCTCTTGGCATTAGTTTCGAAGGGTTTTCATACTCGTTTTTTGGGTTGTGGACATGTTCATAGAGCTGTTTATAAACAGCTGAAATGACTTCGTTGGACCGTTGTCTCACCTTATTAAAGTGGTGATTATTTTTTAAACAACCCATTTGTGGTACAGATAGTGTGTCTGGCATAACTAACATGGTTTCAATTTTTGTCTGAAAATTGAACAAAGAAAAAATTACATTATTTAATTATAAAACATAACTTAACATTAATACACTATAAAAACGAGTTAGGTTCACCAAAAAATTAATTAAATTTTCTGCTTCCATTCCTTGTATCTGTGACATTGGGGCGTTAGTTCCTTGAGCTTGAAGAGCTGTTTGAATTTCTTCCAGATTCAAGTGTGTAACAAGATAGTTTGTTTGTTCTGTAGACGCCGTTTCTATTTGTACATCCATTTGAGTCTAAACATAATACAAAAAAGTTGAATAATTATTTTGTATAAACTTGTTTTTGTATTTGAATGTCTTCTATGTAAAATATTTTTTATGTTTGTACCTGTAAGCGTTTAAGTTTATCCTCAACATATTCATACTGTATTAGTGTATTGTGTATATCGTTTAAGCAATTTAGTTGATAAACAGCCATGTCAAGTGGAGATAATCTTGAGGCGCTCAAGTTAATTGCTTGCAGTAAAGGTTCTAGCACACAAGAAATTATCTAAAAATAATACATATAATATATTTATATAAATTAATTTAAGAATATTGTGATTTTAATATAATTTTACAATATTAATGGGATTTTATAATATAATTTTACCATCGATATGTCATCTTGTTTGTCTTCTGTGACAGCAGCTACTGATAAAACTTGTCTCAGAATATTTAACAAATGTCCAATCCCAGGTGAAGGAGACAGGTCAGTAGGAGGCGCTTCTATTCGTTCCAAAAGTGTGTCGCGTACCAAGTTTTGCAATTTATTCAAAAACACACATTCCATTGTCTTATGTAGTTCGACAATAGTCTGACATAATTGTCCAGCTGGAACAGTCTAAAATTGATGATGATAATATATGTTATATAATATATATTATGTGGGTTTTAGTAAAAATGAAATAAAATTTGATAGAAGTATACTACTGGTAATTCTTACTCAACATAACTTACTTTCATAACTATTTGAAGATAAAATTTAAGCGAACTTGCAACACTGTAAAGATCAATTGGGTTCTCATTCATATGTAGTACGCTCTCAACGCGTGAAGACAGTGGACTACACAATCCCTCAGTTATACTACTCATACACGATGCTATTTCTTCTTCATTATCTAATATACAAATTAAAAGACTGTTAAATCTGAAAATTCTAAATATCTAAAATCTTTATACTTGTTTTATCACAGTTTTTCAATAAATATGTCAAATATTTTCTCTCAGTCGGTATGTGATCGATCAACCATGACAGCATATTATTCACATACATGCGAATGTCTTTTGAAAACGCTTTTATTGATACACCATTAGAGCTATTTGCCGCTAGAGCATCAATAAACATTTGCGCTACTACGGCTTGTCTGATCGTACAATATTCTTCCAACACGTACCTATGCAAATAAATCCTTATATTTTTGTGAACAAAAATACAATTTTGTGTAATTTACTTGAATAAAACTGGTCGATCTTGCAACACTTCCATAGCGCATACAAGCAATGGTCCATTTGAAGACGACTCCACATCTTTGCAATGTAATTGGGCCCACCTATATAGTCTTTCCATAGCCAAGTGCTGAAAAAATATTATAATTTACAATTCATAACAAAAAAGAAATACAATAATTTAACTACCTATCTCATTCAACACATCGACCCATAAATTGTATATTAGTATAATAATACGCTAATATTATTAGTTATTATGTCTTAAGTGATACAGTATGGACTAAAAAAGGTGTTTTTTCAAATGTAGATTTATGATACTATTATATTTGCAAATTTCAGTTTACTTGATAACCAGATATCTGTTCCATCAAACTTAAAGCTGATGCTTGATGACCAGCTTGCATTAGCTTACGGCAATTATTGCTAATGATTTGGGTTCTATTTAAAGCAGTAAAAAACTCTTGAGTAATATCATTAGTACGGAGACAGTTTACTTCAGTTGGAGATAATTGAAAAGCTTTGGAATATGCGTCGACTAATACTTTCTGATAAGTCACATTCTTTCTGCAAGTTAAAAAATAAAATTTAACAATATTGGTTATTGAAATTTGGCCTAAGAGGATGTGATACCCCCTATTTATTAAGGAGGCATAAGCAATTATTTACAGAATCATAATTTAAAACTTAAACTGTAATGTGTAATTATTAGTTTAGTAATTACAACTATTTTTTGGTAGTTAAATTATTCCCCCGGACTATTATAACATCTTTGTCAGCGGTTTTAAATATGTTTTCTTATTTTATGTTATCTTTAACATCTAAACATAGTTATGCAGAATGTGTTATACTAAGTCCATGGTTGTTTTAGAGTAAAAAAACCTATTATGAAATCGAAAGATAACAACATTTTGGAGACTATTATCTGATTTTGAAAATAACATGAAAAAAAGTTATACTTATTTTAAAAAAAGTAAAAAAAATGTGATTTAACATAATTAAATATAACAAAGCAAGATTTATTATTTTTAATTTATTTTATAGTTAGATTTACCTTTCCATTTGTAGTTGCTTTGTTAGTTCAATCAAATGTTGAGTTTCTGCTTTAGTTTCTTTTAGCTGTGTTGACATACTAACAACAGCAGTATTCATTGAACTTACATTGTTGTGTAAAGAATTTACAGCATCTTTAACTTTTTCAAAAGCAGATAAGAAATCCTACATAAATAAAGTTAAACATCTAGTTAAACAATTAACATTTTTTTAAAAATATAAGTTGCATAATTTACATAAAATAAGCATTATAAATTACAAAGCAGGTATCGAAATTTGTTAGTATAATTTAATTAGTAATTTACTTCATTTAACGCAAGACTTCTTTTTTCTATTTTAGTTCTTAGACCTCTTCTACATTCCAATGTATTTTCTGTATAGAATTCTGATATTTCTTTTAATGCTTCCAAGGCATCCTAAAAAAAAAATAACCATAAATGTAGTTCAGTATAATAATATAATATAATATTTATTTGAGTATAAATTCCTTTCAGCTCAAGACATTACAATGAAATATTTAGTAACATAAAATACAGATGCAAATATATTACAAATACATAATTTAGATTTAAACAAAATCACAACTTCAGTACAGAAACCCAATTTACGATTAATTAAAATATATACGCCTTAGGATGGGTAAACTTTGACCCTGTGAGCCACATATACTGGTTTCCTCCTGGCATATCTATCGTGCTTTTGCAAGATTTACCAAGAGACCCTGGTAAACAGAAGAGCAAACTGATGATGATGAGGTACGGAACGCCAGGAAAGGTGATGAGCCTTCCCCTCTGGCCGTATGCCTCTCAAAATCGCTCGCACTCCGCCATGAGTATAAACGGTGATCGCGATCGCGGGGGCCCGTGCCCAATTGTTGTTGTTGTGGAACAGGATCGTCCTGTCCGGCGATGGATGATCTCCGCAAGGATGAGAGCCGAGGTACGGGGAACTATAGACCTCGCTCTCCCGGGAGTTTAAACACGAAGACGAGACCAAAACAGGAATGGCGCCCTAATCAAATGGTGCAAGGCCCACGGTTTCTTGTGCACGAGCACTTACTGAGTGGAAGGTGATTAGTCACCAGCCCCACTTGCCAAGACTCAGCTAGGTCGGCGATCGACAGGGCCGCGGAAGGCACGAGGCATCGCTGAGCCTCTCAAGGGGGGTCAATTATGGCGCTGGGCGCTGGCGGCAGGGCAACCGGTCGTGACTTCCCATTGGATAGGGGATCAGAATACTCTCAAGGAGCTCGCCTGCCTGTCGTAAAAGGTGACTAAGAGGTTGTCTTCATCTTGAGCCCAACATTCCCCAGCCCGCAATTAGCGCTCAGCGCTACTAGTCGGTCCGTGGTCGTAGGCGATCCCTCCGAGGTGAACCACAAAAGCCAGGGAACACCTATATTCGTTATGGTAGATAGTAGATAAGAAAATTTTAATTTATACCTAATTAAAAAAATTATGTAGTATTATCAAATTTAGAAATTTTAGTCATCTAACATGTTTTATTTACAAATAATACTTCATGTTTATATAAAAATATCATTTAATTATAGAGAGTTTTTGAGTTAGCTCGATAATTATGTAGTAGATAGAAGTTGATAGAGTACCTTTTCTTTTTCTAAATGAGTCTCTAATACACTATTCACTCTTTTCGTAATAGCATCTTTGTCAGTTGTCATTTTTGAAAAATACAAGTAAACGTGTTGTCACTATAAAAAAATATCACAAGTAAAAATATATTACTATTATTATTTTCTAAAATAATTACTACAAAGTATTTTCTTAAAAAGATTAAAAAACGTTTCACAACTATTTGACTGATCACAAAATAATTATCATTGACAATATTATTATTATTGTTGTGGCCTTTCGGTATTGATAAGAAATTGCTTATATTTATTGTTAACTGATAAGGTAACCTTGATATTGATAATAATCTATCTTGATAATCGGCGCTTGAAATCTATAAAAACTAAAAGGAAATAGGTATTTTTTTATAGGAGTAGTTGTGATCTATTTAAGAAGAAGAAGTTTAACATAACTTAACATAGGTAACATTACATACCTTCGATTAATAAAACTCTCCAGGCGTTCCAGACGATGTGATTGCGTATAATAACCTCTGCCCCTTGGTATATCACAATTAAAACCTATAAAACAACTTAAACATACCAACACTCAACCACTTAGCAAATTCTCTCTACTCAAACTTCCATTTAAATCTAAGTTTTTATCCTAATTCCCTAATAAAGCAACTCTCTTCGACACCCATTCTCGATAATGCTCCCAGAACACTAAAAAGAAAATAGCCCAGACAATAACTTGTACACAGGAAAACAAAATTAGTTTATATTTTTTGCGTGAAAAAAGAGCTTGGGTAAACTTGGGGTTAATTTGGGATAACTTGGTGTTAACTTTCGGTTATATTAGTGTAAAATTTTGTTAAACTACGGTAAAATTTGGTCGAGAACAACTCATTCTTTTAACCGTACAATAAATAAAGAAATCGAAATACTGTTTTTTATATTAATGTAATTTAACTTAAAACTTTGCTGTGTTAATATATGATTTAAAAATGTTAGCTTAAGGCTAGGTTTTATTGAAAAATTGCCTACACAATGCTTACTAGGTAGAGGTAAAAAAGTACATAGGCCCCTTAACATTTCATCCGAGATTTATATAATTTTGTTTATAACATGTAGAAAAAAACCCTGACCAAAACTTGATTAGTAATAAAATAATAAAATATTAAGAAATATTCTTCGCCAAAAAATATAACTCACTTTTCAGCAGCAGTGCACACAGCCATTTCGACAGTAGTGGTAACATCAACAGTCTTTAAAATAAAAAAGTAGATGCTACGGCAGTAGTTTTGTCGAGTAATAGTCACTCTGCCTTTATGAAAGGGCGCGTATACGTTTTTTCATTAAAACACAAATGTATCGTTTGTGTGTACGAACAATTATAAACAGTTAAACAAATATTTTAAAATCGATTTTTCCAAAAAAATCCATCAATCGATAGATCGCCTTTTTCCACCGAATGGCATCTGAAATATCGATATTATTATAATAGAAACACAAGACAACATCTATGACGCATATAATTTCCATTGACTTGCACCGTTCTCATACTTTTCAGTGTACCAAACAAATAATTTGTTAACAAAATGTCTTCATAGGCTGTCGGCCGAATGAAAAAAAATATGCAATCAATAGTATGAAAATTAACTACATAAAAGTTGATAGAAAAAACATTGGTTAACATTATTGTCAGTATAACAGTCAGATAGCTTAACTGATTATAAACTTGCAAAAAAAAAAATTGAATAAAAAACATTTTAAATTTAAGTTATGCCATTTAGAACAATATAAAATAAAGTTCCTGGAACGAAACGTTTGTATCGTTCCAAAAGGCAACTTAACTTGAAAATGTTTTTATTATTATTAATATTTTTTTTTATAAGTTCAAAATCAGTAAAGCTATCTGATAACCATACTGTCAATAATTTTAGTCAACGCCTGCTGAAGTTATACAAATAGTGTTTTGGCTTGAAACCGTTTTTAGTCCCTGATTTTAGTAGTACTTAATATTATTGACATTGACATGATCTATAACTTCGCCTTAGTAACATTATTGGAAAAAAAAAATATTTTAATCACTAGATAAACTCTTAATCTTTAATTTTGGTCATACCTAAATTTGTGGCTAAAACCACACGTTTCCTAGAATTTTGCGTCTCCCGAAAAATATTTTACGTGCCTAAAAGTGTCATGACGCCCTCTTAAAATCGCGGACCATGCAAGAATAATAGCAATTGGCTTTCTTATTTTATAGGCTTCATAAGGACTTCAAAAAAGCTTACTTGCTCACAACAACCTGTTAATAATGGAGGAACTAGTTTCATAGATATTGTCCCTTGTACGTTGCCCAACGTCTTAACCCACTTGCTGTGTTTCCAAAACAGTACATTGAAATTGGATTTTCTGAGTTATAAAATTAAAAAAAAAAGAAAAGTAATACTTGACGAAGCATACATAAAAGTAGTTTAATCACATTATCTTACTATCGTATTAAAAACAAAAAGTACAATTAATTTTTTTTCTAACCAATAATAATAATAATAAATGAATTATTGCACATTACAAGCCGATTTCATGTTATACGTATTATGGCTAATAATAACTATAATTATTTTTACAATATAATGTTATAGTACATAATAAATACGTTTAAATATATTTATATATAATAATAATAAAGTTAATTTTATTAATTATTACATTAAAAACAACTCATTCCGATTACCCTACACGTTGATTGTCTAGCTAATAATATTATATTCGATTAAAACATATATAAATTGTATTATTATTATATATATATATTATTGTATCGTCATAAAAGTGGTGTATTTAAATAAGTTATACATATATTTATTAATTATTTTTTCTTTTGGTTAAAAAAGTATTTAGTTTAAGTTAGAAAAATAGGTACATATTACGAAATGAATCAAAAAGGATTAGAAGAATTTGTTCAAAAATAGGTTTATAAAGCGTTTTCCCAGTGTTTTCATTTAAGGTACTAATATAAAAAAAAGTGATTAATTTTTTTAGCAATAGGTATCACAAAAGTCAAAGACAAAGCATAACCCTGTACTTATACTTAACGGTTAATATAGGCGTCTGGGCGTCGTTATTTGGAATATGATTAGTGGTATAATTTGTTTTTTTTTTTTTTAATTTAGGACAGAGCAGGTAAAGGAAAGATAAAAGTTATAACGATAATAATGTTTACAGGTTTTTTTTGTACACTAACAAGATGTTTAAATAAATCTATAAAAACGCGAGTGACATAATTTTGTTGTAATTAAACAGGTGAGATGTTATGTAGTTGTTTGTCGATTTCACACGAATAAGTGGTATGGTTGCGTTTCAAGAAGTGATAGAGCTGTTTGAATGTGGGCCGGTGGTTTTGATCGCGTTTCCAGCATTCACACATGAGCTCGTATATCTCTGTTGGGCACAAGTTGGGCTTGGGCAGAAGTACCTGAAACCAAGAACGTCGTTTATATGTGTTTTATGATTAAACGTAGATATTTAGTATACACGCCAAATAGCATCGCTCATTAGTAATAATTATAGTATACAGAGGATAAAATTAGTTATATTGTATTTTTAAAAATCGACAACAATTAAATCATTCCTCATAGATTATAGGCGTATTTTTTGGGGAGCTTAATTAGCACCCCTAATTTGAAGCGGAGCGATTAACTTTTTAATATTTCAAATAATGCATTCGCAGTTTTTTTAAAAAAAAAAGTCATAAAAATAACGAGTTCTTACTTGCAACTCGCCTCCGTAATACATTTGCTCGGCGTTGTGTATTACTTGTTCGTTGGTGAGGTGCGGAAACGGCTTGTCTCGAGCCATACTCAGCAACTCCCACATTGTTACCGCGAAGGACCATACCGTGCTGGGACAAGTATATCGATCCTATTGAATAGAGAAAAAAAAAACAAATCAACAAAATTTTAAACTTGCTTCGGACGAGACGGGTGTTGATCGGGGACCAAAGTCTTACCAGCAGTATGCTTTCCCACGGGAGCCATCGAATCGGTGCGGGAGGTCGGTTTCCAATCTCGCTGTAGTCCTTCTTGTACGCCGGATTGCACACTGCTATATCGGCTACTTTAATTGAATAGCCCCTCGAAACCAGACAGTTCCTATACGACACAGACGCATCAAACCGCGGTTAGATAACATAAAAGCTAAATTTTCAAGATGAATCCCGTTTTACCTGGCCGCTAAATCTTTGTGAACAACGTTTTTTGACTCGAGGTACTTCATGGCCGACGCTATTTGAGTAGCCATAAACATCAATGTCGTGTATCTGTATATAATACAATATAATTGTTAAGTTTACACTTATGCAGAATAGTCATCGATGACAGTTATTTTTTAGGAAAACTATTACTATGATTAAAATAAAATGTACGAAATTTTAATAATTATTTCCTGAATGTAAATACAGTGATAATACTGCGCAACCCGTTCAGTATATCTTAAGCCGGGTGGTCATGTAAACTAAATGGTCGCCACGCCGGTCTAAAGATTTTAAGCAATTTGAAGAAAATAAACCATGGACACGACAGTGTAGCAAAATTGCATAACCAAGGCGCCGTGTTTGTCATTTTTATTAATATTTTTTTAGTTTTCACTTGGAGATTAAGCGGAATATGTTGTTAATAGGTTTTGAACCGGATTATTACTCACGTTAGGGTCGAATGTGTTCTTAATACGATGACCAGATCACCCAGCTCGGCGGGATATTCGGTGATGAGCCACGGAGGCGACTCGTTAGCACACACGCCAAACACGCGTACTAGGTTGGGATCGAGAAGACTACACAAGAATTTCACTTCTCTAGTGGATCCAGCAGGGCATGTCTTAGCCACCACCCTCCCATTTTCCGTTATGCTGATATCCGTGGTCTCGCAGATGGCCACGTCGCCTAGATGAGAACCGCCCAGTTTGCTGACCACGTTCAAGCAATACCGAGGGATTTGCACAATGTCTGCTTCACGGCACTTATAAGCCTGGCCCATGCTCGGACTGATGTTCCACGACACGGGTGGTGGAGCCATCTACCAAACAAGTTAAGATACGTGGATATAGTATATTATGCAGTTTAGTTGAAATAAATGCATTTTAAAAACCTATTCCTATATTAGATTAATATTCAAATGTCTAGTCTAACAACTTGCAAAAAACAAAAGATTCTCCTCAAGACCATAATTAAGTAGTGGTTTTATTGCACGTTATGTTCCTGATCATAAACTATTCATGTATCATTGTACACAAAGTATTACAGAAAGTGTCCGTCACAAGGTGTTGGTTGAAATTTCTAAAGAATATTTTTTGTGGTGTTGATATATTATGTTTGTTTATTATTTTATTTTGGCGTCTTTAGATTGTTTATGAGAAATACGCACTTATCGTTTATGCGTTTAGTAGCTGTCGATCAATGTTTTGCTTCTACGACAGTCACTGGCGTTAGCTTATCTTCCTACGCTTGGATAAAGTCCCTAGTGTGATGTTTATTATTCGATTATAGTCACGCATTAGGTCAAATTTAATTTATATTCTCTAAAGCTAGTGCGGAAGATTATGGCTTAGGCCTTAGATTGAATACTTACTCGGTGTTTTTCACGGGGAGCGGTGTGATAGCGTTTTCTCGACGGTACGTCTGAGCACTGCAATAGTTGTTTTGATCTTGTCGGACTATCCGTGATTGCCACAGGCAAAGCGTTTTGGGTTTGCAGACTCCTGTAATGCAATGATGTAACGCTATCTCTGGTGGAGTATTCGGTTGGTCTAACATCTATTTCCAGACTGCTCAACGATCCCCGTTCCGAGTCACTGCGTCCGAATTCCTTAACGGACATGGCGCACTTTGCGTCTGTAACTAAAATATTTAAATTAATCACGGATTCAGTATAAATGAAAATCATGTGTGCAAAAGGCTCTTTTGCTCGAATTATGTTCATTGTCTCGATTTTGAGCTCAAGTATACATCATACATGAGAATACTACTGAATTAGATTCACTGTCATTCAATTCTGTTTAAAGCCATTCAATAGTACTATTTGGAAACTAATTTTACCTACATTCTTAAACTACATCAGACTATAATTTTACATCTATAACTAATTCATTTTTAACCATGTACCCATGGAATTATTGTAAAATAAAAATGTGTGTACAAACAATTCCACGAACTTGCATCGTCCATTGTATTATATGCCTTAGCCAAAAAATTAAAATTTACTATAATAATTGTTTTGTTTACAATATTTATATTTTGCTAAAGTATAATAAGAGAAATATACTCAAGTGAGACATATTTCATTATCGTAATAAATTAAATAGTTTATTTAAAAAAAATAATAATTTGTACTTAAGTCTTTTATTAGAATAAAATATTTAAATTATATAGTATTCTTATATATAAATATTCTTTATTACGTAGGGCATTCAACAAGTAAGTTGCATTGGGTTATAATTCAAAAGTACAAACATTTTTTAAAAACCAATCAGTTTATTGAAAAGTACTCATTTTAAACTATTTTTCGACATAATCACTAAATAAGTTTCTAAATTTTTCATATCCCTGAACGAGTTTGAAAATGCCTTGTTCGAAAAACTCCCGTCCAGTTTGTGAACACCAGTTGCTAGTGGCGTCTTTTACTTCTTCATCTGAGTGGTATCGATCTTTCGCTAGCTCATTTTTTTGGGGTTCCAAACACATGAAAATCACAGAGCGATAAATTTGGACTATAGGTCTAAATCAGGACTCTGAATAAACAACGTCTTGATTATCAAAAAAGAGCGTCAGCATCACTTTTCCAGCAGATGCAACGACTTTGGCATTTTTTTTTTGCGTGGGAAAGTTTTGTGTCTCCACTCAATCGGAGTTTAATTGGATTCTGGTTGAAAATGATGACCCACGTCTCATCACCAATCATAATCAACTTTCTTGCTATAAAATTCACACACCTCTCTATGAATTTGTACTGGCTTACAATTTTTTAACCATAAAGATTTGATAACTGCTCGAATTTTAATTTTGGACGACGTAACTGTAGTAGTAGCCATGATGATTAACTAATAACTGATAAGATTTTCAACCAAGTTCAATTTCACTATCAATACTTTGGTAGAACCACTCAAACAGTGTTGCCACCAAATGTCATAAAAAAATATCCACTTGGGAAAAATATATGGTACAATGCAACTTACTTTTTGATTGCCCTAAGTAAATCTAAAAGGAGTAAAAATGCCCGCGAGTATTAAAATTAGAAGAAATATTGTTGGCCGAGCGCTCTGAAAACTGAGCGACCTTCTGTCTTAATATTGCGTTATTGTCTTTGTTCAATTTAATCATAGAGTAGAAATTAAGATAGAGGCATTTTCGTATATCTAGTAATCGAGGTCGTTTACTGAATTAGTGAAATTTGTCCAACCATAATTCGCATAGCTAGATACCAGAACTCCCTGCATACTTTCAAGTCTATAAATTCGACGAAAAACTGTGGTGATACATATATGGTTAAAAAAATGTTTTATTTTTAACCAAAGAATAGCAATTCATATACATTTTAATACATTATTGTCCTAATTATTGTTAATTAATATTTAAGTATGCAATAATTCTTGGTATACGATTGAGATAATAAAAATTAATTTAATTGAAACTTCCATGTTATATCTCTCACTCTGTTTTATTTATATGGAATTAAAACTACCCAGTAGCAGTGCACGTCGGCGCGGCAATACGATATACGTTTGTTATTTTTGTATAAATTATGATATCTGAAATGCTACAGAAAAATATGATGTAGACAGATATTCGCTTCTTGGTCAATATTTAAGCTCTTTCTATTTAAGTCTTTAATCCGCTTTAATAATATTTCTTTCTTTTTTTTTTTATGAAAAAGCTCGCGAAAAAGGATTTTCAGTTACTAATCGTATTTTCATCATATATTCACTCCCGGGGATCTTTTTCAAAACCAACATTGTCGTTCCAATTTTAGTTTAGCCGAGAGACAATATCTACAGTATTAACATAAAATATACGATGCACCATTATTAAGAAGTTTGTTTTAACTAGTATTAACGTCTTACTGGCTCAAATGAAATTTTTTTTTTACATTGTTTCATTTTTGCTCCGAATCACTTACCATATATTATATATTTTTTAAAAACTATTTCTTATATAATGGTCAATGTAGATAATATCCTTTGCTAACCTTTGCTACTGCGGATGGTTTCGTAATCCTTTCTGGCCAAAAGGGGTGTCTCGTAGATGACGTTGTGCTGCGATTTGTCATAAACGTCCGACGCAAAACCGTCTATTCGCATTTGCTCGCAAACGGGCAACGGGTTCTCGGTAATGTGCCGGCTGATGTTGTTGTTGTTGATGATGTTGGCATTGGCGGTGGTGTTGTGCGGTGACAGGTTCATGAATATGTCTTTCATGTTGATGGCAACGCCGAAAGGTTTCTTGAATATCGAAGAGCTGATGGTCTGGTGTTTTTTGCGACGGCTCAACACCAACACGATGGCGCATATGCCCAACAGGATCAGTGTGGCGGCCGTCAGCACGCCGATCAGCACTTCCACGAGCCCGCTGTCTTTGCCGTCTTTCTCCTTGTGCGTGGCTGCAACAAACGCGGATTGACAATACAATATTATATGTTATGTAAGGAACAAAAAAATAAATAAAAATTCTTCAAAGAAAACAAATATCATCGTCTGGCCGTCCCGCGGGGTTTGTCGTTAATAAATGATGCCTGAGGCAAATTGAAAACAAAATGCGCGTTTGCCGAAAGTGCCGAGGACCATGAATATTAAAACACTTACTGGCGTCGGGCGATTCCCAAGGTGGGTCCACCGCTCCTCCTACCAGCTGCTCATCCTCGAATTGTGCGTCAGCGTCCACCGTGCAGTTTTCAGGCAATGGCTCTGCAAAATGAAACATGCAGTATTCAGTCCGGCGAAACATATGTACATCCACCCGATGTGCTCCCCCGGAGTGTTAAAGTAAACGGAAATCGCGTTACTACACTATGCACATATTGGATTATTCAGACCGCTAGGGAAATACCTGTGTGTCGCGTCCAAAATATTACATAACCCGATTACCCGGATCTCGTTTCGAGCTTGAATTTATTATTTAATTATGAGCGCGACCTGCCCGTAAATGGCATATTTTTACAGTTCAACATGTCATGTGTTAAAGCCGCCGCCGGACGTCATTTGATTTTCGTCTACAGTTCAATATAGTTTTAATAATCTACGTCCAACGAGTAAAAGGAAATCCGCCCATCACGTTTCGAAAGTGTACCGGTAAAATTATTATTAAAATACCCATGGCAATTTCAGAGTTAGTATTCAACTGTTTACGATAAAATCGAATTCAGTGTTTTGTACAAATTCTAGTTACTAAAATAAATACCTTCTTAATTTGGCAAAATGTAATTATAATTATTATAGTATAGTATATATTTTGTCTGTAGCAGTATATTGCTCGAAAATAGCTATGTTTGAAAATATAATTAAATTTACTAATCGCTTAATTATTTAAAAGGATTTAGTCCGAGAAGTTGAGCATCACGACAATTCGATGATTTATTATTATTATTGTTTTATTTTTATGGTGGTAATCGATTTTCTGTTGCATACACGTGTATAATAAATTATACTGTTACAGTCAGATCTGTTTCGCGGTATTTCACATGTCATAAAATTGCACACATTCCGTGCAAGCAACTGTGGGGTGGCAGATCGTTGGGGTGGGTGGAGGGAGTCGGACGAGGACAAAGTAGATACGGGAGGGAGGGGTGTGTGGCATTTAAATAAAACCGAGTCCGTTGTGCCGGAAATAAATAGCTTCATAAGACGAGTTTCTACTTTTGCATAATCCCCATCTCATAAATAACCCGCTTTAAAGAAAAGAGGCACTCGGTCATAACTTGTATATGTATGTGTGTGTGTATGTAAAGGTAAACGACGGTGAGCGGGCGAATAAACGGTTCGGATTTCTCGGGAGGTATGTATAGTAGCGTTGGCGGAGAGGTATAGCAAAGAAGACGCTTCGCCGAGGTAAAAAAAACTAAAACTGAAGAAACCGGAGTTTCGAGTAGGGATACACCTAGTTGTTAGAAAAACCCCCATTAACAGGAATCGGTACAAAGGCGGTGCAAGTGACAGTAGACGAGCGTCTAGTCAATCCTCGACTTAAAAAAGTTGGTCTAACGCGAAACTGAGGACACGAAAACACGACTTTTTGAAGGTATCCACTCGAAAGTTAAAACTGACAACTAAATTAATTAACACCGGAGACGTTTTTGACCTACAGTACGCTGTTCCTAGTAAATCCGTTTAATCCATAGTCTCAGAATCATATATTTATTATCTATGAGCATAATAAAGAACCACTAATAAGTGCAAAAGTCGATTTGATCAGTTAACTTAACTGTATTGTCAAAATATTGGTCGGACAAGTCCCTATTTTTTTTTACAGTGCTGCCACATGAGATAAAATACATTTTTATACGGTATTTGATACATAATTATGGTGATACTACTTGTGTTATCTTTTAATATTAGTTACCACCATGATTTAAGATAATATTATTTTACGTACATTTTTTTTATGTCAATGGTCAAACTCCAAAAAAAGGAGGTACTTGTCAAACTGCAGTTATAAACCAACATTTTGTAGTAAATTTAGCAGTGGAGGAATTTATATTATTTTCATTTAACTATTCCCATGAAGTGTCGTCTTCGGTGGGCGGTGCTTAACTCATGTCTTATATTACTCATTTCACTATATTATATAAATTGTATAAAACTAATAAAAAAAAAATTACATCGCACTGCTACATTATTACAATATTTTTTGCTTTTTTCCAGTTTGTATATGTGTGTGTGTCTAATGTGTATTTATATTTATATATACATAAGTCACTACCCAGAGCTCAGACTTAATATAAGGATGCAAAATATATCATATTAGGTTTTAAGTGTGAGTTGTGTGCAAACAGAATAGCTAATACTATATTGTACTCAAATAGAATCGCTCGTCTTTGTTGCGAAGGGAAAGCTACCGACGAATAAACGCTTGTATGCTTATATTAGTATGTATATAGTTTGATAACAGATTTGAAAATGGCGTGATCTTACTTATCTCTATCCTAAAGTTATTTAACATAATTATATGTCCCTATTAAAAAAACTTTTACAGCACACACGGTGCTCGTCGTAATCGAACCGTTTGATTTGTATTTGAAAATTAAAAATGGTTAAGCCCGAGGCTCACTGTGCAGCCATACCGTTGAATAAAGACATACCGCGGCACGTTTGTTGTCGGAATTTAATTAGAAATCGAATTACGTGAAATAAGCCAATAAAGCTGCACGATTTGCGCAAATCCTTTTAAATTACTGGGATTCGTAGTGGCTTTTGATCTGCGGTAATCGTTTGTTTTTCTCACCTGAGTCGAATTTCACTTCGCTAATCATAATCCACTTGTTGGAAAAAAACAGCTGGATTTTCACGAACTTGCCCACGTGATTGTGTAGCTGTATGTCAACGTCTCTGGCGTTTTCGAGCACCGTGTCCGGCATATAGGTGTACCAGACCGATCGGCCGTGAAAGTGTTGACCGCCGATACTGAACTGTACTCGCGCCTTGGAGAACACCTACAAACACAAGAGTCGAATGAGTACAACTATCAATCACATGTATTGTACTTGAACTACAGTTCGTTTCTTAATACTATGGTCATGCTATGTTAGTAAACCTGGTTATATCTTATTCTAGAGATCTATGACAAATAAGGGAGATTTCCAATAATCCGTAAGCGACCAATGTTTGCCATATTTTTAATTTTTAATCGGGTTAGTCTTCCCTGTATATTCAGTGTACTCTAGCGGATACAATGTGGTGTTTGAAAACTAAAGCTCATTGTTTATTTTATTATATTTTCTTTTTATTAGTTTGTTTTTATTATATTTTTTAAAAATGTCTTTAGGGATTACATAGTACAGTGCTTTTGTTCAGCTGCTTAATATTATATTCTTTTTGTTTACGGTTATACAAATATGTATTAGGGCTGAGTACTTTTCCCATTAGAGCTCGCGAATATAATTTTGTTGATTATACTTACTTCGTATATTTATAAAAAAAATCAACATTAGATTTTTTTTTTGTATTTTGTTATGTTGTAATTGTAGACCATGTAATTGTAGTTACCATTAAATTATAACAGCTATAGGAGAAATTATGCAATTTATTATTATTTAATAGTATAATGTTATATCTATATCTTAGACTTTAAAAAGTAGCATGTTCAAGTGACTGTTAGCAGACGGGCATTATAGTTTTTAATTTTTCATACTAACTATGTTTAAAGTTACTATTAAGATAGTTATTAAGTTTTTAATACTTGCATTTAGGAAAGGTGAGTAAATGGACTTTTGTCATCCTACTACAGACATAAATAATTTTTATCGATATAGGAATCATATTTTAAAGTTAATTATTTGAATTGGTCAACATCATAAAATATTCCTATAAGGTTATAAATATCAAACGTTTTAATATACACGAGTTGTAAGCTTGTGTGGCTGGTGGGGATTGCTCGAACAAGCACAAACGTGGAAAACGGTTTTTACCGTGTTACCCGTAACTCATACACACACTGTAATATTATGTCATCGTTCATGGCCGTCACGGTGTAGCTGTTTGTTGTTATTATATTATTTCTAGAGCAAATGAAACACACGATTCATAAATCTGTCACTGGCATTACGCGGTCAGGCCTTAAAAGGTCTTACCTACCACGAGACTATAAATTTTTGTCAAAACCAAAGAGCGAAACCGGCCGTTTAATGGAGTCTCGCGGACCCTATTTTCTCCTCCCGCCACTATTATTATATACTCGCATACCCAGGCTTCAAAAGTAATTGATAAACATTTTTCATAAAAAAAAAACACATATAATATTTTGTTATTAACAAACTATTTCGAAAAATTTAAAACCTCGCGGTGATGTATGCAAAAAGGGCGAACGAAACCAAACGATAAATGTTAGTATTTTTTTTATATTTAATTATTTAGAAATTGATGCGTAGGAAAAATATAAATAATAACGATTATAAATATTGTGGTTTGGATACAAAAATTATTCATAATTTAAAATTGTATTTATACATATTTCATAGTGTTGACGTTGCGAGACGAGGTCGAAAACAGTATAGCAGTTAACTGACATAACATTGTGTCGTGTCCGCGAGCAACCGTGAAAATCTGTAATAAATATTATAACATCGTACCGACATAGCCTGCATCTGAATGTTAAAGAAGTTGTTATATAGTTGTGTACACATGTAAGCACGAGTTTCAAGAGTTTACACCCTAAACACACACACACACACACACACACATACGCATATTATTCTGTAGAGGACAAAAATGTGTGTATAGCATGTGTACTTCAACAGCGCTTGAAACTTATGATTTTTATATATTTACAAGAGATCATTAAGCCATTCTCGGCGAGTTTTCAACATTTCCAAGAGTCGTTGGTGCAGAAAGATTCTTTTTTTTTTCGTGTCAAAAAATGAAATAATTTGGACGAGCGCTTTGACTTGTGAAATAAAAACAAGGACGGTCCGCTTTAAATTGTGGAAACAGAACGATATACGGTGGAAACTCTATATTATTATGTACAATTTCTATAACAACTTGAGAGCAAATCATCAGGCACGCTTTGACGAACTAATGAAAAATCTCACCTGAACGTTTTTGCTGAAAAAATTGTTGGTGAATATGTGCACTGCCGAAAAATTCCTCACTTCATCGAATTCGAATATCAGTTCTATGAAACCTTTCGTGAACGATTCTTTGCGCCAACCAATCCATCCGTTACCTGTACAAAAATAATATACAATTGTATCAAACCCATGCACCAGTAATATAATATATGTAAATATTTGAAAAATCTTAGGTAAGGACTTCGATTCTTAAAATCGGAAATATATATTTTTTTCATCGTTTTATCGCCTATTGGGCACGCTATTTTAATCATTAAGGCTTAGTGGTAAGCGTTAATATATAAGTAGTCTGTATTTTTATATAATGACCACAACTTGAGATTCTTTTGTAAAAAATTAACAAGATGATTAAAAATCAAAACTTAAAATGCACGAAAAAAAGATTTTTAAAAATCAAATTTAGATTTTTTGTACACTATCTTTTTTATTGAATTATAAAAAAATATATATTCCCCAATTTCCAAACCTTATGGCTTATAAACTATATAGGCTATTAATTATAATTGTAATAATTATTAATATTTTGCTGTCATTTCAAAATTAAGTGTTTTTAATATTTTCCCTAGCCACAGAAAGAATGGCTGTAGATTTTACTAATCTTTGGAGTAGAAATTATATAACTATTTACATTTTCTGGAAACTTTACTATTAAATTGTTCAAGAGTTTTGATTAAATTTATAAACTATTAGGGTTCAATGGTATTATAGAACGTTTGATAAAAGGGCTGTTTGTATAAAATAATATTAAGGCTAAAGGATGTCGTATACAAGTTTCGAACGTACGCAATAATAATATGCTTTGGAATAATATCAGGAAACACAACCCCAGTCAAAGTGCTAATAAAATTAAAAAGTTTATTGTACTTAATAGTATGTATTGTGTATATATATTTATATATACGCGTACATACATTTTATTGCAAAACTTTTACGCCACGCTAATCTAATTTTAAATCTGTATCAAACGTGAGTTATACACAGACGATAAACATTTAAACAAATCCCGTTCCGCTTTGAACTATATTTTAACTTAAATTATGGATTTAATTATTAGAATATTATTACTATTGTAAATTACACGGGATTAACAAAATCAAAAACAGAACTTTTCCTAACAACTGCAGTTATGCATTAATATTTGTTTGTTTGAATTACTTTGTTCGTTTTTAACGTTACCCGCTGCCCCATTTTTTGTACGCCCTGCCGTCACTTTCCGTAACAAATACCAAGTTAAAACAATATTAATCAATACAAATTACACTCAATAGTAATAATCGTAAAATAATCGTAAATGGGGCGACAGTATATATATATATACAGTGTACAAGGGTTAAAGTTAAATAACTCTTAAAAAACGAGAAACGAGGGAGGTCCGCTCGTAGTCATTACCCGTTCTTTCATTAGTATATATAGTTTTTAAAAAATCATATTTCACGTTGGCTCGGAGAGTCATAATATTCATAATATAATTCTATAGTATATACAAAATATATGATATCATGTACGTTATGCACATTCACCTCAGTTCCATAATAATGAACCTCCCCACCTCCCTGCCGCTTAACGTTTTCGTTCTGCCCTTTTACCTCCGCGCCTTCCCTTAACCGTGGTAAAATATGTAAATACACATATAGTATGTAAGGCTTTCATTTTCCGAAGTTACGCACGTTTATTTGTTATTGTTATTGCCGGGGATTTTGAATTATTTATTTATATACGCCAAGCCCGTTCGTACTAAGTTTGCCGGGGGATTATTAAAACGTCCATAGGTATCATTAGCTTTTACAAACGTCACATTTCCCGCGCACAAAACGGCCGCTTACTGCCAAAGTTTTTTACGGGAAAAATGAAATAAAATAATTGAATGAGACGACTTCTTGGACCACGAGAATTTTCTAGTAATAATAATAATACTATAATATTTTAATACGGCATATTCGAGTCTTCGCAATATCGCATATCAGAATCGGTGGCCCAATTTTATCAAATGCATATATCCATTAAAATCTAAAGAAAAGAAAAAAACCCAAGGGCCTTTTCTTTAAAACTTTCAATGCTATTGTAATCAACTAATCGAGCTAGGAAAATTATTTTTGTATATTATTTTCGTTAAGTTTAAATAAAGTTTATTAACTAAGTAACTTAGTTACTCGATCAGATCATAATGTTTTTTCTATTCGTTCGAGATGTTTAAAACTAAATTTTCTCAAAAAACGTTATCAAGTTAGACTAAATAACGAATTTCAGAGCAATCGAATCCGGACAATGGAATTTTGAAAGCACTAGTGTTAGGGTAGAACCGTATAACAGTGTTTTACATATAACGTGTATATTTTTAGTCATTAAAAATGTTTTTATTTTAAAAAGGAATTTTTTTAATTTCTAATATTATTACTATTGAGTTTACATATCGGTTTTGTTGTTAATTACCTTTGCCATAACCAATATCCATTTTGTAGTTATCCACTCCGTATATGCCATCGACGAGGCGTCCAAGTCCTCCTTGGTATTTGCCGTCACGTTTTTCGCCGTCATAAGACGAATCCCCTCCATCAGTATTATCGCCGGAAGAACTGTCTATTGGTATTGTGTAGCTGATTATACCATCTGAAATGAAATAATACAATCTAGGTTTTAAAATTTTTGCAAAATAACTAGTCAAGTGAATATTATGTATAATGTAGGAACTTTATTATTGGTTCCAGTTACAATTATTTTACAATAAATACTTTTGATTAATGCGCTATATTATAGTTTAATATGAGTTAATTATTGAAATGCTTGAATTATAGAGATTATACGGTGCACAAATTAAGGCAACGTAAGCGTATTTATCAACTTTCTTATTTCTCATAATAATTACGGCGCTCAGGTGCATCTCAAATGCTTAAAAGACTAATACAAGACATTTGCAGTGATGAATATCACTTGATTATTTAATATTATGATTGAACGGATAGGTCAGGTTAGGAACTGAGAAAGTCATTGGTGTAAGAATAACATTTATAACATATAACACAGATTAGTGGAAACTTAAATAAATGTCTATTATGAAAGCAATTAGTTTTACGTTGGAATTAGCTTATCCCATATTATTTCGTTATCATCTGTATTAAATATTACTGTATACATATAACAACAATATAAGGCTTATATAAGCTTTTATCTCAATCACTAACGCAATTAAAGAGACAATAATTTGCGAAGTTATCTTTAACAAAGAAAATTATCGTATCGGATACCTATAAAAATAAATTGTTCGTCTTAATAATAAAATAACAATGATATTTTATACGAAGGAAATAATATCTTTACCTTTAAACATTAAGGAAATATTAGTGTTTTAATTAATTCGAAAATGAAAGGCACAAGTTAATCGAAAATTAAATGATTTGATAAGACGATATATTTTATTGCAGCCTTTGATTTTCATTTATAAAGGTTAGTCCGTCTTAAATTAGTACATTTATCTTACTATTTTTAGAGCTCGGTCTCGTTTATTTTGGAAAGGAGCTTCAAGGTATTTCATATAATATTTAACACAATTAAGTAATTTAATTATTTTTAACTGCTATACTACTAGACAATATCTTTCATATTTGCAGCAAAATAAGAAAATATCTCCGAGAGCGTCGATACGGCGAATTCGTGCCGTCTACATATTTCAATACTCAGAATCTTTAATTAACGTTTTGGATAGAATTTTTGATATTTTTTGAGGTAGAAAAAGCATATGAACGAATGCGTTTTATTCATCTAACATCAAAGACACGTCATGTGAACAAAATATGGTTCAGTCAAGTATAGTAAAAAAAAATAATAATAGAACAAATAAATAAATAAATATATATATTTAATTTAAAAAGGTATGATATCGATGGTATTTTTGTTGGAAACAGGCTGCAAAAGGAAACCGATGAACATTTGCGCCGTGCTTGACGGTCACTGCACAGAACCTGTCAGTTGTATAAAAGTATATGTTTTAATCGTAACTGTTGCAACGGTCAGACAGGGTTACCGTCTACGTCAGGTCACGTTTACGGTGTTTTTAAAATGATTATTATGGTTGTTTTATTATTATTATATATATATTTTTTTTTACTGGAAATATCCAATTATACGCAGAACGTTTGTGTCCGAAATCATCCACTCACAATGTTTTTCCCCCTCGTCTCTCGACTTAATATCGACACTAAATGTAATTCAATGAAATATGGTCCTTTGACCCAGTTTAAGTCGGTGTTGCCTAGTTACCTCTGTCATAGAGGCTCTGTGGAGACGGACTTGAGATTCCGAAGGGTTTTACTAGTTATTTTGTGTGGTTTGCGAACTGCGTAGGAGGGCATAGCTATTCTAGAGCTGTGTATAAATGCCTGTGTACTTAGTGCTGTGAGACCAACCTGACACCAATAATAATCTGCGTTCTCACTTTGTTGGCATTTTTACTAAAATTGAATTAAATACCATACGTGGTAATTTTCACTCCATTAAACATCATTCAACATTATATTAAATTGATTAAATTTAGCCAAACTGCCAAACACTTCTACAGTTTTTTTAATGAAAGTTGGAACTCACCACTTCACTTTGTAGTATTTACTGATTGTAACCAAAGTATAATACAAATCTGAACGTCAGTTAGCGCGATTTTATTTTCGTCTCGTTCAATGAAGATAAGTTTGAACTTTGCGTTTATTTATATATTGTTATTATTATATATACATTACGGTTGATTGAAAGGCAAATGGATTCGAAGAATTTGTGAAAGTACTTAAAAAATTAAAAGTTACAGGAAAATAATTATAATAATGCTTAACTTTTTCGGTGAATTAAAGTGTATTGAAATTAACAATACTAATAAACGGCACTGCTACAAATAAAGCGATAATCTGTACGTCATTCAATTTTGTTTATTTTCTTATACAAACTTCTACGAAGTAATTGCGTTTTCGTGTACCTATCGAGTTATGAGCTTTGTGCCAAGCCATTTTAATACAACTTCCGTCGCCTTCGCCGTTTACGGTTTTTGAGTATAGTAATTAGTGCGTAGCGGAGAAAGCGTTATTAAAATGTCGTTTAATATAACGAGTGTGCTGGTAATAACGTTTAGATACAAATTAATGCAGAATATTATTTGCATATACATACAAATGATATTTTGAGTTGACGCAGTAACCGAGTGGGTTGCTTTTGAAATAATTGTAATTGGCCCATTAAAACAATAGAAATTATTTGTCAACTTAGACATTGAGTTCATTAAACATAAACAAATAATAACCATCGACGGCTAATTAAAACGATAGGTGTGTTCAAAAAAAATATTAGTATACCTACATACATTTGTTTATGAATACTGCCACAATAATTATCATAATATACACCCCAAAAAAATCTCCCCAGTGGAATAACCAATGTTTGATAAATATATTATAGATTTCATCTACCTGCTATTTAATGACCGACAACAAATTCGAAATCCCGCATTGGTACTTTTATTTCATTTAAAATCGAATTTGTTCCTCTCCAGCATGTTTTTCAAGCTATTTGGGATTGGTATTAATATTATTAATCTTTTAAAAAAGATTATGTAGTTTAATTATTTTGCCTAATTTAAAATCCATATGAAATGGCACATTGACGATGCACCTTCATTATTAAGTTAATAGCAAAACTAATTTTCGTTCATCGCCAGAGGGCACTATGTATGAGTTTATTATCACCTATTAATATAAATTAATTCTCATCATTTTTATTTTTGAAAATTTTGAATCGACCGTTAAGCGAGTTAGGCGAATATAAAGTATCTAATTTGCAAGCATTGGACCAGACAAATAAATTTGTACTTCTTATGTTAAAATTAGGAAACACTATTTATACAACATTGTAATTTAGATATTAAATTTGAAAAGAATCTTGAACCACAATACTAAATAATCATGTCGTAACTTTATTATTAAGCATTAAAGTAATAAAATAATACAAGACAAGCTAAAATCTGATACTTAATAAATGATATACGAATGAAACAGTGCATTTATTTTTTATTAAAGAAAATTTGTTATTAGAAACAACGCAGAAAATGTAATTTTTTTTGTGCTATAATTTTCTCATATTTATATACATATTAATATATAATATACTTCTCTACCTTTATTGATTATATCTGTCATTGCTGTCGATTAATTAAAACAAAAAAACAAAAAGTACTAAACAAAATACAAAAAAAAAGTCAGTTGTTTAAAAGTTTGTCTTCGTTGAAACAATAACGCTGAACTGGAGTAGGCGAAGGGAGGATCAAGGAAGTCCATCGGCTAACAGGAAACTTTTCAATTCCATCTGCACGCAATGTCTAAGTTTTCTTATATTTTTTTTTTATAGCATCCTTACTGTCATTATTATTAATATTATTGTTTATTCCGCATGATTAATATTGTTTAAAAGTCAAACTCTCGGCCTACCGTGGAATGATGTCTATACTGGTTATTTAACAATAATTATTTAGCTTTAACTTTAAGAATAATATTTATTTTTATATACAAATTTTGATTTCTAGTTTTTTAAAAATATATATTATATTATAATTTGCGTTAAAAGAATACAAATTTTGTCGTTTAATAGCCTGGAGTTTTTTGGGTATGATGATTTGATAAATAAATTTAGTTTAATAAAAATGTAAAACATTGATTTTTCAAAATCTAGATATTTTAATTTTATTATTTTTTTTTTTATAATTAGGATTTGCCAACAAATATTTTATAGTAGTATATTAATGTACTCTTAAGAGGACGTCACACACCCGTTATTTTCTTCAAAAAACCCGCCTTGTGCGGATTAATTTTACAAAGGCTATAATTAAAACTAAGAAACCAAATTTTTACATAATGTAGACAACAACATTGTCTGTGTTCTACCATCGCGATTTTTTAAATATTTCAACCAGTTAATGAATAATTAATTAATTAAGAGAGGCCTTTTTTGACTTTTTAAAAAATGATATAGCGTTGTTTGTATTAGGTATATCGAAAAATACGGATGATGGAACACAGATAATTTTGTCATAAATAATACGTATGAATTTCTTTCCTTAACTATATAATATATAAATTCATAATGAAGCCTGAGAAAAATTAATCCGCGCAAAGCAGTTTTGATGGCAAAAAAATTGTATTTTATCCTATAGAAATGACTGTGATAGTCTGACAAAAAAAAATGGTAATCAACAAAGTATCCTTAATACTGTATTAATTCGTATACATTATAGTTCAAACTCTAAATTAAAATTTTTTGAAAAATTGCTTATACTATACTCCTTAGAAATGGCCGGTGTGGCGTCCTCTTAATAATGAATCCCAATAAGATCTAATGGAAACAACCGTCTGGTGTGTCCCCGTTGGGTAAAAACTAGGTTTTATACTCTTAAATATGATTTATTTAATGTTGTTTTTAATGAATGTCGAATAAACTGGCTTTATTAAACTACCCGAGTAAGTGCATTAGTTGCAGACTAATCACAAAAGTTACACTCAATTATTATACAGAGCTGGGTTGAAAATGGGCGTGACATGCATTCGGTATACTCCCTTGGATATGATATACCTGTTTAATTATGTTTACATACATTAACTTCATAGTTAATGTGGGTATATTGCAATTTGATCAAATCGGTACCATCAGATAATACATTTATAGTAATTGTAACTTTTATACCATCATATGTTATAGCTGGTATGAATATTACTATAAAACTTAGGACCGAAAAGTGGAACGAAGCTAATGGTTTTTTGCTGTAGTTGCAATTTGTTAGATATTATTAAAGAGATTACAAAAGCCGCGCTTCAAGATAAATTGATTGAATATTTGGCTGGTTACTATAACGCCTAATGGAGTGTAATGCGGATTTCAAGGTCGAGTAAAGGTTTTTTTTTTATAGTAATAATAATAACACGCAAAGACTTCAGTGACGGTTGCCTTAAAGTAATATTTTTTTTCATAACACTTGGAGTATATTACGTCGGTATTAGAGGCTTTATGCCTGTTCGACTAACAACGTCCAACCAGTTGGACCCTCTTCAACGTCTCGTTTGTAATATTGGGTAAAATTGACCGAGTATACCTAAGTCTTTCAAGTAACGCCGCTGAAAAGTGGTAGTATTGGAAAAGGTGGAATTCGGGAACGAGCCACGCCGGGGTAGTTAGAGTGGACCGCAGATTATTATTTTGCCGTTTGCCGTACAACTTGGGCACTAAACTATAATATAGTTAGTATGTTACAAGGCGTGTGCGGCGGAAACGTGTCCGGCGTGATTAATCGAACTTCCGGTCGTTCGGGGGTAAAGTGGATGACCGTAAACACGAATAAGGTAAGTGCGTTCGGTACACGAATCTGCGATGAGAAAAACTATATTATTATTATTGTATTAGGTAATGTTTGGGCCGCGGTCATATGTATTTTCTTACGTGTAATCGGTTTGGCTGTAAAACTCGTTGGCCAACCGAAAGAATACAAATTACTTCTGTCACGTTCAGAAATCTCGCATGACGTAATACATTATGACCTAATTGATCTTCTTTCAGTCTTCTGAGAGTATACCTGTATGTAATAATATTATATCATAGTGATTTCTGTTTGGGAAGACAATTTTTCCCGGTCTGACGAACCGGAGACGTTGAAAGAGCCCACGAAATTTTCGAAAATGATGGATCTAAATCAAAATAGCTTGTATATATATATATATATATAATATATGTTTTATGCTTTCCTAGAAAATCGAAATATTTATTAACGTCGTTCAGGCGCAATGGATGATTTTTATATTTTTTTCTAACTGAAATTATATTCAAAGCGTTTAGCCATCTGTTTTCAACTATGTGTGATAGCCGATAGGTGAACGCTATCAGCGATGGACAAGTTAATACATTTGTACTAACTTCCTTAATTGAAATATCGAATTTTTCGCGGATTTGCTACAAATAAATAAAACATCCCACGACATTCAATGCAACGTTATTCAAAACGCACATTTCCATTTTTCTATACGTATAATCAAAACAAAGATAACAGTGTTTGTCTATTGTAAAAAAAAATTGTGATAATATAGTGTGAGAAAAATTATTTTTTGAGTAAACGCCAGGGTTGTTTGCTATTTTTTTATTGAAAAATTAGTATACTTACTAATATTTTAAAATTCTTATTATTTTAACAGGTTTTTTTATTTATCTACATCACTGCGCACACGGCTTCATATAGCGTAGTATTCAAGTTGTATATACTATTGTGTGTACAGTATATTTTATTTACGAACCGTTGGGTGATCATTATTAAAAAATATTAAATTCGGCAAAAACGAAAATTATTTCTCGAAATTGAAAGAAACCAATTTTATTTCGATGACTTGCCGGTGTACACAGACATGAAAAGCGCATGCCTTTTGCCAAAGGAGCATTTTGCTTCTGATAAATGGATACACGGATTCACAGATTTGTATAAATAAAAGCTTCTATATACAGGGATGGAGAGCTGCGTGGTGGTTTATCGATTGGCTGGTTACGGATGTCAGTTCCTTGAATGCGTCGAATGATGGGAATCCAAAAAGCAAAAAGGTTTTTGTTAAAAAGAGCAGCTATATAAGAGCTTGCGGGCACAGTTTCTTGTTAGCCACCACTTTCAAAGGTGTCTGTATCCGTAAGTGCGACAGGAAAATAATACATTACTATAACCGTAGCCGCTTTTTGTGGAGCTAAGGCTTTTAGGTGCCAAAACGCGGAAAACACATTGAGGTTTTGGCTTCGGTCATACTACCATTGCTTTTTGAGAAAATAACGCGACACACAAAGAAGAGAAAATCTTTATTTGATTATTATTATTGCCACTTTGAATCAGTGTCCGGATTCCCAGTTGTACAAGGCAATTGGTGATAAATTATACTTCAAAAACATTAACTTTTTTTTTTTAAAGAAGCGTAAACAGCATTGTTATATTTAAATTGTGGATCTCATAATTAAATATGTCTATAATAACCTACTAACTACGGAATTAGTTTATTTATAATAATTTACACGATATTGGTCCAGCTTCCACGGCGAGTAACTTATGTCTTTGGTCATATAATATAGTGCAGTGTGTAGTAACAGTCATTACGATTAGATTAAACCTATAGATTACACTACATACAGACCCTACAAATGAACGCTGTCTTCGCCATATCCCTTTGAGTTGGATCATTTGGAATGCGTTACGGTAACGACTCGACAATGGACGAAATGTAAGCACCGCTCGTATTCTATTGGCTCCGGTTCCTTTTTGAATTATTGGATAATCGAATAAACGATAGGGTCACTATAAAGGCAAAATAACGAGGTATTGCGTCCAAATGAACGTATGACCAGCGTTAGAAAAAGGCCAGTTCGTTTGTGTTGTTTGTAAGTGTCATATATTTGCTTTGTAAATTTTAATTTAATATATTTTGTAAATACAATTGTATTATTTGTACTATGCAAACACAATAATAATTAAGCCTTGTTTTGTTTAACACATTTGTTAACCATACTGTAGGAATGTTTGTTTTTTCTTGTTGCAGGAAGCTATTTTAAAACATATGCACCGCCGAGTTAAAATCGACTTTATAAATTTACAAATTACGACAGGTAATAGAAAAGATTGATTTAAAAACCAAATGTATTATACTTCAAATATTGCAAGAATTCTAATGTGAGCGTAACAACATAAACAATCAAGTATATTAGGACTTTTCATTCTAATATAAAGGAAATTTGTAAATTTCACTAATATCAAATAACAGTTTCTAACAATATCAATCGATCAATTTATCGAAAACGAATATAATATGCTCATAATAATTAATAAAACAATTTCCACGAAAGGGGCGTAGTTTTTTCTCCGCCAAAAAAAAGATTCTATTATTATTTTTATCAACATTTTTTTCTGCGTCTGTTTTGAATAAGCGGTTGTCGGTATATTTACACGAAATGTTCCAGTCAACATATTTTGATGTGTACTCACGGTCAGATGGACATCCTCTGATTTCTGCTCTCAGACAAACAGTGCGCCTATGAATACTGTACGGTAATATCCGGACTTGAGTTGCAAATACTGGTGGCAGCAGATGATGCAGGACCACTGTTGACGTATCTGTATTGCCAGACATAATCTGTAACAATAATAATAATGCCGACGCATATAATTAAAATGACGTTACAAGACATTGTTTACATTATAATGAACAAATGTATTGTTAATCTTAAAACAAATCTGACATTTGATATGTCTTACTAATTACTTTAAAAGTAAAAATATACACTCGCATAGCTTACATTACCGTCTGAGTAATCAGACTTGTTTATGTATTGCATACTTTTCGAAAAAAACCGTTTTTAAAATCATATATTTTTTATAGTAAGACAACATCGGAGTGGTCATAATGTTAGAGAAACGTTACTGGATTTCAAATAAAGTGTGGAGAATGAGTAACTGATCTATCGAAACGTAAATATTGCACTTTTCGACCGGTCGCGTCAAATCGCTACAAAGTTTGGCCGTGATTACAAAAGTGCCTTCGAGTGAGTCATGTTACCGTTTCGATGGGAATTTAAGACTACACGCTCGTGATGGTTAGGTCGGGGCACAGAAGGAGGGTAGGAGAGGGGGTTTTGGCTGTTGCGAAATTTCCATACAGGACGTTGTGAGTGCACGACAATTTGTCTTTCGTTGAACTTCTGTAATTGCCCAGATAAATCGACGGAGATCGGCCTCGGGGGCTAGTCGGGTTCTGTAGCATTCCTTGCCGCCGCCGACCTTCCTGATGTCCCAATAAATTCTAAGACAAACTAGGTCACACTGCGTTCGTATTGTATCTGTGTGAGTGTCGAACTATATGTAATACCCACTTGGACGTAACGCAATTTTGTACACACGCCTCGCAAGACGAACCCTTTGCAAATGTATAGCGATTCATTCGTATATGAAAGTAAATTTCGCACATACAACCCTTGCCAGGTATATAATATAGACATAACGATGGCCCTCGTTTTGTTTATTATGTTTCCGGCCTGGTCCCAAAAAATCGTCGGATTATAAGCAAAATAAAATGTATTGTATCTATTGACCGTGCTATTATTACTCGGACACGGCTTTTAAGCATTTACCCGGTCAACAATGAACAATGAACTTAAGTAAGATGCTCACTTCAAAAAAATCGTCAGTAAATGCGTTTTTGCTCAGCTTGAAATCATCGCGAATGAGAATCAGTTGTATAGTCTTACAAATATCTACATTTTTTGTGAGTTTTCTAAGGCACTATAAACTTCAAATGATCTCCTAAGTATTTATTGTGCACAATTTTTGTGTCATTTATATCTCTAAGCTACAAAAATTACAAGTACGTTTAAGGGCGCCTACAGGGACATATATTATGTTTCCTTTATAATTTTTAAAATGTCTGCAATTTTAATTTTATTATTAATATAATTTAACCAAACCTGTTAAGTTTAAAGTTGGTCATAACTCATAAAGAAAAAAATAATACATAAAACGGTAATCAGTTTTAGAAACAAACAGTGTCTTAAAAAAACAAACTGAATAAAATAAACACATCATAATTGGATTATATTTTGCTATTCTAATACTATTTTAGCGTGTTCCTCATATTACAAACCAAAAAAAAATGCTTATAAAATATGTTATATTATGGCGCAACAACACACAATCAAATATATAAATGAGTTACAGTTTAAAATAATGTTGAATGTTTATTTTAAAAGTTTAAAATTCGATTGTTAGTATTGAATATAAACACATTATGCTAAGCGAATAAAATAGAACAATAATGTATACTCTTGCTTAAAGATTTGATTGAAGTATTTGAATGTCTTAATTGATGCAATTTTAAGTAGCTTTAACGGTATTCTAATGTGCTGTAAAGAACCACACGTTCAGAAACCGCACATCTAGAGTTTGGCATTCAAACGTGTGTAAATAATCGAGGAATTTCGCTGAGTACATCTAGTTTTGAAAACGTTTTCCTGTTCGGAGTGTTTTCTTTTTTTTCAATATTGCCGAATGCATTATTTTGTAAAACGTAGCGTTTCCCATATATTAGTCTACCACATTTATCACCTACCGAGTATTTTGTATCTAAAATCAAATCCTACGAGTCATTAGGAACAAAGTATAATATGTTTTACCTAATACTTCAATTTAAATAAATAAATGTATAATAAAATGTGTTATTACATTTTAATGCAACTCATAATTCTTACTACAGAGTAATTGATTTTTATTTACTTAATTAGTATGCTAGATTTACACAATAAATGGCACCTAATTTAATGGACAAATTTATGTTGTATATGAAATTAGCATAATTGTTTGAATGGCTTACACGTTTTGGGATGTAGTAAATAAGAAAAATGTTATACTTGGAAAATTAGGGTGGACATATCCTTAGTATGAGCGAGGTTTACAATGAGAACCCCATCGAGGTCGTAAATATTCGTTGAAAAATAAAAGAATGAAAACTACCCCCAAATTCGGAACACGTGGTAGCGGTGCAACTGTACTTAGGGTGTGAAAGTTTTCGTTAAGAAACTATTGTCCATCGTCGACCCTGGGGGCAAAGATAAAACTGGTCGATATTATTGTTATCGTTCCATAAATTTTCCAGTGTTTTTAATAACGTGCTCTGTGTCCTTAAGTCTTTGTCTCCGTCGACTAAACTTTTCTTATGAAACTCGTAAAACATTTTGTCCACTGTATTCACAAAATCGATGTCGTTATTGTTTTAACCCGAATGTAACTTTTCTTCTGTCCTTAAGATTCGTTTAATAACTAAAAATATAACATCAACGACCATATTGGTGAAGCGACGATACAGCGATTTGCCGATTTCATCATTTTATAATCATTTTATTATACATTATGAAAAAGAAAAAAAAGAAAATATAGTCTAATTATCTCTAACCGAATTGTTTAAAATAATTATTATAAATCCATATTGGGTGTTTATGTATTTATGATGTTTGTTTGTCTGTTATAGAAGTTGATCAATAACTTAATCAACAATTAAAATAGTAGTGTTCTGCAGTAGTTTCATATGACCCTTTTGGATAATGAATAATATTGTACAGACTAGTACCTAAAATCTATTAATCTAAATTGGCTAAACAGTTATCAACGTATGTAATAAAAAGTTAGAGTATTAGTTGACATATTATTTACCTCTTTGCCGTCCCATCTCTTGTACTTCTTCCATTCGGCGAATTCTGGTCTCCAATACTCTAATGTGTACTCTTCAGCGTATTCGAGGCCACGTCCATTACCGAAACGCCCTTGAGTCTGAATTCCGGTGATCAAGTGTACTGATCCGAAACTCACTTGCAACCACTCACGAACCCCCTGTTCTACCGGAGGCTTAGGACACCATCCTCCTCCAGCTCGTTCTACTTTCAACCTAAAATCATAAAAAAAAAGAACAATAATAACATATATTTAGTTTAATTATTAAATTAAAAATGTTCTTGATCGATTAAAACCTATTTCATAAAACCATTGTTTGTGAGCTGGAGTGATTTATATTTACTAAACATTGTAATAAAGATTAATTATTTCCTATGATTGCTTGACTTTGTGTTTATTACACAAACTACATAGACATATAAAACTTGTTTTATAAATAATACATAGTTTTTAATAAGTATTATTTTTTTATTTTTCAAGTATTTGTAAATGTAATTTAATTGTATTTTATTTAATTGTTAATGGTATCTATAAATTATCATTGTACTTTTAAAGACTTCGGTTTTTTTGCGTTTTTTCCGTTAAGAAATAATAAATAAATAAAACCGATTTAATTATATTTATTATCGACTACATCAGATTACGAAGAAAACAAATAGGTGATCGATCATCTTGAAGTTAAACAACTCTTAATTGAGTTATAACCAAATAAGAAGTACAACAGTTTACAGATCATTTTCTACATTATTACTTATTGTAGTCAATTTGATGTAGTGGTTTTGTTATGTCAAATGTCTTATAATAAAACTGTTGAGTTTATATATTAGTATGTAGTAAAATACTTACATATTATTATTATTATTTATTTTTAAACAATGATAAATTTTAACCTGTACTTAAACTAGCACGTTATCTGTTATACCTAATGTAATTAATGCACTAATTTATATTTTGGTATTAATTCAATCATATGTTTTATTATTGTAAAAGCACGTCTTAGCAGGTATTGTATTTGAAATATAAATAATGGCCAAGGCGCATTCACTCAGTTGCGCCGCTTATCATTCGACTATAAACCAAATAAATTTACTTTTTCAGATGCCGTTGAATGACAAGGAGTTTCTCTATTGCGCTGTTATAGCTGAGACTTCCCTTCGTCCGGCCTAATTTACCCATGACAAACATATTTATGTGTATAAATATATACATTTATTCATAAGAATTACATGCAGAATATAAACCAAGTATAATTCTTGGGAATCAATAAGACTGTTTAACAGTATGAGGTCACTATAATCAGAGATACTCGGCTGTTAACGATCTGAATTGACTTTGGCAAGTGAAATGAAACGTGATTGATTATGTTTTTAGGAAAGGATTAATTACATTTTTATTACCTTATTCTTTTTTTTTACTTTTACCGACCTAATCCATCCAAACTTAACACAGCTGTGCTATATCCTCAGATAGTATTTTTCGTGAGACAGAGTATATCTTCGTTGCCGCGAAAAAAACTCCCATGTGCTAAAACCTAATTATTGTTCAGAAGACATAAAAACGGTTTATAGTAGGTAACATATAGGAGGTTTTATTTTTTATTTTTCATTTATTCTACAATGGAGATAGCACGTTGGAGATTTTATCATATGATGGCTTATTTTTTTTTTGTATCTAAGGATACCAAAATCTCAAAATCGTAAAATTGGCACGTAGGAGGTTTTTTCGCGGCAACGACGATATATTATATATCTAAATAATTTTCGTATGCAATATAATTGCAGTTAAAATTTACCTCAAACTACTAACGCGTTCTGACCAGCATTGTGAGTTCCTATAGAGTTGTCCCGTAGGCTGATACTATCGATGTCCCTAGGGCTACCATCATCCATTTTCCCAATAGCGACGAACAATATCTTGCTAGCAGCAGTCGCCTTGTCGCTTGCTCGTAAAATTATTATTATTATTTTTTTTTAATGAAACGTGTATACTTTTTACTACGGCAAGTATAGGCGAAGCTGTACCTTTCGGGCGTGTGCCTCACACGCACTGTTCACCCCCCTTCGACAAGTGTGTTTTTTAACGATCCAATGATGGCATACGTTTCTTTGTACATACGTGCGCCTTCACCCTCCCGATCGCGTGTAATCTTTTATTTTTTATGAAGGTAGCTCGATATCCAAAATTGTTGTTCATACGTGTTCGAAATCGAGTTAGCAAAAGGAGGATACGGACACGTGCGAAGAGAGAGGGAAACGAGAGAGATATGGCTAACATACGCAGCCGCTTAAGAAGTGTAGCCAGAAAGAAAGAGCGAGGGTATAGGTTACAAAAAATACAACACGAGATTGGTTCGGAAAGTAGGAATAATTTAGTTTTGATTTACTGATTAAGTGAGACAATAGTATTATTATATCAGTACTTAAGATCGAGTTATACATATCTATCACCGGTATTTATTTCAATATAATTTTATACAGGCTACGGACATCCGGATTAAATACTAACTCAGTCGGTCTTTGGCGCTGAAGATGATAACATTGTTGCCGATACACGTATACGTGGAGAGTGTATTATTTTATGGTTAAGGGTGTTTTAAATATTATTTTATTATTATAATAATGATTATTTTCAGCTAATTAAAAAAAGTAACATAATGTTTAATTACAATTGGTAAAATATCGACAGTAAATATAAACCGATTATTTACAATAATATTATAATAATTGTTTATTAATTTCGACTAACAAGTATTTTCTTCATTATTGTTCAATTTCAATAACAAAAAGCAATTTAATTTTTGGTTAAACTGGTTGCGAACTTTGTTTTGTTTACATGTTCATTATGTTTGCCGTATTGTTAGCTGTAGGTAGGCAAATGAAGGAAAATCTGTAGAAAATAAACAAAGACAAAATATGGTAAAATTAAAATTAAATTCTCATTGCCTCGTACAACAAGGTTCTTTTACAAAGTTTGCGTTGTTAATTTTGAAGTCTGGTAGAAGTATATAAGTGCTAATTTATTAAACAACTTAAAAATAATATTAAAACACACACGTACAACCGTGCGTACACCATACAAGAATTTATACGGGACGTGCTACATATTTTCTTTATTTTAATGAAAGCAAAATTATAATGCTATACCCTCAACAACAATTATTTAAAACAATGATTAATTTATTTGCACATCAAAGATACACAACAATGAAAACTATTATGATAGAAATTATAATTGCTAATAGTTTCTTTAAAATAAAATGTTTATGTTTTAGTCTGGAACTCATAGGGAAGTAATGGTTATGCACGCTGGGAACCATATCTGTGAATACAATCCAAAAAAATATAATTATTAAATGTAAATTATAAATTATTTGAATATGGTAGGGCTGTGGCGATTTCTTAAGACTTCTGGAGTTAGAAAAAGTAGAAAAACTAAATACATTTTTGCCTTAAATTATCTTTAATGATTTTTTTAATGGAGTATTTGATTATTTTTTTGAGCATAAACACATTCTTAAAGCATAATATATTAGGTATTAATGTGCAGTAACTAACTCGATGGCGACAAACAACAATTATTATCAGAACGTGCGTAAGCACACGAGTTGAACATCGTCACCGCCAAAATCGAAACCTCATCACGATTTATCTTGGGATCCTATTATCTTTTTCCAGTTGATTTAATCCTCGAGTCGTGGCTTATCAAATTCAGCGTATGATCTAAAATCAGTTATGCTGGCGAGAGAAACACACACACACGCCATATTGTTAGCAAGTGGCGTTTGTGTACTCGGTTGTTCGGGTGCTTGTCAGCAGAACTTAATTAAAATATCAATTCCAAGTCACACCGTCACTTGTCAGAAACACGTTGAGCGTACAGATAGAGTAAGATAGCGACGTCAACGAATTTAGAAGTATAGCGTCATATATAATATAAGCTCAGATGACATCATAATATTATATATTATTGCATTAACGATAGTTGATGCATAATACAGATCTCGAGTTTAAAAAAATACCAGTACTATTGGCATTAGGACTGCAAAGTGATTCGTCATGCTGATGCATTCATGCTATCCGGACTCTCGACCTATCCTCTGTCATATTATTATTATTATTATATTTCCCCGGAGCTTCTATACAACGCTTTTGCTCTGCCCGAGTGGATACGACAAGTATGATTTTATGCGGAATGAGTAGTATTTTGTTTGTGTGTTTAGACGTGTGAACATTCAGTAATTCTAATGGCGAATTCGTGTTGCATTCACATTAGCGCATTTCATGAACAAACAAATCAACGAGCGGCAAATGCTGGCGACAAATAAGCCGCTAACGTTAATGACGGTATATGGCATAATATGGGTGGGTTTTTCTTTTTGGTTTTGTTTTCACCGTACGCTTTTAGTGTTACAGCAGACGTATTATACTTAAAGCTCATCATATTGAAGATAATATGAAAAACGCTCTCTTCGTATGCATCTGCAAATAACAATATGGCATTCATATGGTTCTTTTTATGAAAAAAAAAAAACGAATAAATATGCAAAAAACAAATAATACAAGTCGGCGCAATTTTTCGCGACGTTAAGCTCGATATGAATTTTATGGAAAACATATATTTATTATTCTTATTATGTTATCTCGTAAATTATTTTAAACATAGAGCATCACAAAACAATCTTAAAATTTGAATGTTTAAGAAGTATTTTTAAAAGAATACAATTGGAATTAATGAAATGATTGCGGCGTGTTAAGAAAGAAGCAAACCAAGGCGCAGTTGTGGCAATGACGTATAATGTAGAAATAATGTCAGAATTACCTAAATGAAAATTATACTAATCCCACTGGTGTAAAATGCAGAAGTTGTGGTTTTTAGTGGACTTTGTAGACTTGGATGGTTACTTAAAATAGCTGAAAAAGGAGTAAGGAAAAGTAGAACAAGCTAGATTAATAGAAACAATCAATAGGATAGATAGAATAATTTCTGGTATTTAAATAAGAGCATAAAACAATTTTTTTTTTATTATTATTATCATCCACGTTGCCATACGTAAAGTGCAATATATTTTACCAAGAACTGAAATACATTTACATTTTGTTTGATAATTTAATTTAAAATCCTATTATAATGTGTTTGGTCGCTAAAATACATTCTATGTTAAAACGAAATTGAAGATCGCTCTGGATTAGGGGTTTTGGCTTGCGGCTTTAGTGG